CACTTATAACTGCGGTACATATAATCGTGCGCGTGTAGACTTGGAGTGGCCACGAGGAAACCTAGAGGCGAACTCCCGTCATCTCCCCATAAAGTGGAGACTGTAACTAGTCTTGATCAGGTAGCCAATTCCGGCACCATAGAGAGGGCGGCCGTTGCAGGACGGACCTGGTTCCGCCACCTAAACATCCCTCCATCCCCGAAGCGAGATTAGTTGTCGACCTCGGAGGTTGACGGGCTGTCCAGAATGGTATAAAGATGAAGTCAGGTCGACGTCAGGCACCTATCCATTCTTCAACATCCACTCTCAATCATACACTCCCTGTCCGCCTGCTCACCCTCTGTCCCTCTTTATCCTTTCCTACCAACAAAAATGGTGCGTCGACTTGCATTGGCGTGCGGACTGCTAGCAGCAGCCGTGGTAGTCCAGGCAGCCCCCGCAGAACCTCCTCATCCTATGATGACTGAAGCGCCGGACGCGAGCCTCCTCCATAGGAGAGCCACCACTTGCACCTTCTCGGGCTCTGAGGGAGCTTCTAAGGTGAGCAAGTCCAAGACGGCTTGCTCCACCATCTACCTGTCCGCCCTGGCTGTCCCCTCCGGTACTACCTTGAACTTGAAGGACCTGAATGACGGAACTCACGTAGGATTCTCCCCATGATTAGTACCAAGGGCTGCGCTAATGGAATCGATTAGGTCATCTTCGAAGGAGAGACCACCTTTGGCTACGAAGAATGGGAGGGCCCGCTCGTCTCTGTCTCCGGAACCGATATCACCGTCGAGGGCGCGAGTGGTGCCGTTCTGAATGGCGATGGCAGCCGCTGGTGGGACGGCGAGGGAGGCAACGGTGGCAAGACAAAGCCTAAATTCTTTGCGGCCCACGATATGACATCCTCAACAATTAAGAGCATTTATATTGAGAACTCCCCGGTCCAGGTCTTCAGTATCGATGGCTCAACCGATTTAACTTTGACTGACATTACTATTGACAACACCGATGGTGATACGGATGATCTTGCGGCCAACACCGATGGTTTCGACATTGGGGAGAGCACCGACATTACGATCACCGGAGCCAAGGTCTACAACCAGGATGACTGTGTTGCCATCAACTCGGGCGAGGTACAGTAAACTTGACTCCCCTTGGCGGAGAGACCCAACCCTAACAATTCTGCAGAACATCTACTTCAGTGCTAGCGTGTGCTCCGGTGGCCATGGCTTGTCCATCGGCTCGGTCGGCGGTCGAGACGATAACACGGTGAAGAATGTCACCTTCTACGACGTCAATGTTCTTAAGTCTCAGCAAGGTACTTCCTCCGATCTTCCAGAGCGCGGGTCCCATACTAAGCCCGTCCTTCAGCTATCCGTATCAAGGCCATTTACGGAGACACGGGCTCAATCAGCGACATCACCTATCATGAGATTGCCTTCTCAGATGCCACAGACTACGGTATTGTCATCGAGCAGAACTACGATGATACCTCCGAGACCCCGACCACCGGCGTCCCCATCACGGATTTCACTCTCGAGAACGTGATTGGCACCTGTGCGGACGACGATTGCACCGAGGTCTACATCGCGTGTGGAAGTGGAGCCTGCTCGGACTGGAGCTGGTCCAGCGTGAGTGTCACCGGCGGTAAGGTCAGTTCGAAGTGCTTGAATGTGCCCTCCGGGATCAGCTGCGACTTGTAAGGGACTGGCCTCCGTCGGCCAAACTTCGGCAAAGGTTTCATCTTGTCATGGCCGTGAACACAACAGAAGATGCCACTAATCTGTCAAATGAACAAGACTTTCCAGCCTGTGTCTACTTGTTTAGTCCATCATCGTAGCAGAGAGATATGAATCATGTGGAGTAGGTCTCGGGTTTGAAAGACATACGGGCTACATTTCTGGATAGAGCAATCTGAACACAGTGATGCATGCATACTTAGGCTAATATTCAAGTTCCGGACTGCAACAGCTACTTGATATGCATCTCAGCAAGAAATCATATCAGGAGGGCGGCGTGCGGGGTGGGGTGTTTCTTGGCATGTATGGTTTTTCATACTCCGACGCCCGCGCTGGCGTTCAAGGCCGCACCTACATGCATGTTATGCCTGCAGATCCCTGTACTATTCCTAGTCACTCTCACAATCCCTGCGCGTGGAGGAATTCAAAAATCAACTGGAAGGCTTGGGGTGCGACCGTGTGAAGGTTGAGGTTGTGGCTGTGGCGGGAGGGCCTTGGTTAGCGGGAAACAACCCTATCTGGATACGGGGGAGGCGATACTTACCCTGCAGGAAGATCATCCACCCAGCTTACTACCTGTGAACTGTTGAATGTGGCCGGACTGTTCTCCAATTGTCCCTTACAATTGCCACCACAGGACGACAGATCGAACTGGCCCTGCACGAGGTAGACAGGGGCAGTGATGCGGGAGTATTGAACGGGGGAGGCCAGGAGGGAGGGAAGCTCAGCTACCGCGAAGGGCTCCCCCTCGACAGCAGCTGCCCACTGCGCCACCTGGGGGTCGAAATGCGGAGCAGCGAAGCCGTAGTAGGCCACCGCATATTGGTCGCCTGCAGTCAGGTAGGCCGAATCCAGCCTGCCCCAGCGAGCGGGCGACAAGGTTCGCGCCTGGCGCAGATGCGACCCTGCCAAGAAGAACCCAAAATAGTCAAATGCGCTGCTGAAGCCGGTCAGCACGAGGGCGTCAACTGTGATTGAGGCAGCCGATGCGGCCGCCAGATAGCTTCCGTAGCTGTGGCCGACTAGCCCGACCTTGCTAACGTGGGGCAGTCGGCGAGCATAGTCCACCAGGCCATTCAGCACCGCCGTCTCCACCTGAAATTGAGCATCGAACAGGCCGTCAACCTTGGATGATGACCCAACCCCAATGCGATCGTAGTTCAGCACCGAGTACCCGGCTGCCACCGCGGCTTTGACAAAGTTGTATGGATCTGAGCCAGCGAATGTAGGATTCCAGTAGCTGCATAATCCTGTTACTCTACTTTGCCTTCCTCCCCGCTGGGGTACAGTACGTACGCTTTGGACTCAATGATCCCATGTGTGAGAACCAGAATGGTTTCTCCCGTGCCGCAGAGGGTGCCGCCGATGGTGTAGTTGCTCTCCACAGGACTCGTGGTGCCGGAAATTGGAATGGGATCATCGGATGAGCCAGAGTCACGTCGGGTCAAATTAAAGACCAATGATGCCGCATCCCAATCGTTGTTGATTGTGGTGTTGATGATGAACCGCGGTTCGTTCACGGTGATTGGGATATTGACCTCGCGGCATGCTGTCGCCCCTTGCGATGGTAGAGCCCAGCAGCTAGCGGCAAGGAGAGCCAGAGAGGACAAGAGAAAGGCCCCGACCATAGTAGCAGTGACTTGAAACCCGTAGGGGATGGCTTCGAACTATTCTGCTGTCCCATCGTAGCCCGTAGAACACCCTTTATAGGGTGGGTTTGGGCCGTGAGGGAAGCCATCGCAATGAACGAGGAGATGAGAACCATCAGGAACTCTGTGATATTAATACGACCTCGCCAATTACCGTGCTGATCCTTCTTGGCGCTGCACGGCTGGTGATTGGGGCATTGGGGTGCCAAGAGCCCCGACTCCGCCGACACGAGGCGTGAAATAAGCACCAATGCACCAGGACACGAAGACAGGCATACACATTGCATCCCCGATGTCTCGGTCCGGTGTCTCTGCTGCCAACATGTTTGATTATTTAGATCATTTAGCGGACCAATCACCAAGGGCTTGTACAATTCGAGGCCGCATCCCTTCGTATCATGGGGTGGAGAATAACCGAGGTAGCCAGTCTGGTCAACGGACAGTATTGGGCTAGGAACTATCAGTTGTCTTCACCAAGGCCAACCCGATATTGGCCCTTGCTCTCTGCTGGTGCCTTCTCCGTTTCGTTGATGGCGTCTTCCCGGTTCTCGATAAGAATGTGCTGCTGACCTTGCTGTGCTGCAAAGGGCATTTCATAGCCACTAGAGTAGTAAGGCTGTATGCATGATATAAAGGATAAATCCATGTCCTAGATAACAGGTCTTGTATGTTAAAGATCTAACACTGTGGCTTCTACGCAGATTATTTCAGCCACCAGTCTAGATGTGGTTATGCTCAGCACAATACGATTTGGCCGCAGCAGTCAAGACTATCTGCAGCCTAAGAGCATCGGCTGCGTTGAACAGTTCAGAGTAGGTAGTGTTGAATCTGTGCCAAGCTCTTCAAGGATCTCGGGCGCATGGATGGATTCATGTGTGTTCCACGACAGTCAAGTTACTATCCGCAAACGGCTTTTTTGTATTCTGGCCCAGGCATAGACCCGAAATTCTATTCGCATACCATAAGCGTGGATCTCGACTATACTCTTACACAAAGGTACAGATGCTTTTAATGCTTGGCCCGTAAAGCTCACGACCCGGGTCGCCATCGCTAAGAAACATCTCCGCCCGATTCCTTCTTCTGCTGTTTAACTAACCGCGAGTGATTTTGAGCTTTGCAGAGAAGTAGCCAACATCAGGGTTGGTATATTGAAACTGCTGGGTCATGCCCGTCAGCTTTGCTGTGGACCATGTCGATCATTCGTCATTATACCTCAGCATGTTAGCAATGAGTACACAGCGATCTACACCACCGGTAACCGTGGACGAGCGGCTCGTACTACGATAGATCTCCCAGCGAATCACTCTTCGGGTATAGCGGTCAGACGCAAGGAGGAGGCATTCTGCGGGCAGCGGATTGTCCTTGTCATAGAGAAAGCGTCTTAAATAATCTGACCAACGTGTCTTGTAAACCTATCCTGGATAGTGAACCCTCCCTACGTCAGACAAATACCCATTGTCATATCTTTCTGCACACAAAGGGCTAACCGAGAAGAGCGTAGGGGGGCATTCCTGGCCAATCCTCTGCAAGAATCGCCGACGGACTAGGCCCTGATGATTACTTGCGGTTTACCAAGCACGGCTGTCAAAATTCCACTGAAGTAACAAATAAGGCCCAAGCATTTGTGAGCACAACTCTTTTTCCGGGCAGTCTGGGACCAACCAGATAGCAGGGACCTCTATCGAGTAATGAACCCCTCCCAACTCTGCAGAGCCTTGCGGGAGAGCTCCTCGTATAATGGCAGTCCTCCCGGGAAAGCCAGCATCTCCCTCTTTTGGCCCGGGATGTTTGCCCCGTTCCACCATGAATCCGCCTTGGGGAACAGTGTCATGCCAGCGATGACATCGACCGTAGCTTTCCAGTTCTTTTCCGCCTCTTCTGTCGGTTCCACAGAGGTCAATCCAGCTGCATTAATCTTCTGAATCGCGTCAACAATCCAGCGGGACTGCATCTCAATTGAAGCCGGACCGTTGCTTAGTGCTGTCGGGCCCTGCACAGCATAACACAAGAACATATTGGGGTAGCCCTTGCGAGTCATACCCAGATATGCACTGACACCCCCTCTGCTCCACTCATCTGCGAGCGTAATACCGGAAGTGTTGCGGAGCCTAGATATGCGGGTAAGGCTACCAGTGAAACTGTTGAAGCCCGTCGCAAGGGCAATTGCGTCTACAGGATAAAATCCGCCGTCCTGTGTCTTGATCCCGGTGGGCTTGATGACTGCAATGCCGTGACCAGCCTCGCGCACGTTCACCAATTCCACATTTGGGCTGTTGAACATCTCGAAATAATCTTGCTCGAAGCACGACCTTTTAGCCCCGATCGGGTGTGGCGGCTCCAGAGGGGCCAGGAGATCTCTCTTCGACGGGTCGGCTATCCTCGCTCGCGTCTTCTTCGCCCAAAAGTCATAAGCCTCTCGGTTCGCCTTGTCGTCAACCAGCAGGTCATTATACCCGCTTAGCAGGAAGGCAAAGCCACCTCGGTTGTAAAGCTCCTCAAAAAGCGCTTCGCGTTCCTCCACCGTGACCTCAAAGGTTGCGTGCGGACTCGGCTGATCCAGATACCCGCTGAATGTCTTTTCTCGCTGAGCCAAGATGAGTGGTGCGTCCTCCTTGAGCACGTTTAGCCCCGCGGTGGAGAAAGTGTGCTGCCGCATAGGGAGCGCCAGGTTCGGTGTCCGCTGAAATACCACCAACGATCCCCCTTGTTTGGCCCAAGACTGCACAATTTGCACGCCGGATGCCCCTGTCCCAATCACCGCAAGCTTCTTCCCCTTCACGTCGATCCCATCCTTCGGCCAAGACGCTGAATGGCACACCTCCCCTTTGAACGTCTCTAGCCCAGGAAACTCGGGAACATACGGTTCTGCCGCAAATCCAACACATGAGATAAAAAACTGCGAGTGCGTAACACGTCCCTCGCCAGTTTCAATCCTCCACTTTCTCTTCCCTTGCGCATTGACATCGTACCAGGCCCCAGTCACAGTCATCTCGAAGTCCACGTCCTGCTTGATCCCAAGCACCTGATCGACATGGGCAAAGTACGCCCTTAGCTCGTCCGCAGAGGGATATTTCTCCTTGAAGGACCATGTCTCCGAGACCTCCGGGATGGATAGCTGGTAGATGAAGCCCGGTGTATCAACCCGACAGCCTGGGTAGGTGTGCCAGTGCCACACCCCGCCGAGGTCGGTGCCCGACTCGTAGATCCGACAGCGATACCCTAGTTTGCGGAGGCTGTAGAGGAGGTTGATGCCTGAAAAGCCGGCGCCGACGATCACAATGTCGTAGGTTGGGTTATCGATGGGCATATTCAGGGATTAGTAACGGGGATGGCTGAGCGCGTGAAATGCTGCGGAGGTGTGGAATACTAATACCGCTGCAAGTTGGCCAGGCGGATGGGGTGCCTATATAGAATTATTCTATGGCTACAATCGCAGTGTTGCGGGGATCTGACAAGATGAAAATAGCGCACTTGGATTGATGATAAGATTCGACCCTGGCCAAAGGATTGCTGCCCAAGACACCGTTGTAGGTAGCTTGATGGTTGGTTCGGTAGAGCTAAGGCACTGCGGGGTAATCTAATTTGTGTCTGCGCCCTGCTTGGCAAGGCTGACTGAGGCGTCAACGATAGCGTCTGGATTAAAGCTATAGGACCTTAGGAGATTGGGTTCCCTTGACATGGGCTCTCAAGACTAGATTGATTGCGAAAGCGGTTGTTAGTGAGGTAGAGGTTGGTTGAATGTTCCGGACCTTAGAAAGAAAGCCCTAACGGGGTGACTGGTGCCCGGATGGAGCATGATGATGTCCGGCATTATGAGTGTGTGAGAAGATCGTTTTTTCACCTGTCGGATCTGTATTCCGAGTCAGACCGATAACTCTCTATTTATGACTTAAGAATCAGAACCCCCCTCGAGAATCCGTTCGGCCTACTCTTCACATATACCTCTTGATCTTAGTGACTCTTCCCTCTAAAGTAAATGGCTTACGTGGTCGGTAACCAAAGCTTGTATTTGTAAAGTACCTTGGCTCATATTATGAGTTCAAGAGAATTTAGTGACCTGCAGTTTGTCTGCAATAGATAATACTTTAATGTCCACAAGGCGATTGTGTGTCTCCAGTCTCCTCCAATCAAAGCAGCTGTGGAGGGAAAGTTTCAGGTACTGTCCCTGCTACTGGGGGGGTGTACGAGATGGTAGACTAATAAGCCCGGCCTTATCCGGGAATCTCAAACTGGCATCATCATCATGAACAATTTCGAGCCCAGTACGGTGAAGGCTCTTGTTGAGTATCTCTACACTGGTGGGTATGGCAGCCTTCCAACAAGTAGTATTGCCATCACCGCGTGCGAGAATCCCTCCGATGTAGAATTATTATTATCCAGGTGTCCCGACACGGCTATACATCTCCTTGACCACATTTGTGTCAACTCCTTTGGTGATTATTATCAAGTCAATGGACTTGTTAACACTGCGAACGGGAAGATCAGGCATATGCTTAAGAGTACAGAGAACGATCAATCCTGGATTACCAGTCTCCCCGCTGCAATTCGACTAGCCCTGAATACCACAGCAATCGAAGAGCTGCTTGACATTTTGGCTGAAGCGACTGCTAGAGAAATATCTTCTATCATATACCTAGAAGTATTCAAGCCCTCTGAGGTTATTCATGGTTTTCTCTTTAAAGTGTTGTATGGGTGCTGGGAAAGAATTGAGGGATTATTGAAGGAAAATGATCGGCTGAGGTCTGGTCTTTCCGGCAAGGTTTTTGGAGTCGGGCGGCAGAACGTGAACATGAGAGGGTTCGGTCCTGTTGTAGGCGCATAGAGCAGTGCTTGAGAGTTCTGGACAGTACATCATCCTACAGGAACACAAGATGCGGTGTTTTCTTTGACTGTGTGATTGATGCGGATAAGTGCCCTCTCCGGTGTAATAAGTGCCGGTGTAGGCACTACGGATAGTCGGTGGTCTGGCTTTGGGTGGTTTGGAAGCTCTACGCTGATGGAAGGAATAATGTCAAAAAGCAACAACTCCGATAGGGAAATCTTCGCTTTTTTTCTTCTTTCTTCTTTTCTCGGTCTGGCTGAAGGCAGAGAAGCTCGGGGGCGATAGGAAGTACTATGGTTTCTTCCTTGCAGAGTACGGAGATAATGATGTCCTATTTTTAAGGAATCGGCACGGGTGGCAGCTGGAGCGCTTAACCGCATAGCCACAGTGGGCTAGGATTTGTTGGACACTGTGTATATTCATGGCGGTTTTGCATGAGGACAATGGAAGACAATGACGAATAGGCTAAATTATAAAAGGATGGATGAGAAGGTGGGATAGAAATTGGAGAGAGAGGAGGAATAGAATGTTATTGTTGTTGGTTGTGTTTTGTTGTGTTTGCTGTGTTTGCTCTTCACGGACACAAACAAACATTGCAAACACCTGCTGTCTAATCTCATCCACTTAACTTATCATCCTTTCATCAACAATGTCTGCGCTCTCCTGCTGAACACAAATCCTGGTCTGCTACTGTGGTTTTTGAAGACTCAAGGCCAAGAATCAGACTTCAACGTCCTAGTATGGCACCTCCTCATTACTCAAGTGTTTGTTCCGCTTCCCACCAACGGACTCTGTAGGGTGCATTTCCAAGCGGGGTTGCTCGTGGCTACAAGATCGAAGTGCAGCTATATATCTCCCGACCAACAAGGGGGCTAGGACAGGCAGACAAATAATCATTCTCTCAGGCCAAGCTCTAAAGAGTCCCACGAGAGTGAAGGGATACAACCGGTAAAACCGGTAGACAGAGTCGAGGTTGGTTGTTGGATCCAGGGTAATGCGGAGGTGCAAGGTCATGACAGCAACCACGCTAGGAGGAATTTCAACTGCATTTGGAATCCAGACCCGGGCAGGAGCTTGTTTTTGTTCTGGCAAACCAGGGATTATCCGAATTAGTGCAAGAAGTCAACATCAACAAACCATGGCGCCCATCCCCACAGGGCGCATTACGGGGGATCGAACCTGGCAGCTGCTGTGAGCCGCCATTCCGCTCACTCTGGCGCCGCATTGTTGGCTGGGAGTAGAGTAGGAAAGTTGCCTGACTTGGCTTATCACCTCGTTTTAGGTTGGGAACTTCCACCGTGGGTCGAGGGTTTGTTTGCGCCCTTGGGGATGGCGGTGTGCGTGGGGCTGCAGCTTTTCTTTCAACGATCGTATGCGGCGGATGGGCCTTACCTCGGTGCTTGTGGTGTTTGTTGTTGGTGACTCTTGATTTGCTAGCATTGTGTGCTTTCTTGTCGGTCATTCATCGCGCTGGGTGAATGTTGGGTGTGATTGAGACCAGGTATATAAAATGTGGCGGCGGAAGGCTCCTTTGCCCTAAATTCTTTACTGTACTGCTCAGTGGTGTTTACCTTGCTTGACCACCCATCAAACCACACCTGATACACTGCGCCTCGCCAAAGCAACATGTATTCCCCTTCCCCTCCTCTAAAGACGCCGACTATATCATTATTGGTGAGGGCACGTCAGGTCTGGTGGTAGCGAATCGTCTTTCGGAGGACGCCTCGATGTCTGTTCTGGTTCTGGAGAGTGGCCCGGACCGAACAACAGACCCTTGTATCACAGACCCCATGGCCTGGCCAAGTTTGCCGGGCTCGGAACACGACTGGAAGTTTACGATAGTATCCCAGGAGGGTCTGAATGGACGTTCCCAAGAACATCCGGCCGGGCATTTGCTGGGCGGATCATCCGCCATCAATGGCCTGGCATTTGTCCCTCCATCTGCTGCGGGACTAAATGCCTGGGAGCAGATGGGGAACCCCTGATGGAATTGGGAGACATAGTCCGGGTATCTCCAGCGCTCTTTCAACGGACCGGGTCCGATTCGATTGTCCTCTCCGGCCCTGGCACAGGAGGGAAACCAGCCCCTCATTCAAGCCTGGAATGCTGCCTTCAGCGACTAAGGGTACGCTCATACAAGTCAACTGGTCGTCGATAGCCCGACCGTGGCACTAGACTGCATACCGCGACTATTGACCCCGAATGGGCCCGGCGAAGCAGCGCGGATGTTGCGTATGGCGCAGTGGCAGCGCAAAGCTCCAATCTGACCATCCTGACGGCGGCAACGGTTCATCGCATTGTATTTAACTCGCCAGCGGTCGGGGGCCAGCATCGAGCGACCGGGGTCTGGGTTGAACTTGCCGATCATCCAAATCCACAGCTTGTTCACGCCAACCAAGAGGTGGTGCTTGCAGCAGGAGTCTTCCAGACTCCCAAACTACTGGAGCTGTCGGGGGTGGGCGAAGCTGGCTGCACACAATAACCCAGTCCTGATCGGCAATCCAGGCGTGGGGGCCAATCTGCGAAATCATTTGATGGCAATGCTCCCTTGCCCACTGTCCCAGATTCCTTAAGACTCGGGATCTGAACCCAGGACTTCAAGCCCTCGCCTTTATGCGGCTCGACGACCAAGAATATCTGCGCCTTGTGGATCAATTCCTTTCGTCCGACAGACCGGCAGCTTTGGGGCGAACGCAGGCCGTTGAATCGGTCCTGGCTAATCCCAATGAAGCTTCAGCCTGCCTGTTCTTGGGCAAACTGCCTGGGCCGGTGGTATTTGTTATTCTGATTCCCTGTTATCTTCTGTCTGTTGGTCATATGTATATTGCTCCTGCAGATCCCAATGTGAAACCCAATATTGACCCGCAGTTCTTCTTATACCTACTAAACTTAGAGCTTATGGCTTGTTACTGGCAGGTATTGCAGCATCTTATGATTGCTTTTTTATTGAAGAAGTTCTTCGATTGTGGTGCTGCTTTTACTAAGACAAGTTTGGAGAGCACCAAAGCTGTATTGCGGGAGGCAGTACTTACAACGCACTATGTTTGCGGATCTGCTGCTATGCTACTGTTAGACAAGGGAGCAGTGGTCGATAATATGCTGACTGTGTATGGGATAATAAATCTGTGTATGGTATATGCCAGTATCTTTCCTCTGGTGCCCTATGTGAATCTGATTGCAACGGTGTATGTGGTGGCCGAGCGAGCCGCATACATCTCAAGGGCTTGTAGTACTCTTATTCACCTCTGAAGCTCTCCCTACACACTCCCCTATCCATTGCAGGTGCTTTCCCGGCGACAGGTGCTGGTTGACCAAACCAGAATGGGATGTGTTCAACATCAGCTTGGGAGGCAATCACATCACCACCGTGCCTTCACCCAGCGTGTGCCATGTGAATAATGCTTTAACCGTGTACGACCCCAAGGCGTGCGATATCTCAACGAGAAAGACGTCGACCAGCCCAACTGCCAATCCACATATTATGGAAGCAACTATGGAAGATTGGCAATCAAGCTCAAAAACGACCCCGACCATTGTTTTTTACGCTCGCGCGGCAGTCGGGAGTGAGTACTGGGTTGAATCGGCGGATGGTCGGTTGTGTCGTGCGATGTGATCATAGAGTTGAAGCAGAGATAGGAGTATGATTCTCGTGGATAAGATCATCTCCGCACTCTATCTCGCGGTTGAATCAGGCTTGATTGCAATTGGGACCTCGTCCCCATTTTAATCGTCGTTTGCAGATCTGCCACTTACTGCTTAGGATTGATGAGTGTGGGATATTGTGCAAGCATATCTGTTGGATGAGTCAGCATAGGCGCATAATTATGGACTTAACTCACCCAGCCCTGTACTTCGTATCGCACAACAAATTCAGGTTGAGTCTATGCTGAGTGGTAAAAACCGCTTCCGACGCTATTGTCACGCCGGGTTGCCAAAGAGGGAAGGTAGATAATCCATTATCAGAAAAGCCATGACGTATCCTGTAGGGTAAGAAGGACTAACTAACGATAGGGTGCTGATTTATGTCATACTCGTGGAAAGTTGGAGGGATGAGGGATTTTTGGCCCACTCGGATAATCGGGGGTTTTCAGCCCTACAAGGCACAGGCAACAGGACCCACTCCTCTGGTCCACTCGCCAATCTGGTTTCGATGATTCAACCAAGATTTCTGGCCGACTCGACTGGAAAGCTTGACCAGGCTGACGCATTAAGGAAATCTTCACCTTGGACCGGCATGACTGCAACAACCATGATGTCATGAACCTGTCGTCAGTGAAGGGCTTGTCAGCATATAAACCCATTCATCTGTCTGCTCGGAAGTTAATTACATAGTAGCATACCCCCAAAGTCCACTACGTCTCATTCTTCGCACAAGTCCAAATGGCAACGACCTCCGATAGCTCGCCCCACGTGGCCTCTCTCCTGCACAAAAAACCGCATTACCACTCCGAGCTGGGTTCCATCCAAGCCATCACTGCTGACGACCTCCCCATCCTCAAGAATCTGTCCATCAAGCGTCTTCGTCTGGCGCGCAATGCGATCCGTGAGCCCCACTGGCACGCCAACGCCAACGAGCTAGCCTACTGCTTACACGGCAAGGTTCTCATCTCCATTCTCGACAGCGGTAACGAGTTCTCGGTGTTCACCCTGAACCAGGGGGAGATGTTCTTCGTGGAGTCCGGCTCCCTGCATCACATCGAGAACATCGGCGACGGGGAAGCAGAGCTGGTCATCTGTTTTCGCCACGAGCGACCGACAGATTTCTCCCTCGCCGCCTCGCTAGGGGCGATGAGTGATACGGTCCTGGGCAACACCTACGATCACCGCGCCTCGGACTGGAAGAACATCGGCCGGGATACACAGACCAAGTACATGGTCCGCCGGCAGGGAGACGTCGATCTGCCTCGCACTGCTCTCCTGCCGAACCGCCACAAGTTCGACGTCGAAGGCATGACGCCCCCAACCTCCCATGATTTCGGCACGGCACGAACAGCCAAGAGTCAGTTCTGGCCCGTCCTGCCCAACATGTCCATGTATTCTCTGCGAGTGGAGGAGGACGGCATGCGGGAGCCGCACTGGCATCCGTCGACGGCGGAGATGGGATACGTGGCTGAGGGCACGGGGCGCATGTCGGTCATGGACCCCGACGGGTCGGTTGATACTTATATCTTGAGGCCCGGCGATGTGTACTACGTCCCCGTGGCCTATCCCCACCAGATTGAGGCGGTGGGTGATGGTAAGATCCATTTCTTGATCTTCTTCGATCAGCCGATGCCGCAAGACGTGGGGTACCGGAATGCTGCCACGTTGCTGACGCCGGAGAGTATGGCTGCCACCCTTGGGGTCGATGTCAAGAACCTCCCCGAGTTCCCTCACACCCCGAAGGATCCTCTGATCGTGAAGAAGCGCAATGAGGTGGATCCCGTGAAAGCTAAGCTCTGATTACCTTGGGCTGTGGTTATCTGCATAGGGAATGCTCCCTGACAGGATGTTCGATTTGTACTATTATAACTACCATCTCTCACCTAATAAATCATAAGTCGAAGCTCGTTATTGAACAGTTGCGCCTGCTCGAAGAACCGCGTGCACTGCCCCCTCTCTTCCGACGTCCCATTCCCCATTTGCACTCCTGCTTCATATATCAATCGGAAGTCCTTGGCAAAGTCCGCGCAAATGACACTGAGAGGTGCATTCCCAAGCACTTGCCGGGTAAACTGCTGTTCCCTGAACAGGCGCTTCGCACTCAGCCTGGGGTTCTCCAGGGCACTGCCACGAGCGCTTTTCCCCAGCTGCGCCTCTACATATGCCAGCTCCTCGTCTGTCAACCGTGATCGTTCCCTTTCATACGTGACAGCCTCAATGTTTACTCCGCGAGCGATGGCTGGGAAAGCCGGCGGCGGAACCGACGGCTGGAACAGCTCGAACATCAGCTCGGTCGCAGACTCGGCCAGGTCCATCCCCGCGATGGACGGTTGGACGGGTTCAAGAGGTCGACAAAAGCCCTGGCACAGATAGCCCCATACGAGTGGCTGAGAAGGATGTACGGAGGCGCCACGCCGATCACATCGATTAGCTCCCTTAGTTCCCTGGCCGCGGTCTGCGCCGTCAATACTGGTCCCTGAGCACTTTCAGTACTCCCCGAACTGAGTTCGGAATCACCGTAGCCCGTCCGATCGTGGAAGTAGACCCGACGGCGAGCGGATAGTGGACGCTGCAGGGGCAGGGAGAGGGCACCCGGGGCACCGCCGCCCGTGAGAAGAGCACGACGGGGCTACCGGTCTAACGCGGGGGGCCGGAGGTGGAGATGAACAGGCTGTGGGTCGAGATGTGCACCAGACCGCATCGACTGGTTGTTTCCCAAGGGCTATTGGAGAGTATTCGAAGAACCGTGATGAATGTTGTAAGGGGTTAGATCGGTGTCGAAATGCAGAGACGATCTGAGGAAACAAGGCATCTGCGAGCGGTATAATTGTGCATACATTGCTTAGTCATACACTTCATAGCCTGCATAGCGCAGATTCCTCGTTGCTGCTATAGATCTAGAAAAGCCGGTACATATATAAGAGCATGTGAGACTATGACAATACAATGAACGGTGAGAGCAGACAATCAACAATTATATAGACCCAAGTTATGACCCCTCCCACTGCGACAGGCTTTGGACCTCACCCTGAATCCCATATCAGGCAGTGCATTTGGTGGCAGCACTCACCCACCCAGTCAAACGGTTAGCGATATCAGAAGCATAGCAAGCCGTCGCTCCAGCTCCACTCAGGTTACCAGAAGACGGGATGGACCAGGCACCCGAATTGTACATTCTGGCCGCCCGATAGAAGCCCGCAGCATTGGTCCGGGCAGACTTGTCCAGCAACGAGGCGAGACCATATCCATCAGCGTCGCTAGTTCCAATAGCTGGCAGGCATTAGCTGGATGACCTAGAGACACATTGCCGATGCGTGAGAACATACCTCCATCCTTAATCATCTGCACGATCTCCGTCTTAGGGCAGGGATTCTTCACGCTGCCCCCATTGTTGCAGGTCCCAGTGCCCTGGTAGCTCTGCATCAGGCCGGGGTTGCTGACACTGTATGTCGAGGTCGGGGCCCGCACGCAACCCTTGGACTCCTGCATCACCACCGCTAGGATGAAGCGGTGATCGACCTTCGAGCTGGTGGCCACCTCCTGGATCGCATCGTACAGCTCCTGGGTCTCAGTCGCGGAGTTGTCGGCCACTCCGAACTGAGCACAGGATTTCCCGATGGTAGCCTTGTTGGCACTCCACCTGTGTGTCTTTGTTAGCTAGGAGCTGCGATGACATTAATCACAGGACATGATAGTGGCTTACATGTTCTCGAACGAGACCCTGGAGGAACAATTAGTACGAAGAATGGAAGCGGGTACTGAGGACAAACTCACCAGTCAGACTGGGCGGGCCAACCAGCGCTGGTCGACCCGTCCCCAGTGTACATGATGTAAGAGTCCTTGCCAGCCCCTTTGCCATCCTTGTTATTGATGGAGCTTACTGCCAGCCCGCTGACAGTCACCGTCGCACTGGTAGATCGGGAGCTCAAGCCGTCGTCGCGGTTAGTGATTTCGATGTTGCGGTCGCCCATTGGAGCTGCATTAGTGATTCCAGCCAGAGATCCGACTGCAACAACCTAGTCACAGAGATTAGGGTCGGTATACAGAGATGGAACGGCACCTTGCTGCTCACATTAATAATCTGTGTCCAACGCATTTTTGAATGTGGTGCTTAAGGAGATCTGACAAAAAGTAAATCGAAATTGCAAGAAAAGGATGAGGGATAGTTGGAAGTGCTGTTGTTGCAAAAGAGTGTGGTGAAACTACCCGGTAGCTTCAGAAAGACTTGAGAAGGAATGGATGAGTCGAAATCGGCTCGAGAGTTTGGGCTTGGTCGCTTGATGCCAGACATACTCAACGACCAGATATTCAGCCCTTTTATACTGCGAATCCAGGACGAAATTCATGATCAGAGGTGAAAGTGCCGAGAGATCATTAGGAATGATGAAACATCATTGTTGGTTGGCAGGAACAGGTAGACCGGCGTTTTTTGGAAGCAGTTTAGACTGAGGGAGTAGAGCAGTGATGGTGTTCAAGAACGCATGCTGAATTGTGTAGTGTGACTAAGGGTTCAGCGGGGCATGAACACCCTTAATCTCAATGAAAGAGATGATGGAGCAACTGTGGGTCATCGGCTAATGTCTTCCGAAGAACACACTTAATATCTGTGCTTATGTGAAAAACACATATAACACATCTGCCAAGTTCCAACAAGTTAACTCCGGGCTCATTTGCCACAGTTGACTAGGACAGTAGTATCAGGATGAGGCTGTGTAGCTAGCGGTGATTTGTTGTAAGTACTATGGAAAGTGAGTTTCTGGAATCGCGAGGTACCAGCTGGAGAGTTGCAATTGGTGTAGAGCAAAAGACGTCGAGTTTGGCCTGAGAGAGACAACCTCGTGGACACACTAACTGCCAAGTGCTGGATGCCCACTATGCTAGTTTCCACAAGTGGACGAATCGGCTTTTGAAAGAGGTGTTCGCGACCTGGCGTAGTAAGCTAGTGACGGTCAACAATGCGACATAGCGAATTTAATTTTTATTAGTCGACAAGGCATTCTTACAGATGGGGTCCGTTTCAGTGCCGTAGGAAGAGTGGAGAGCCCTAACCGCTCCCGCAATGGCGTACAGAGGCTCAGCGTGGGGGCCATCGCGCAAACCACTCCCGATGTCATTCCAACATTTGGACTCGCTTGGCGTCAAACCTAGTCCCTGGCTAAGAACGGGCCGAATTGAGGGGATATGGTTGCATGTTGTATTTCTTGGTCCAAGACAATTAGCTCCACCGCTAGCCCCCAAGCGCAACATCAACTCGTCCTCCTATGCGGAGGTTGAGGTTGGTGAATTATCGAACTCTTAACTGCAGTGACAATCCCGAAGGTATTACCTTACCTGGTGATATTATCGATCTTCTTGATTATCACTTCAGTGCTGACGTTGTTGGGTTTGCACCCCCGAGGCTTTGGGATAACAGAGTTTTGTGGATTAAAGGTACATTTTCAGAGAAACAGATCGGGCAAGACATGTGGAAGAGGCAGCACTCTGACCTGGTTCAAGCGGTAGGTCTGAATGTTGTCTAGTAGTGTCTGTTGCTTTTGTGGAACTTGGATGATCAGGTCCAGAAACAGAGGCATGCGGTTATGGTCACGAGCAGGCTGCAGGGTTGGACGCATCATCAAAAATGACACCAGCTTGCCCGGGCCAGAAAATAACCTTGCCACCTCGTTCGCCGCATAAGAACCGAAAGAGCGACGCATTTCATGGGATTCTTGATTGACAAGTTTGGAGGACACTCACCCACAAGATGCAACCGCCAGGCTACCTCACACTCTCGCCCGACGGGTCCCATCAAACAAGCCAGAAGACCAATTTCAGGCGTTTCCTCTTATATCTGCTCGCAGGTATTGTGTACTTATTGCCCTTCCTATACATTGCTCGCCATTTCCGATCAATCCAGTATGAGGGTTCTAGCGAGCGAACTCCACTAGGCTATGGTATGAGTAGACCTTTCCATCCAACCGTCACTGCGGTGAATACCAACCCCAACTCCCACGCAGCGTTGAGACGGCCCCTCTCCATTATCTACACTCAAATATATTGGCGCACAGAGTACAACCCACTCGGAAAAGCGCACTCAGAAAGCGATCATCTCTGGGACGCCATTCTCCCATCCCATGGCTGCATTGCAGTTGACCGCCAATGGGCGGCCGCTCGGAATTGGCCGGACACTATGTCCATGCCCAACAATACCAGCAAAGGAGTCTATCTACTAGAGGCCTATCATCATTTACATTGCCTCGTTAGTGATCTAGATAAAGTGAGCGGGGCTGGAAGCTAAGAGCTTGATTCCAGCGCATCATGCGAACCACCTTCTGGGAAGCCGTGGAGCAGCGCCTTTTCAGCCATCCAGGCGGCATGGGACGTTGAGCATTGCTTTGAAGCTCTGCGACAGCTATGATATTATCCAATAGAAAACATGGGACTTGCTGACTACCGCATCCATTAGGCCATCCAGTGCTGTGCAGATGTTACTCCGCTTTACACCTTGGGAAAATTCACGGCTGGTGATGGCCAGGTGCATCAATGCAGGAGTTGGCATGAGCTTCGCGACTTTGCCACCAGTTACACCGCTTGCTATCGAGATACTGTTCCGCCGATACCCCTGGGAGATCATTTCGGCTTCTGTGACGACGGCCGGGACGGTTTGGAAGAAGGTGCAAATCCGTTGTAAGGGGATGCGTGGTCATGGAAAACAAACGTCACTTGTCTGCAATGACATCTCTTCACCGGGAATATTTCACATGGATAACGCATCGACGACCAGCAAAATGACATACGTAAGCTCGGGTACCGGCGATCGTCATAAGTGACAAAGGTATCATACTCAAAGATCTCTTTCGAATAGGATCGCAAGATATGCTTCTTTATTCAACCACTCCATAATAACATATTATATAAATGTACACGACTCTGAAGAGGGACCTGAGACTTACTCGTAAGCCATCACCATATTAGGTCTGGTAACGACGTAATCCTGATATCTGATACTGTAACCGCGATGGCTGATGAGTCTCCCGAGCTTACTCCCGAGGTCATTGAGGCCCGGAAGGACCTGTGTACCAAAGTGTCTCGCCGTTATGTAGAGCTCAGCCGCGAGGTCTACAAGCCGGCGTTCCGAGATTCACCAGTCACGCGCCGGCTGGGGCCAATCGACTTTGATCTTCTCCGATTCCTAGGGCTATGCGTGTATGTTCTGAGGCAATCTCGCGATACGAATCACTGGCCCAGCCCCTTCTTTCTAGGCCAGCTCGAGGTGGTGTCGGTGACTTGGGGTCGGTTTAGTCGATTGTATGATAAGATCCGTGCTGAGCGAATACAGAAATTTGCAGACATCGACAGCTGGGTCGCCGAGTTCGGGCCCGAGATCCTGCCTACGCTGGAGAAAGAGTGGCTTCCGGGCAGTTGCCCCTCTTGGCTGATCACTCTGCAGGATGCCACCGTACAGCGCATTGTCCGCGGGATCATGGAGCAGTACCTCGGCGCGGAGGCAGCAGACCGGATGGGGATCGACAATCTTCCCACGGCACCTCGGTCGCGCCAAGAAAACGAAACGTGTCTGATCTGCCAGCAGTCACTCGCGGAGACGCAAGGAGAGCCTCTGGAGTGGTGCAAGATCCAGTGTGGCTACGCCTTCCATTCCCGATGTGTGATAGAATGGTTTGCGTCCCCGCTTTTGGTTCACTCTCCGGCCCGATGTCCACATTGTCGCCAGCTATGGCTCGCGCCGATGGTGGGCCTGCTGGGTAGTGTCTGGCGAGAGGATCTGTCGCTGGCATTATTCATTCTTTCTCTTTCATCGTAGAGAGGAGAGGCATGTCTTCATGTGCGCGCCCGTTTGACCCAATAGAAATTTCATTAATTTCCAATTGCACCTCATTGCAGCTATCAAACATCGTAGCTACTCCTCTACAAATCGCACGCAGAGATCATTGCGCCTGAGAGCCTTGGGGGGACCGCACGCTTAGTACCTGTAGCAAAGCAGACCATGATCATTGCCCTAACGGGGAAATGATTGGTAGTTGAAACAGATAAAAGAGCGGTCACAGCCAAGTAGAGCATGACAAGCAGATCAAGGAAAACCAAACCTGCAGGGACAGTGATCATCCCAAAGTCACTGTGCACCATGCGCGGCTACTCAGATGCAGTCTGTCATCCAGATTGAGAAAGAAGTCCAACTCGGCTTCGATCAGCAGCAAGTACTCGGTGGAGGAGGGGTGTATGATGTCCCGTCCCTCGGGTCTCTTAGCTCTCGTCCCTCGGTAAAGTTACGCCACCAGTAGTGTGAGAACGTCAATTGTCAGACAAAAGAAATCTCGGAGTAAGCAAAGGGCTGGAAGTGACACCAGACCCGTGGATGCTTTTGGAGTCATGGTTAGGGTTGCCGTTGCCGCCAAACCCGAGCTGCTGATCCCACACAAGGGTGGCAGTTATCTTCACCCAGTCCAGAGTTTAATCCCTGTAGATTAATTGGCCGCTGTAGCCACAAACATCGCAGAGTGCTCGCTGATACAGATGGACCAGGTAGTGGCGCCAAGCTATCATTAGTGCTGGTCAGTCACCGGTCAACCTGAATTGTCCCAGTGGATATATCACATCTGGCAATGATTGCCTACATGAGTACCCCGCGCAAATGTTAACATAGGGGAAATTATCATAGAGCGTATAGGATTTCCCGAGTCGAGACGGTTGATCTTTCAGGCGTTGCACGGCTTCGATGTACCCCAGGTGCTCAGTCTCGACAACGCTCGCCATTCGTGACGGACAGGGCATTCAACGACACAATTGTTCGGCGGATGAGAACCTTCAAGATCGTGCAGGATACTAATCATCGTTGGGGGACCCAGAATGATAGAGGTATAGACGATGGCTGAGCCATCAAGGCTTCTTGACCGTGGTGATGATGGCAAATCGACGTGATAATCGTCATCATCAATTGCTGACAAGATTCGACTAATGGTTCTTCGTCGGTCGCTTTCTTTGGGAGTCCGCTTATCTTAGGTAAAGCAAACATGGTTTTCTAGGTGAGACAGATAAGCCGCCGTGGTTTTTCCTCGCTTGCGAGCTGGATAATCTTTGTCCCTTGAATTGAATTCAGATCGTGTCTGTCCCTCTCTCCCTCAGGAAATCGCTTCACTGATATTGCTAAACCTCCACCCGTCAAAGCTCTTTGCACTGACCTCCTTGTCAACCTTCTTCATTCTTGCGAATATTCCTCCATTCTCGACATGAACTTGAGTCGAATCGTGGAGCTAGCAACACGGATTCAAGAACTGGCGAAGGAGCGTGAAAGTTATCTACAGGAAAATGACATCCAGTCTCCAAGCTTTGACGAAGACGGTCCCGTTGAGCTGCGCCTCTCAGGACACATGTTAGCAGCCCGCGAAGAAGTCTTGTCGTCCACTCTTGAGCATCATAACCTTTTCTTGGGGCCGTCGAATTGCCTTCGTCCGGTGGTAAGCCGTCAACTATACGAAAGTCAAACTCACCACTCATCCTCGTTTGCAGTTGAATGGCGTGAGCCTCCAGGCAATCTACATATTCGACATCGCGCGCCATGTCCCTGTGCACGGAGTAATCTCTTTCAAAGAACTTGCTGAGAAATATGGTCTGGACGCGGCCAACTTGCGTCGCACACTACAATTTGCCATGGCATACCACCATGTCTTCCGAGAGCCCCGGAAGGGATTTGTTGGTCATACTGCGGCCTCACGCAGGCTGGTAGATGATCCCACCGCACGTGCTGGACTCGGGTACATGTTTAAAAAAGTGTGGCAGGGGTTTTCCCATGTATATCTCTCCCATCCAATGAATATGCGATGCTCTCGTTCTTACCGGCTCTAGACACTCCCTGCATTGGAGCAATATCACAGCGATGATCCTGGGCGAACGGTCAGTTGAACAGTCTTCTGCCCACCCCCACCCGCGCGCCCCTGTCTTCAGTCAAGCTAACCCATATACAACTTAGGGCTGGGCTCACTATCACAACACCGACATGCCTCCTTGGCAATACTACTCATCTCACCCCGAGATGGCTGGACGCTTTGCCGTGGCGATGTTCTCATTTGCCAATGGCCACCACAATGCACCGTCCTTCCTCGTCCAGGGGTATGATTGGAGTCAGTTTGAGCAAGGAATGATCGTAGATATTGGCGAATAAAAGGGCAACGTGAGCAGCCTGCTAGCCCCGCACTATCCCGAGCTCCGCTTGATCGTCCAGGACTTGCCGAGTATGGTCGACGGCGCAGCGGAGAGTCTGCCAACTGACGTGCGGGATAAAGTGACATTTCAGGCGCACGACTTCTTCACGCCGCAACCTGTCCAGGCCAATGCGTACCTTTTCCGGAACATCTTCCACAACTGGTCTGACTCGCATGGCGTCCAGATTCTTCAGGCGCTGGTACCAGCCTTGCGACCCGGGGCTCGGATTATTGTGAGCGACTACCTGCTCCCTGAGCTAGGAACACTGTCCCTGCTGAAAGAGCGTGCTGTCCGGTATATACATACCCTCCTTCTCAAGCCGATAGAGGCCGAATTGCTTACATCATTATCCAGAGATGGGGACATGATCATGTTTAGACTCTTCAATTCCAAAGAGCGAGAAGAAGCGGACTGGATTGAGTTGTTCCGCAAGGCTGATTCTCGCTTTGCCAAGCTACGTATCTGGACGCCCGAAGAAGCATGGATGGCTATCATTGAGGCCGTGTGGGAGCCATGAAGGGCTAGAAAGCTGAAGTAGCTTGTGTCATTTATTTGTCAAGTCTGATTCAAGAATGATGCCATTTACGGGAGTTCGATTTTTTGATCAAAGTCCCCCCGTCGCCTTCCTGAACCCAGCAAGTACTGTGGATTAGAGCACAGCGGACGTCTAATAGCCGTCTCCGATCGCGGAAAAGTCGACTACATCAGCGGATTCAATGTCTCGTTTAGTGTCTGTATCGCACGCGTTAGTCACATCAGTAGCCCGGTAGCTCTTGCTGTGAATGGCCTACCAAAGGATGCAGGTGCGGCGACGCAGATGAGGGTCAGAATAAGGCTAAATGCGGACATGCAGGTAAAGGACCACATGTGCTTTCGAATTCTCGGAAGGCAGGTCGTGAGGACAAAAAGTGGAGAGTGACACTTGTGCTTTGCAAATTGGGTGAGCAGAAAGTGATGGTCGATCTATGAAACTGGCCAGCCTGGGCGAGTAGAAACTTCATAAATACCTAACAGCTACGCTTGTTGATACTGTTCATCGGCCTTGACCGTCCACCCCTTTTGTCATACTTGAAGGCAAACGACCATCAAATAACCCAACTAGCACAGTGCATATGTTGTGGCACGACGACGTCGATCAGCAGTCTGATTGTCAATTGTTGATTCTCAGGAACAGGCAAACAGAGTGTAGCCCTTGCACCCGTCGCAGGCACAGCCCCTCACCTCAATCTCGAACACCCCCCTTCAGTCCTTCACTGTCCTTCGTCTTCCGATGCCCAGCAACCACGAAGAGAGTACTAATATGTGACACTCGCGGCTCATTTGCAAAATAACATCTGACCCGGCTCCACGCGAGACACACCTTTTTCTGGCGGAGCAAAATGACTTATGTCAATGAGTACAGCGTGCTCGGGGTGGGAATTCTATTCACGGTGATGGGCACGGTGGCCATTACCACCCGCTTTTATGTTCAGGGCTAGAGTAGACGACTGGGAGTTGAAGACTGGCTTGCTTTGGCGGCATGGGTATGCTATCTGTTCTCAAGGATGAAATAAAGAAACCTAGCTGATATTGTGGATATTGTGTCGTACCCGGTAGGCCCTCGTCACAGGCGAAGCTGTCATCATGATGATCGGTAGACCTTTTCTCTCATCAGAACCTTATACTGAATGAAATTGACGGAACGACTTCAGCAGGCTCCGTAACGCACACGGTGGGCGCCCATTCCCCCGCAGATATCGGCGCAGCCATCCTGTACTACGACGGATGGGACCAGGTCTTGTTGAAAAGAGTAGGGCTCGCCTTCCCTCGTCTTCATTATCTTACTTGCACGTACTTATCATCTGCAGCTGGAGTTTCCATTCGACATCATGCAGCCCCTGCCCTAGCCTTGCTCAAGCTATCTGCCCTATTCTTCTACCGGCGACTCTTCGTCGGACGGATCTTTGACATCGCCAGCTGGACACTGATTGGCGTTGTAATCGCCTGGGGTATAAATTTTTGTCATTCCGCTGACGTCAACGTGTGGGGCGACTATCATAACCAATTTCGGCACCCTGAACGACCTCATGACGCGCTGTGGTCTTAGCTTTGCTGTCCTGATTGCGCTGACGGCATCGGACGTGGCCGTCGATCTCATCATCCTGGCCATTCCATTGGCGCTGGTGAGTTTTTCTGCATCCATACTGGGCGACGACACCACCAGAAAAGCGGTTTCTGATCACATCAGGTTCTCTCTCTCCACCTAGACTTCCATAAGCGCAATGGGATTATAGTGGTGCTGCTCATGGGGTCAATGTGAGCGTCCCTCATCTCCTCATTCACTCTGAACTAGTTACCTAAACTGAGATCCCAGGGCGAGGGCGTGTGGCATCGCGCGCATGTCACTATTCGCTAGGATCCTCGGACCTAAACGTACAGTATACCCTGCCGGTATCCCAAGCGATGCTTCCCGGTGGCCGCACTAACCGAATGTTCGCAGTGCTCTCCACACAAACCGTAGGCAGCGTATCCTCGAGCGATGACATCGGTGCGTTGACTCCCGGTTCCTAACCTCGACCTGCTACCCAGACACAGAAGCCAAACACGGTGTTAATCACAAAGACTATAGGCATCGTCAGCATCCTCATGTTCTGGGGCATGTCGAAACCGGGTGGCGATCGTGGCGATCGTGGCGATCTGCCTCCCCATCCTCTACCGGCTGGTGCGCGACGTCTCGCCCCGTGCGCGCCTACAAAGCCTGCTTATGTTTCGTCAGATACAAGGTCGAAGGACGACGGTAGCTCGTTTCTAGATGGTGCCGAAGTCCAGCCAGGGCAAAGTGCTCCGCCTCGCAGATTCTACGGACTTGGTTCTATCCTGAAATCCGGTAGGTGGCGGAGTGAAACGTTGCATTAAGAAGACAGTGGACCTGAAAATGATCCTAAGTGGATGGCAGTTGATGACAATGCAGCGATGAAATTGTCTTTGGGCTTTACAGGAGAGCGAGGGGCTGAGTGGCCGCAGATGAGAAACCAGTCCACCATCGCTCTCCCAATGCGGATGCATGCTGTCACGACTGATGCGGTGCTCAATGCGCAGCAGCACCCTCCGAGGAGCCAGATCTGGGAAATAGAGGAGATCCCACGTACAGTTGAGGTGGCTTGAACCGAAGGACAGGAGCAAATCTACACCCGAACTACACGACGTAAGCCTCTTGGATGATAGTAATATGAAATTATTCTACTAAAGAATGTAAGCTTTTTTTTCCCTTGCGGGCCAAGCTCCCCGTAATTAAAGGGACTTTGTTATGAGTCAAGCCCGGCCTCCCTACCGGAAGCTCCTTCCATCCGACTCTCCCTCGTGCACAAAGTACTCGCGCGTGACGGCAATTCCGGCCCCGTTCTCCAGCGACAATGGCAACGCTCCGTGATCCTTAACCAAGCCATCCTCAGAATCATGACGGGACAGATCGTCGGGGGTGTTGCCCGTCTGCGTCACCGACACGGTGGTCCGCTGCTTGCTCGTGGGGCCGCCGGTGGTGTTGTACCCCGAGTTGGACAGCTCGTAGCCGCGCCGGCCGCTGTACGTCCCGGTGCGCGAGTGGCTCCCAAAAACCAACGTGCGGAGGACGGGCAGGCAGGATGCGATGATAGCGATGGAGGCCTCAATCATGGATACGGTGCAGGTGATCATTTGTTCGTTCAGGTGGGAGTAGATGGCTCGGATGACTGCATCAATCGTTAGACATGGCACTGCACGCTTCTTGGATCGATGGGCAAGACATACTGCTTGAGATGACGACCAAGGCACCCAACAAGAAGACAGAGATGACACCCCACTTCTGCTTCTTGGGCATCTTCAGACGGGCGACCTGCGAAATGGGGAGACAGATGACTGTTCAACGGGTTAGTGGATCGAAGGATTGTCTTGTGGTTGGCTGCGGTGTCTTACTGAAGACATCAGTGAAGATGTTAACTGCGACATGGTTAGCTTTAAGTAATTGCAAATCTGACACGGGGCTGCATACAAAGGATCGTCAACCAGTAGTTGATCGTCGATGGCTTCTCCGGGCATGCCACTGCATTTCGTCGCCGCGTTAGTATTGCTGATATTCACCACATCCCCACCGCATTCACATCCACTCACATTCCGCATCAAGCACGCTCCGCCATTGTCGGGAAGGAGGGTAGCACTTGAAGACAATGTCGAAGAACAGGACCAACCAGGTCGCCGCCAGAATGGCCAGAGTGATATTGTACACGGTCTGGTACCGGGTGCGATCGGCGAGACGCTTATAGAAGATCACCAGGCTGGCCTTGATAAGCCAGAGTGTCGTCACATAGAGGGTAGATCCGGGGATGATCATCTGTCACAGGGCGAAGGATAGTAGCCGCAGTTAGTCTCAGCGTAGTGGAAGTGTAGAGGATTCGCGCGGGCTGCAGGCCTCGGATCGGGGCAGGGCACAGTGAAAGAGGGGCTCAGGATTTCGGGCGTTGTCCGAATGCTGTCCGTAAACTGACCTTCAGCATGTTGATCGTCTGCTCTGAGTCCATGTTGGCCGCATCCGACATCCCTAGAGGAAGCCCACCGTTAGATCTTCCTCGCACGGATCACTCTGCATGCATGTGGATTGAGAACAGCGGGGGAAATAGCGAGGTACAGTACATACCCAGGTTAAACATATAATGCTGGATGACCAGATCTCCGATCAGGCAGAGGGCTGCAACGGTGACGAACAAATCGTCGAGATACCACCGTTTCAGCAGCCTCCATCGCACCCAGAGTCGACAGACAAGGAAGATGCACGCGACGATGGTGACAATGTACCAAGACACCTGGCCACCGCGAAAAAGTGCGTTAGCAAGAAAACAGCACGCTGAACAATCTCTACCGGGGTTGACCTACCACTTGGCCGGTATCTGGACGACTCATGGCGACGAACAACCCACGATGCGGGCAATAAGTCACGACAACAAAGACAGACGGAGACGAGAGGGCATCTCTACAGCAGCTGCAGCTGCTGGCAGTCAATATTAATAAACTGCGATCGACCCGCGCAGCCTGCCAGGGAGCGTTACGTGGTGAGGAACTTGGGAAAACCTTATCCCATGCTGGGAAGCTCGTTCTGGCGGTTTGTTTGGAGGAACCAACAAATCCAGGTGTTTGAATCGGGGAAGGTCCGCAGAGGCCTCCCTCTGGAATCTGGATCTGGATTCAATGGTGGGTGGGTGGGTGTGTGTGTGTGTGTGCCTGTCTGTGTGTTTTCCATGTGGTGTGGCCACTGCTTAGGGGGGAATGGGGGTGGTGTGGTGGGCAGACCAGCACTGGAGGGGAGTATGGCCCGAGGCATTGGGACCCTCGTGGACCATACCATCTCGATAACCCTGCACGACGGAGTATCGGAGATCGGGGTCAGGGAAGGTAATCGATAGTCTGCGAGCACATTGCTGGATCTGGCTGTGATTGCTCCAGGCAAAACTTCGGCGGCCCACAGTTAGGGTTGCGGATCCACCCAAGTAAAACATTCTTCGGACATCGTCCGTCGCCCCTGCAGGAATCCTTTCTGCGAGCTGCACGACATGGTACACCATATGCGAACTATTGATTTCTAGAAGCCACTAACCTGTTCACGCCGTTACGCTGAGATCAACCAGATTCAGGCAGCTGTGTGCTGGAAAGATCACAGGCTGGGATGGGAGGGCAAGCTTTCTACGGATCAAACTCTATCGGCGATTTGGACGCATTCGGATGCTGGAGTGACGATGATTCACGTAGATTAAAAAAGGCTACTCAGGCTTAATCATGCAATGAGCCCGCTGACAAATCCCACAAAAGAAGCGAAAAGTCTAATAACAAGAGAAAAAAAAAATTAGATTTAATGCCGAATGAAATGTCGAGGTTCGCCTTGCTGCGCTGAACAAAAAAACCCCCCCCTATTTTCGACTCCTCTCCTTCACCTCTCCCCACTTAAGAGCTGGCAGCAGCAGCCAACTCCACGGGATTCTGGACCACCGGGTAGTTGGGGTAATTAGGCTTGTAGACCTTCTGGCAGCGCTGGTTGTAGGTGCCAGTCTCGCCCGTCTCAGTGGCCTCCTCGTTGCCCGGCACACCCAGCAGGGCCAGAGGTCCGTTCACTGGCGTGGCCTGATCCCAGCCGGGACCAGCGCTGGGGTCCTTGATCCAGGCAACAAACCAGTCGTTCATGTAGTCGGCCAGGTCTTGCTCAGCCGCCGTAACTCCGGTCAGCTTGGCAAAGCACTCGTTGCCACCGTGGAAGAAGGGGACCTCGCTGCCGTGGGAGGGGCCGATGTCGGGGATACCCAGCACGTTGGAGTAGTTGCCGAACCAGCGGTAGATCCAGGTGTTCTGCTCCTCCGAGCGCATGTCCAGGAAGTAGTCGGTCGCGCAGTGGAAGCGGGCGTCGCCGTACGAGGCACCGCTCATGCGGGAGATGGAGGAGTAGTCGTCGGGGTTGTAGGCCTCGAGCAGCTCGTCGGCGGGCACAAACGCCAAGTCGGCATCGTAGGTGCGGATCCACGAGGAGAAGTCGGTGTTCTCCGACCCATAGACGATGCCGAAAAGCTTGCCCTCCTTGTCCGAGTTACCGACGATCAGCGGCAACGACTTGGGGTAGTGGCCGTTGACAAAACGGTCCGAGTAGTTGGAAAAGCGGGTGAGGTTATCCACGACGGGGCCAAACCACGTGTTGGAGGTCGAGTTGAAGTAGCTGGTCTGGAAAGCATAGGTATCCACCTTGCGCAGGCAGTCCAGAGTGTAGTCGTCGGCAGTGCAGTCCAAGGAGACACCCGCATCGATCATATCCTGAACGACCTGCTTGAGAGCCACACCCACGGGGGCATTGGCCGGGCCAGACTGAGCGTTGGCAGACATCTCGATGGCACCCGCCAGGAAAGTGTCGGGGTGGTTCCAGAGGTAGTCATCAACGTGGACACCACCCGAGGAGTGGCCTCCCAGCACGATGCGCGACTTGTCACCACCGAAGGCTGTTCACACGCAAAGTCAGTGGGGACGGTGACCACGTGGGAGAGGGGAAAAAAAAAAAAAAAAAAAAAAAAAAAAAAAAAAAAAAAAAAAAAAAAAAAAAAAAAAAAAAAAGGGTGGATGAAGGAATAAGCATCAGGGGGAAAAGTCAAAGTACGGACCTTCAATGTTGTCATAAATCCACTGCAGGGCCAGCTCCACATCCATGATGCCGAAGTTCTGCGACTCGCCCTCGAGCTCGGGAGCATAAGGAGAGGCATACATGCTCTCGCGGTAGTTGAAGTTGACGTAGATGACATCCTTGCGAGCAAAGTTCCATCCCTGCCATTGCTGGTTGCTGCTACCACCCGTGACCATCGCACCACCGTAGACGTAGACAAAGACGGGCAGGCCAGTGCCACTGGGGGGAGTCCAGATGTTCAGGTTAAGGCAGTCCTCACTCTGGGCAACGATCGTCGTGCCGGACATGGCCTGGGCGCACGAGGGACCGAAGGCCGAGGCATCGAAGCTACCCCCCTCGTAGGAGGTGGCAGCCAGGGGAGCCTTCCACCGGTTCTCACCAGCCGTCGTCTGGGCAAAGGGAATGCCCAGATAAACATTGGTATCGTTTTGGGAGAAACCATAGACAACACCCTGCTCGGTGGTGACGCTGGGAGAGGAGGCATCAGCGGCATACCCCAGAGCCAAGGCGGTCGCACTCAGGCTCAAGGCCAGATTGGCACTCTTTTGCAGAAGACCCATGATGACAGTGGCAAATATCAAGTGATCTGCAAGGAATCTGAACGGTGCTTGGTCGGGGGGGAGGATGGCTCAAGACTGGGCCTGTGGGAGGAGTATTTAAGGAGTTTTGGGGCCAGGGGGAGAAGATCCAGAAATGCTCGCAAAATGGCACACCGGATCGACTGCCGAGCCACCCCGATCCAGGCTACCAAATTAGCTGCTCAAACGAACTTAGTCTCGTTTACACTTCTTCTCGATGAACGCTAAGGTACGACCCAGACCATGGTTACACATGGCTACACCGTTCGTTCCTGCACCTGAGCTAAGACAAGACCAATAACTCCCCCTCGGGTGGGGGTGACCACATGGCACCACACGTGGTGCAATGAGCTTGGCTTTCGACTATCGATTTTTCGAGTCAGGTCCCCATCGGAAAACCAGGCAGGATGTACAACTGCGATATCACCTCGTGGTGGTGGCTGTTTTGCTGCGTTCTGACTGCTGGGTTCTGAGTCTCTTCTCGTCAGGATCCTCTGTTGGAGCACGGAATGGTTGAAACGAGGCAGACACCGGGCAATCCGTTGGAATTCCTGACTAGTCGGCTACTGTTTTTACCTAATTGCATGTGCTATACATGTGCTATCTCGGTGGTATCTGAAGGATTGAGGGATAGGATTTGCTGCTGATCGTCTACCTCGTCATAATCGGATGATCTGCCGAGATCTGATTTGCCCACGTGGGGGTTGAACGCTAGTTTGCCTGGACAATTATAATTCTCCTTAGCCAATTCTCCGACTTGTCCTTTGAGATGGATTTGAGTAGGATAGGGGCGTTGGGGGTTGGGGGGGGGAATAGGCAATTGCCTGGTCGGCGGACGAGTATCCGGCTTCACTCACGGTTGCAATGGGCTTCTAACTGCTGCAACATATCCGACGCCTTCACACAGTCTTAATCACTGTAACTACTTTGAGTCGAACATATCTCAGAATCGTAGATAACAATCCAGCGTCACTGATTAGAATTAAATGAAAACTAGAAGAAACATGTGTTCTGTGCTTGAGATATATCCTAGGGAGCCACGCCGTCCAAGATGGTGGCGGAGATATATTTCTCTGCGACCTAGCGCTAATCACCCGATGGCAGCGCAAACAATTTGAGCAGAAGATCCTCTTTTGCCATTGAAAACATTGGGAACAGTGCGATTTGAGGAGTGACACTGCTATCTGTAGCCATGACACGCAGTAATTTCTCCAAAAGTAACTGTAAAGCATACACAATCAGGGGTGGAAAAAACAAGTCGTCGCGAACGGTATATTGCCACATGCGAATAGAATACAAGAATCCCATTTCGCCAGCAACAAACATGCCAAGAACCAGGGAATCAGAATTTCAAGTCCGGGCATGGAGAAGATTTTCACACGCAAAATGCGACCGAGTCGAAATTGCATCATCTTCGAACACTGAACCGGGGAACCAGCAGTTGGCCGACCGAGGAGGAAATATCCACGGATGTTGGTCCGCGATGGTTAGTTATGCTATGCAGCTTACACAGCATAAGTGGGGAAAACACCCCGAGACGAGAGCCAGTCTCCGAATGCCCTGGAACTTAAAAATCACATCCAGTATGGCCCTAGGGATACAACTTATGGTTGTTGAATCTGCTGCCATCGCATCGCAAATCCATGTCGCATGCTCTCGTCACAATGTGAACCCTGTCAACATGTCATATTAATCTAAATAAATTAACAATCCGCGGATCCTATTTACTGCCCGCCGCCACAACCAAGACAACTGCTTGGCAAACGCCTCCCACCTCGCAGCAGGCAAATTTACCCGCGTGATGAATTGCCCTCCAGTTCGTTGACAGAAACCGTGGATGAGACCTGCGGGAGATGCGAATGAGATTGAGGCTGATCGGCCACGCCCGGAGCTTTGTTTCAATGCGTTTCAGGGGTCGGCTTCTGTAACGCTTGTTGTCGCATGCATCGCTGCAGAGCCACCGAGTTGATCATCACATCGGGGCTATATTTAGTCACTTGAACAGAGACAGGACTGAGATACGGAGTAGTCCGACTCGAATTGAAAATGCTGATCGTACTGCTTAGATGTGCCCATCATTGTACTGTACAGTACAGTCGCATTGGTTCATAATGATGAAAATCAGGGCACGATTCTTTCAGTACCATCTCACAACAGTACGGTCTAACAAAGACAACTCTAAACCAGGTAATGGAGCATCTCAGCAAATCCCAATGTCCCTGCTGGAGGTCCACGTAAAGGCAGAAACATGATAAGCATTTTCGTCCACATCGTCCTCAAAGCATGCTTCTATCGCATCCAACACGGGTCTATAAATAGACCAAAACCGGCTCTTCCATCCAACCTAGCCTTCTACACTTACATTGGACCCTAAACCCTGAGACTAAACAAAACAACAGTGCATTGCCCATAGACCCTCGTACAAGCAACCATGGCCAGCATCGCAGACTCCGACTCGACGGCCGTCATGTCCGAGAGAGGCGCCATTGAGTGGGAGCGCGTACGAGGGATCCGCGACAGCACGCGTGCCCTCCTGGAAGCCGAGTCGCCGTACATCGCCATGCCCGCGGTAGCCCAAATCCTCCAGATCGGATCACGCACCTTGATCGTTCGGGTGCGGTGGGAATGGGCGCTCCGCGATCCCACTCGGGAGGAAGTCGGCGGGATGGTCAGCACGCTATGCGGACAATTCGCCCAGCTGCGGGCCCAGCGTCCCACGGCGGAACCCTTCCACGGCTTCATCCAGATCGGGCCCGTCGTCGTCCTCTACGCGGAGGTGCGGTTCATCCCCGCCCCGTGTCAGGGGGCGCTCTGTATGCCCGGAGAGACGCTCTCGGGCCTGACCCGGAGCTACCATATTGAGGAAGATAGCCCGATCCTGCAGCACTGGCTCAGCAATGAAGCAATGCGCAGCTCCCCGAGCCTTCAGGAGATGGCGGCTTGGGGAGTACCTGATTATGCACAGGTCTTTGGGAACAGGTAAGTGTATTTCACATTGTCATATTACGGAATGTGATAGATCACCAGTGCTGGTGGTTATATTCGAATGGATCTAATCCCGTGCTTCCCTTCTATTGTGTATTGTAAAGTTCTTGCGTTGTATTTTCTTCAAACATGCGGCTCGTCTCACTCAGCTGGCAGCTCGACCAAGCAAATAATGGCGTGAATGGGATCAGAAAATTGGCGGTAATTGTAATATGTGATGACTACCCGAGTACAACCATGTTGCATGAACATAAATGCTAGAGCATTGGCAATAATGTCTGCTGAAGTTGCGGTGAAGGCGCGGCAGCTGAGAGACAGACACGTGATGCATGCACGACAGTGAAAAGTTCATCCTCAACACCTCGCATGGGACAATAAACAAGGAAATCGATGGACATGTCAGAACCCTAATTGTTGGAAGTAGTATACTTAAAGCGATTCTTCCATGATCGCCTTTGAAATTCTCTTCTCACGCGCACAGTCCTTTTACTCTCCCATCATGACAATCACGGCAGACTCGCTTTTCGACGACGTGGGAGGGAGCTATGAAGCTGCCTTTGCAGATAATGGCCCCCTTTGTGCATTCATTCATCAGGCCAGCAAGAAGCTACCCCCCAACAGCCCGGTGCTGGACGTGGGATGCAGCACCGGCAAGCCCGTCGCGGAGATCCTGTAACTGCAGGCCATGAGGTGCACGGGATTGACATCTCCCCAGGGATGGTGAAGAAAGCTGCGTCACAAGTCCGAATATGAACACATTTCAGCCTTGCCAATCTTATGATGGGGTATTTGCGATTCTGTCGCTGTTCCAGCTCACTCCCGGAGAACTGTACTCCATGATCTTCAGATTCGCCGAGTGGCTCAACGTGGGTGGGCACTTGGCCCTCGCCGTGACGCCCACAGCACCGGGTTGTTGCCGGAAAAATGCACCTACGATCCCACCTGGGATTGTGTGTGGATGATCGGGAAGTACTGGATGGGCAATTACACTAACGAGGTGTTCCATTCGGAGGATGCATGGGCTCGCCTGCTGCAAGCGGTCGGGTTGGTGCTCGAAATGATGCCCGTCGACCATCTTTTCTGCCCGGCGAGTCACGAGAATTATACGAGCCCTGAGGTGCAGCTCTTTCTGCTTGCAAGGAACGTGGAGCCGCAGGCTTTGCTGGGCCCGTATCCAATCTCGATTGTTGAAACGCCTACAGACTGTATTGACAATCTGAATGTCCTCACTGATCGCTTCGTGAGCAAGGATCTCGAGACTCTCTCCAATCAGATCGCAGTGAATGGGAAGAAGGCGCTTGTTCTCGGGCAAGGATACAATTGGAGTCAGTATGTAGGCTGTGGAGAATCGCAGTTCCTGCCCGAGATCACCGATGACCTCTCGTTTGAATCCGACGCCTTCGATGTCATCGTTGCGCCCTGGACGCTCGATAAGCTTCCGAGCCTCAATAAGGCCATGAAGTAGATGGCTCGTGTGGCACGTCGGTAAGGGCTCACAGCTTGTCATCCTCCAAGGAGCCCCGGGGAATGAGGCAGTAATGCACCTGAACGCGGCCGCACGCTCACCGCGAATCCGCCACCAAGGCCAGATCCTGCAAGAGGCGGCGCATGAGCTGACGGAACAGGGATTTAGCTTAATCTCTCTGTGCGTGTTTGCGCACATTACGAGTTCCCCGAAGAGGACTTACCCACCCGATGCTCGGTGGCTGCAGGATGCTTGGCTGGGATGACACATCGACAGCATCCGAATTATGAGGTCATCAAGCACGTCCTGACTGCGCGGATGAAGCTTCATTTCCAGGGTAGCGCACACGCAGTAGGGATGGACATGGTTGCGTTGATTGCGAGGTCGAGCGATGCGGCGAATTATCGCTCGAACTGAAGGACAGTGTATCGGATGAAAAGTAGGGTGATATATACCCATGACTCCGAGAGATCTTATCGTATCTTCTTTAGTTGACCCCATGTTCCAAGTATCACCAAAATTCTTCCCCTCATGCAGAACAGCTGGGAATAAGAATTATATGAGTATTACCTTGCGCCGCCCCTAGTGGTGGCCCGTGGCGAACGACAAACGCTCTGGCCCGCTCGCTCACCCGTCTTGCCTGCGCTTTTCGAGTGAAAACCCGTCCAAAGCATGATTACGAGACAAGTGACAAGAGCAGGATGAAGAGGGGTAGTAGAAAGAAAGGGTATAACAACAGGTTTATAGGGCTGTGGTCGGTGGTGCTTCCCGAATCAGCCTTAGTTTCGGGGTCCTCAGATTAACCCTGGCCTGCAATTGAATCAAAAAGTGAGCTGCCCGCGGTTTGATCCCGTATCTCTACTAGATCATTACTCCTAATGCATGTTGAAGCTGGATGATTGGGTGGTGTTGGTATCAATCAATGAGCCTTATCGCGCAAAGATCACGCCAACATGTCGCGATGCACCAAGGCTTGGCCTGAGCTACCACTCATAAATCTATAACCCCGCAACATTGTCGCCTCCCAACAACACCAGGAGCAGGACCAAAATATCCAGACAGAAATATGGCGGGCCACGGTTCAACCTCGAGCGCTATGAAGCAGCCCGACACCAAGATCAGCCAGGTTGTAGACTTCAGCCCGCCACCGCGCCGCTCGTTCCGCTCCTTCATCTGGGACACCGACACGCACCTGAAAACCCCCGAGGAGCGACGCCTGCTCCTCAAGCTCGACGCAGCTATTCTCAGCATTGGATGCCTGGGGTTCTTCATGAAATACCTTGACCAGGGGAACCTGTCTAATGCCTACGTGTCGGGGATGCAGGAGGAACTCGGCATGTACGGTAACCAATACACCTACGCCGGGACCCTGTACACGATCGCATACGCGGTGATGCAGATCCCGAGCACGCTCATCATCCAGCGCGTGCGCCCGAGCATCTGGCTCGCTGGAATGGAAGTCGTCTGGGGCGCGTTCACCTTCGCCCAGGCGGGGATGCAGACCGTCCCCCAGTTATATGTGTTCCGCTTCCTGATCGGCTTGTTCGAGAGTTCCTTCTTCCCATCTCTGTTATACCTGCTGGGCAGCTGGTATACCAAGACCGAGCTTGCGAAACGAGTGGCATTGTTCCACATGACCGCACCCCTAGGGACCGCGTTCGGGGGGTATCTCCAGGCAGCCGTGTACGAGAACCTCAACGGGGCGAGAGGGATCGACGGGTGGCGATGGCTGTACATCGTTTGCGGGTGCATGACGGTCCCTGTGGGACTCGCGACGTTTCTGTTCCTTCCTGATACACCGTATACCACTCGCGTGTGGTTCTTGTCGCCGGAGGAGCGCGAGCTGGCCAAGGCGCGCGTGAGCAGGGCGGGCGTCGCGCCGCCGGTGAAGATCACTTGGAAGACGTTCACAGGGGTGTTGAACTCGTGGAAGTGGTATGCGTTCGTCATTGGTTATGTGGTGTGTACTCCGGCCTGTTATTGTTAGCTGATAAGGGGGTCTGTTTATGCTAACGTGTCAAAGCTGTACGGCTCATCCTGCGGCGGAAATGGTTACTTTGCCATTTGGCTCAAGTCAGAGAACTTTTCTGTGGCAGATCGCAACCTCATTCCGACGGGGACTTCGTTGATCTCCGCAGCGTGTGTGGTGCTGTGGGGGTTCCTGTCCGACTACACCGGAAGCCGGTTTGCATGGGTTCTTATCCCGCTGGTGAGTTGGCTGCCTTCACTTACTGCAGGTATGGTAGGGTGCTGATGAGGGTCGTACATGAACAACAGATATGGGGCCTCATCCCCAACGGTATTCTGGCCTTCTGGCCCCAGAGTCTCGCGCTGAAAGAATTCGCCTTCCTGACCATCGGGATGCAGCTTATGACGGCGGTATTGTAAGTGGCCCGGCAATCGTCCACCTTCCACTAAGATACTGACGATTTAGCTACTCCTGGGCAAACGAAGTTTGCGCCGACAACAACGAGCAGCGCGCGGTGGTGATCAGCAGTATGAATGGGTTCCAGTACGCGGTGGCTGCCTGGCTGCCGATTGTCATCTTTCCGCAGACCATGGCCCCGTCATTCCGTGAGTATTCCCCAATCTCCTCCGGGGGTTTGCCCTGAATCTAATCATACCATGTTGACTAGGGTATGGCTTCCCGGCCACGTTTGGGCTGGTGATCGCGTCCATTATAAGTGTGGTTGTAATACAGCTGTTTGTTCTGCGGGATGAGCGGAGGGTGAAAGCACGTCTGGGGAATGAGGGATCAAATGATGGTGGAGTAGCTGCGTGAGGTAAAAAAATAATGAGACAGGAGTGCCATGGCAATTCGCTATAAGGGAGTTGTTGATGCTCTTTTTAGACATCATCGGCGGTGATGATCTTTACATAAATCTTCGAAGAACTACTCTTGCTCGTGATATCCATATGTGAAGATACCAGAAAGCCACCTGAGATATGTGACTAGAGTACGTACATAACATACAGAATCACATTCCGACCACATTCACCATCTGAGCGTTATATGTCAACAACATGAGTTAAGAGGCTGTGTAGCAAAGATTTAAACACGGAGACATTCATGTCTGTGGTATGCAACAGCCACAGCCAAAGTCATAAAAGCAAATGAACCGCCAGTGTAAACAGAGCTGTTCATTTCTGAGATCTTGAAAAATTGCCGCAAGATTTACAACTATTTTCTGGAAGCCTCATACTACAAACTCAGGGATTTCATAATAATGAAGCTCAGGTTGACCCTCAAGCGAGTCCCGTCTGACGATGATGTCGCCTACCTGGAGGACTGCCTCAAGAAAGTCCTCCCTGTAACCGAGGAAGTACTTCGGTGACCTTCTCCATAAGCGCTGGTAGTATGTATACTAGTTAACTACCTGTTATTCTAATTGCTGAGCAAACAGACAGCAAAAACATACAACAGAAGGGATTCGCTGGTGGTCACCCACCCAACTACTAACCTCCCGGCGTGTGGCTTAAGTATGGCTGAGCGGACGGGAAGCCCTGTTTTCCACACCCTATGGTCGTATGTACCTTTGACACCTTATTGAAGAATCATATTATGCTTTACGTCTATAAATCAAGCTCTCCTCAACTGACGAAATCCCAACCATCTCCCCCCCCTCTCCCCCCTTCGAATCCATCTTCCATCATCTCGATGACATAGATACTCCCGGAAGGTCTACAGAAACTGGATCGCTCGACTTCAAATATCTGACTGCGCATCTCAAGAGCCACACTGTTTGCAGATACATCGGCTCCCTCACGACGCCGCCGCACCGAGGGCGTGAGCTGGTATATCAGCGCAAGCCGCTTCCGCAGGATGTGGTGAGCTTCAACAAGAGCAAGCAGATTCTGAAGTTCAATGCTCGGTATACTCAGAATGCTCCTGAGGAGGAAAATCCGCTGAAGGTGGCTGTTGAGGTGATAGATTAGGAATATTGGAAGTCTGCATCGAAAGGAAATAGCAGAATGGGTAGCATGGTAAATAATCTGGTTAGTAATGGATTGTCCGCTGTGACGATCTTACCGAAGATATCGTAATTGTACACTAGAAAAACAATTCATACCTAGGTCCTGCTCGTGATTCTGTACTCTAAGGAGGACAATCCAGTAGTAAGTGCTTTTCGAAGGTTATGGCATCTTTAAATTGGATAAATCTCCATCACGTTGATGTAATGTTCAAAGGGAGAAGAGGATGTGACGATCAAGAAGGACTTGCGAAGTCGAAGAGAAGTTGCTTGGAAAGGCATGTTCTTTCAAATCTTATTGAAACAACCCGACCTCCAGTGCAGCTTTGATGCCCTATACTGATCAAGCATGTGCTGTCGTCTTACCAGCGCTGTGGCTGTCGCACAGCGTGGAATGCCTCGGGTGTATCATATGCCATTCAGACGTCAAAAAATAGCCGGCCACAGTAGCAGTGGCAAACGCACTGTCTTCAGGTATCAGAAGGCTGCACATAATGTATTATATATCATCTTTTCTCACACTACGCAAGGTGCTACGCGTGAGAGCCAATAATCAACTCCGCGGATCCTTCACAGAGGCACACAGAGTCGACATCCTGCATCGTCGTCATGCTTTCGCTCAAAGCCCATCTAGCCATTCTACTGCTCGTCGTTGCAGGAGATTACGGATCAGAAACCAAATCGCATAATTTGACAGAAGGGCTTTTTGGTAGCGATGCGAGTTTCGACTACGTCGTCGTGGGCGCGGGGACGTCGGGCTTCACGCTGGCAGCCCGACTGGCCGAGCAAAAGTTTAGCGTGGCTCTCATTGAGGCCGGTGACTTCTATGAGGTGGTTTGGCCAGTGGCGAAGATTCCAGGCGCCGTGATTATAGGCCTGGGATCGAGTCCAACTTCAACCACCCCCGTTGATTGGAACTTCATCACCGCCCCAATACCGGGCGCGAATTATCGGAAAGTACATTATGCCAGGCACAAGACCTTTGGGGGTTGGTAAGAGGAGTCTCTATTCTCTGATTATCTATTTGGAAAACTTGGCACCATGACACTGACCGCGTCAAGCTCAGTATGCAACGTAATGATATACCAGAGGTTTCCGTCCCAGAGTATCCACAAGATCGAGCCCTGTACTGCTAACACATTGCAGGCCTGATAATGGCTCCATGCAACGATGGGCGGACCTCGTGCAGGACGAAAGCTACACGTTCGATCGGGTGCTTCCATTTTACCAACGAACGCCCACCTTCTACCCCCCTCAGAACGAGCTTCGGCCCCCCAACGCTTCCGCGCAATACAACCCGGCCGCATATTCTCCGGCCGGGGAACCCCTCCAAGTATCCTACCCAATCGACAGCATCCCGTTCTCCAGCTGGATGGTTGGCGGAATGCAAGCAATTGGCATCAACGAGACACAGGACTTCAGCAGTGGACACTTACTAGGCGCGCAATGGTGCCCTTTCACCGTCCGCCCATCGGACCGAACACGGAGCAGCTCTGAAGCTGCATTCATGAGCGCAGCAGCGAACAATGACCGGCTGGCAACCCTCACTCTATACAAAACCACGATGGGAAAGCGGATACTGTTCGACGCCGACCGAAAGGCCAGCGGGGTGGAAGTGCGCACCGGGACGTCAACGTACACCCTGCACGCCAACCGGGAGGTGATTGTCTCGGCGGGGGCTTTCCAGAGCCCGCAGCTGCTGATGGTCTCCGGCATCGGGCCCGCGGAAGCCCTAACTCAACACAACATCCCGCAGCTCGTCGATCTCCCCGGAGTTGGCCAGAACATGTGGGAGCATCTCTTGTTTGGTCCGTCATACCGTGTGAGTCTAATCACTGGCACCAACATCGCCAACAACCCCGCCTTCGCGGCCGAGCACCTCGCCTTGTATTTCTCCCTGCGGCGGGGCCTCTTCAGCAACCCATCGGCCGATTATCTAGCCTGGGAGAAGATCCCGGATCCCTTGCGCCAGCGGTTCTCTGCTGATACACTGGGCAACCTGTCATGGTTTCCACCCAGCTGGCCGGAAGCAGAGGTGCGCATCCCCGTTCAAGACCCCTCAGCATTGACCACTCCTAACCCCAGCCCTGGCTCGCCCTGGGAGGTGAGGATAGTACATCTCCTTCCACATCTACCTAGGCGACCTGGCGGATCCGCTGCTCGACCAACCGAAAGACGGGTTCATGTACGCGTCGATGATCGGGTCGCTGGTGGCGCCCAGCTCGCGCGGGACGGTGACGCTCGCGTCGAACGACACGGACATTCTCCCCATCGTGCAGCCAAACTGGCTGTCGACGGAGGCGGACGCGCAGATGGTGGTGGCGATCTACCGCCGGATGCGGGAGGCGTGGCACAGCGCGGCGATGGCGCCCATTGTGATCGGCGAGGAGTACTTCCCGGGGCCGAAGGTGCAGACGGACGAGGAGATCCTGGAGGCGATCCGGCAGACGGTCATGACCATCTATCACGCAGCGTGCACGTGCAAGATGGGGACCCGGAACGACAGCATGGCGGTGGTGGATCATCGGGCCCGGGTGTTTGGGGTGACCGGGTTGCGGGTGGTGGATGCGAGCGCGTTCGCCATCTTGCCGCCGGGGCATCCGCAGGCCACTTGTTGTGAGTTTGTTTTCTTTCCCTTGTGTGGGAGATTTTGGGAGTCGAAGGGGGTGTTGAGGTTGAGAGGATGTGCTGGGTCCTAGCTGATAAATTGTCTAGATATGTTGGCAGAGAAGATCGCGGCGGATATCATCCACGGTTCCGGGGATGGGAACGGAAATGGGGATGATGGAGACGATGATGGCGATAGTGGCGATAAGGGAGGAAATGGGGGTGGATGATGGTGCTTTCCCGAAGATCAGTGTGTAAGTCTCTGTGTTGTGGCCATGGCGATTGTTTCCGGATAAGGGTGTAGGCGGGAGAGACCTTTCATTAATGTAGACCAAGGCAGCGAGGGAATGAAGCTATTCAACTTGTTGATTTCGTTAATTAAAGTCCGTACGCAGAGAGAAAGATTCCGCATCACGTGCTCTTATCGGGCTATCTTATCCAGGAGCAGGATCACGTGCCCCTCGCGATCAATCTCCACCTCCCGCGTGGGCTTATCTCCATCCGTCATCAGTTGTCAACACACACAAATCATCCGTCAGGAACGAAGACCATGGCAACAAACACTATCGTGATCGTTGGGTGTGTTGCTCGGGCCATACTGGAAGCTTTATGCTGATGATGCCATCTCAGAGCAGGCGTCTCCGGACTCACCACCGCCTTTCTGCTATCGCAAGACCCGACCAAGTCCATCACCGTGGCCGCCAAACACATGCCCGGAGACTATGACATCGAGTATGCGTCTCCCTGGGCCGGTGCCAACTACTCTCCGTACGCGTCCCCCTTTCGCACTTCGTGGCTCTCCTGCAATGCTGACAATTTGTAGAATGGGCGCAGCCGGTAGCAACCAAGCCAAATGGGAACGAGAAACCTGGCAACCGCTGCGAGAAATAACAGAGAAGCACCCGGAAGCCGGCATCCACTTCCAAGGTATCTTCACCCACTCCCTTCATCCGCTAGTGCCTCTTCAGCCCTAAGTCTCATCCAGACAATGTGATCTACAACCGCACCCAAGATCAAGAGACAGCGACCGGCAAGAACTTTGCGGCCCTCATGAACGCTGAGCCGTGGTACCGCGACGTCGTTTCCAACGTGTGTATCTGGCCCCCGCTCTGCTCTCAACCAGTCCACTAAACCACAACGCAGTTCCGATCCATGCCCAAAGACCAGCTCCCTCCCGGTATAGACAGCGCCCAGACCTTCACTTCCGTCTGCATCAACACAGCAATCTACCTCCCGTGGCTTCTAGGCCAGTGTCGCAAAAACGGAACCGTCTTCAAACGCGCAGTCTTCACGCACATCACCGACGCAGCACAGGCCCACCACTCCGGACGCAAAGCAGACCTCGTGGTGAACTGCACCGGTCTTTCCTCGAAAACACTCGGTGGCGTGCGCGACGAGACCCTCTACCCAGGCCGCGGACAGATCGTCGTCGTCCGCAACACGCCGGGGAAGATGGCCGCCCTGTCCGGAACAGACGACGGGGAAGAGGAGCTATGCTACATGATGACGCGCGCCGCCGGGGGCGGGACGATTCTGGGCGGCTGCTACCAGCAGAACCAGTGGGATCCGCTGCCGGATCCCAACCTGGCGGTGCGGATCATGAGGCGGGCGATTGCGGCATGTCCGGACCTCGTGGCGGAAGGGCAGGGCATCGAAGGGTTGGATATTGTCCGGCACGGAGTAGGATTGCGTCCCATACGCAAGGATGGACCACGGGTGGAGCAAGAGACAATCGATGGGGTGGCGGTGGTGCATAATTATGGCCATGGCGGCTTTGGTTATCAGGCTTCGTTTGGATGTGCGGCGGACGCTGTGCGGTTAGTTCAGGAGGGCCTACAGCGCAAGGCGCAGGCAAAGTTGTAGTGGTACGCCTATCTCATACGCTGAGAGGATCGTAACGACTGATCCCTGACCCACCAGCTAAGCAATATTAGGTCTAGTATGATCTGTTGTTGGTGCCCAGCAAGGCCCAGACTCTTGGATATATGACTTCCTTCCTTGCCTATCATTATATCCCAGATACCCACGAGTCACATCATGGGCTTCTCCAAATTCCGATATCTTCCAGCAGAGCTACGAATACACATCTGGGAGGACAGTCTTCCGCAGAAACTTGGACGCCCCATCTACCGTTGGAGGGAAGGGTGTTGGCAGTTGAGCCCCTGCGACCCAAACACCGGGGCCAGACAGCCTAAGCTCGAGTTCCGCCACACGCTCTTGCACAACATCCGGATCGACCTTCCGCAGCTTTTTGTGGATCAGGAGGCGCGGGCCATTGCCCTGAGATGGCTCCAGCGCCAAGGAGCAACGATCACAGTCGATCCCGCACAGCAACCATTGACGGTAGCACGGGTGTTCGACCCCATGCACGATGCGCTGTACGTCTGCTCAGGCGCATCGGAGGATTACCTCAATTTCATCCTCGAGCCACATGAGCGACTGGAGGAGCTGGCTGGGCAATTCGTCACCACAATACCGCCCGCCGTCCGACACATCGCGCTGGCCAGAGAGCTGTTCGTCAATTCCGCCGGCCTATTCCACGACATCTTCCACCATTTCCGGCACATCCAAACAGTCTATGTGATGGAGGATGTACCGCCAGAATTGGACCAGCAGACGAGGGATAAGCTTCAAGACTGGTGGGAACTCGAACGTACTACTGGCGTGAGCATTTCGTGGGACTTTACTCGGGACCGGTTCACAAGACCCCTGAGTGAGGCGGCAGATGACCAACGACTGTGGTGGCTGCTCAACCGGGCCAGCGTAGGGCTGCGACGGGCATTCTCACCGGAACAGCAGGCTGTTTTCGAGGTGTATCCTGTTGTCGCTGTGCGTAGATGAGCACAACTCCCAGCTTAGACCAATGAAGCCCTGCACCATCAGTTGCCACGCAAATCCATCTCACATACGAGCAGTTCAACTAGACTTGGAGATAACTACACCAACCCAATACCGGATAAAACCATCTAGCTAACAGTCTTGATCGCCGCCTCCACATCCAGAAAATCATCCGCCCTCCTGGCCGGCCGGCCCCAGCGCACGATCCCCTCACTATCCACGGCCCAGAACCCCCCCGCCTGCCACCGACTGCCGCTCTCCGTCGGCCGGTTCCAGATCCCTTTCTCACGCCCCAACTTGACGATGTTCATCAGCCCGCTCGGACTCAACACGTGACCCCAGGAAGCCACCCCGGAGCCCCAGCGCGCATACAGTTGCCGCTCGGTATCGACGATCATCTGCACCGGATGCGATCCAGGCCCTGATCCAGGCTCTGCCGCCCCACCCACCGCTTCCAGCCACCGCGCCGTAGAGGGTGCATCGCTATGCGAGACCGCGGCGAAGTTGAGCTGCGGGTGCTGGGCGGCTGCTTGACGGAGGGTGCGGAAATCGGATTCCGCCACTGTTGATCTGGTCAACATCGTTGAAAGAGGATGGCCGTGGAGGAGGCAAACAAACCTGGACAGCCGCAGTGGCGGAGGAAGAGAATGATGGTTGGTCGGCGGTTGGGGTTGGGCAGGGGCAGCTCGGGCGATGAGGGGGCGGGGTGGCCGAGGTGCGGCGGACTGGACACCTTTACGGTGGAGGGAGAGAGCCAGGAGGAGAGCTCCTGAGCGATGATCATGCTAGATGGTGCTGTGGATAAAATGATAGTATAGTTTGATGTTGCTGTCACTTCTGCGAGTAGTGATCCATTGATGGAATGATTCATGGGGTGGCTGGTGAATGAAATGAGTGAGCAGGCTGTGATGCCATTGGTGGGGCGGCATTGCGGGCGGAGTTTATCCGGGCCGAGCTTCTTGCCCTACCTTTGACTAAGTATCCATCTGTCACATCGATCCCTGACGGCAAGGGGGAGCATATGCAGAGTAGGGTGGTGACGTATTGGTTGCAAGTACAATTAGAGTCCTACTAACCATCATTTATCTGAATGTTTTGCTACACCAGCGGGACAGGAATTGCGGGGTGCAGAAGGATTGACACTAAAGCACTCATTCGTGGCCCGGGGCTGCATCCCGGCTCGTGTTGAGCGGCTGACCTGATTTCCACTCTCCTTGGCGTGGCTGTCATAATCGATGAATGAGAAGAAGTCGGGAGTTATAAGGGCGTTTACTGCTAGGGTAGTTTGGTTGGCGCCTCAGGGCTCAGTAGTGCAGACAATTACTGTCATCAATAGTTGGCACGGCCCGGGGATAGTCGCTCAATAGTTCGGGACCGAAGCGAGCCTGGAATCGATCCTACGTACGACAGATGCGCACTAGACACCCTGCCTGGCCAAGGATTGCAAGAAAGACTGTTGAATCTGATGGGCCGCCATCGATGACTAAATCCCCCTCGTGAGAGGGCCATAAACCCTTGCACGTCGATGCTTAATTGAGATCATCGGCCCAAGGCAGACGCCAACACACTGCTTAATGTATCCAGTCTTCACTCTACCAGACAGCTGACTCCTCGTACTCTGCGACGACTGCTAGTCCAGTCACCCCGGTCTTGGCACGAGGGGATCGACAGGACTCGCCAAACAGACTTCCTTGGCCACAACCCTCAATGGCCAGGGGACTCGTATTCGCAGATTAGCCGCCAGGAACAAGCGAACGCGATGCAGGGACCTCGTATTCTGGTGTTGGAGGTATATACGGGCACAATCAAAAGGGCCAGCGACAAAGAACTATAAAGCCCGGGGCCTACGTCCCCTGCTGCTCCTGTTCTCATTGTTCTTTCTCCACCCTGCTTTGTCTTCACCTTCACCCGTTCAAACCCTGTTTCTCTCTTGGTCAACATGCGTCCCTCTTTAATCACACTTATCGCTCTCGTGGCCACGGCCACCGCGCACGGCCTCACTCGGCTAGAGGCTCTGCACCTCCTGAAGCGCCAAAGCAACGGCAACGGCGCCTTCATCCCCGGCACGACCACCGTCTCCGACTGCCCGGAAGGCTCGATCCTCTGCGGCACCAGCAACACCTGCTACTTTCCCTCGCGGGGTGACACCTGCTGTCCGGGGGGCACCTGTACGTGGCCAGCATCTCCATTCCACCGTCGGCTAGCTAACCAACACCCATGCAGGGGCCTGCCCCGGCGACTCCTTTTGCCTTCAGGACCCCTACTGCTGTCCCACTGTAGGTCCACACATCCCTCTTACCATGCAAGACCATCAAGAGTGAACTAGTGTAGGGCCTGGACCGCGAAACCTGCGCCCAGCAGTACGGCGTGACGCTGACTCCGACCGTGTCGAGTGCCGCGGGTGTCCCCGATACCACCACCGCTACTCAACCAACCTCTGCACCGTCCGCCCCATCCTCTTCCTCGACTTCCGTGGATGAGACAAGCAGCAGCAGCAGCAGCAGCAGCTCGACCTCCGTCCCCATCATCCCGACCACAACGTCGAGCACCGTCGCGGACGCTTCGTCCTCCGTGCCGACCTCTACCCCTGCTGCCTCTTCCACCGCCACCGCAACTCCCTCGACTGAACTGTTCACTGGCGGCGCTGGACGCGTCTGCGGAATTGGGGCCGGTGCATTTCTGCTAGGTGGAGTGAGCGTGATGGCAATTGTTTTGTGAATAAGCTTTACTCCGGAGGGAGTCTGCTAGGTCGGGTAGGGTAGGGTTCAGCTAATACGGTGAGGACTCGACCAGTTGGTAGCAACGACTTGGACCAACAAAGAGGTTTAATATGTATGCGCATGTCGGAACCACGTAGGGTCTGATATCGTAGTCGTTGTAACCTGGACAGGCTCTCCCACTACAACTTGGTGGTCTGGGCCTGATCGCAATGGGATAAAACCAATCGATGAAGCTCCCGAGTTCGGGCTCGCGGGGCAGCTGGATGGTAATGCGAGATATCACTTGCTACTATACGTGTGACAATCGTTCAAAACATGTCCATGATCGCAAGTTCCCTTGCTACTAGATCCAAAGCTGTAAGATCAAGGTTGCAGAGGTTAATTCCCATTCTTCAAGTGGTGTTTGTCGTTCAGGTTTTGCAAATACACTTCGCATCCAAAAAGAGCAATCGTCGCCAGTTCTACACATCTCCTCACTAGCAACATCCCACTTCAGTCTCGCAATCGACAAAATCGACAAGGGATCCAGCATACACCCCTCTCCACCCTATTCCTGCCCGAGCGGACCCATCCCAGCCAAATCCAGCCCCTACGAAATAACCAAGCCCGCAATATCAGGACCTAACAGTACGAAAGACGTCAGCCAGGAAGCTCAAACGGACAAAACGGCAGGAAATCCCCACAGTATCCCCCATTGTACGTAGAGAAGGTAACCACATTCCCACTACCCTGTTTGACGGCCGCATTCAGCACACTGGTCCGTAGCGTCTGCGGCCCGCCGGAGGGCAGGAAGGCGACGACGTGCGTTTTGCCGTTGACGGTGACAGAACAATAGCGCTGGGTGCTGTCGCCGTTCCCGTACGAGATCTGCAGGGTATTCTCCCCAGCGGCGGCGAAGTCCACCGCGTCGAATGTGAGGGTCCCGTTATCAGGGCCCCCGAGCCAGCCGATGATCTCGGAGCTGCAGCCGGAGCAGGTGATGGAGGTGGCGGATCCGACGATCGTACCGGCGGATTTGGCGCCGTATGTCGTGGTGTTAGAGACAGTAGTCCAGGTGCCGTCTTGAAAGGAAGGGGTCCAGGCGGCATCAGAGGTCTACATCGAGGATCATTCAGTCAAGAAGGAACGATTGGGACAATAGCATGGGAGTGCGTACAATTGTGGCGGTAGTTCCGCTGATCGTCAACGGAAGCCAGATGTAGGTGGACGAGGCCAGGTCGGTCGACACCCACCGGTCGCCCATGTACCTGCGTTACGATTAGTGCCTGCGATGGATTTCTGCGCGTCTGTGTATAGGAGTGAGCCCACATCACAAGGCCGTTCACATCGGCGACATAGCTGGTCTGCGAGCTGTAGGTTTCTGAGCCCGAGGGTGCAAAGTCCGCCCAGTCCGACCAGGGCTGGGGGGAGGAGTCAGCATCGTGTCTTAGATTGGTCAATAAGTGTCCGAGAGGTGGCCTACCCCGGAAAGATTTGTCGCCGTAGTATACTTGTTATCATTTGGGCCTGGTGCTTGCGTCAATACGAGCAATCACGGAATAACATCTACGTACTCCACCCTACTCCCGTCTGCAATTAGCATATTTATCAATTGTCTGGGGGAGTAAACTAACCTGACAGCTGACTGGCAAACATAAAATACGTGTCCCCCGCCTTATATACGGCAGGCGCCTCGTAGTCTGCCGTGAAGAGATGAACGTTGCTCTCGACGGTCAAATAGTCGGCCGACAGCCGGTCGATGCGCAGACCGTTGGCCCTCTGGACACGACATTAGAAAGGGGACGGCTCATGGTACAAGAACACCTACATCTTCGGTGAGAAGATAGCCCGTCCCATCGGTATCTGCGCGATAGCAACAAAATCAGTCAACGATCCACTATACCAAAGTCAAGAGGCGCCTACCTTTGAAGAGACCGAGATCTCGAGACTGGAACCCCAGCGGCCGCGACGCGTTCCTGGATTGACACTCCTCAGAACCCTGTAGTCATCGCCGGCTAAAGGGGCGTACATACAAATAGGTATAGGCTCCGCACACAGTATCACTCGTAGCAACGCCCGCGCGGGCCTCCGCATAGCTCGAGTCATCGATGTGCAGCCACATAACGTATTTCTTCGTGTTGTCGTTGTAAATCACCTTGGGCCGTTCGACGACGCGGCTAGGCCCCAGGTCCCCGGAAGCTTGCAACGTCAAGAGTTCATTCTCGAAGGACCAGTCCAGGAGATTCTCAAGAGCAGAGTTAGCATACGACACCACGCATTGCATTCAATCTCGGGGCCTCCTACCGTGCTAGAGTAGCAGTTGATCGACTGGAAGCTGGAGCCGGAGGTATGGTTTTCGCCGATTATGTAATACACCCCGTCCACCTCGGTGAGCCCTGAGACGCTCATGGGGTCGCAGGTTAGCCTGCTCGCGTAAGGACTCTTGACATTAGTCTGAAACGGGTTTGCCTACCGGTCCCATGGGCCTGGATATGCTTGTTGGTCCCCGCCGCAGTCCACGTCGCGCCGGGGACGATGTCCAGCGAGGCGCGGACGAGCTGCGCAAAGGGGATCAGGCCGACTAGGAATGTGATAATTCGATGCATATTGGTTAAGCGACCGGGACGAAGCGGCGTGAGGAATGCGAAGACTTCTGAGGAGAGGAGAAGACTAGCTCGTGGGCCTTGACGAGGAACATAGACTAACTTATACCTCACAGTCGTCCGCGATGGGGTGGGGTGGTCTGCTGGTAGGGCAGCGTCATGATACTCCGTGATAGGCGGATAAATAAGCATCGATGCCAGTCACACTTCGTCACATCAAACTGCGGGGTTATGCAAGGGGAGCTGGGCTCTTCCGAGGTTACATCTGCCCACCTCGTCTCTACTGCATCACCTGCATCATGTGGACCCGCGGTTATTTAGCCCTTGGGCAGAGATTGTCTTCCGGTCGGCGGCACGGCGCGTTGCGGGATCCAAGAAGCAGCTCCGATGCTAGCCCTAATCCCATCGACTTTCTTTGTTCGGTGCTTGTCAAAAGGTAGCATCACTCGATGAACTTCGCAGAACAGCAATTGGTCTCATGTTCAGCGAAGCCTGGCTGTAGATGCGCAGCAGAGTATTCGACCATGTGCGCGATCGGAAGATTCTGGGACGTGATGTGGTTCCTATGGCTCGATGTGAAGGTTCCGGATCATCACGCCCAATAATCTACAAAAGATAAAGAAGAATTCGGATTCATGTTTTAATTGTGTAGTTTCTAAGCACAATGAAGTTTCTCAGCACAATGACCGAAAGAACGACCCCCCTTTATGCATGACCCAACGCCAGAGACGCAATACCTAACTGACCGCCTCCCCAACCCCCATATGATGCTGAAACTCCTGGCTCTTCACCAGCTCCAAGATTGAGAGCACGAAAGCCAGATCCTGATCCTTCGAGAAGGTTGACTGCCCGTGGACCCACAGGAGGCGGCACTGCTGGTCATGAGAGTCCCACTGATACAAGCTCACCGCCTGGCCAATCACCTCCGCGCCAAAGTACGGCCACACGGCGACTTCACCGGGGCTATCGCTGCATAGCCGCATGTACCACCCCTCCATGCGCTCCGCCAGACACTGAGGCAATAGCTGGAACTCCATGCCCGTAGCGGCGCCGGTGGGGTCATCCTCCTTTGTCCTCTTCGTGAACCACGATCATGGTGAAGATCATCTGCCCGCGCGGGACGGTAGTGACATTGATCGGGTCGCAAGGGAGCTGGATGGTGAGTGGCGCGTACCCCTGGGTAACGGTGCCGCTTGACGTGAAATAGCTCTTTCCGGGCGAAGAGCGTCTGTACCTTGGACGCCAACGATACCTCAAATTCGCCATAGCGATCGTTATCCACCTCGGACGAATCGGCCAGGCCCGGGCTACTACTAGTTGGCGCGATGAGTCCGGTCACGTGCTCGGGGTTAGGCGAGGACTCGGCCATGATGATGACGAAATGGCTTCTGACGTGAACGGTCGGAGATATCCGGTTGGTGGTAGTCAAACACTTACTGTGCGGAAGAGGTGAAGAGTTTCCCACAGTATTCCCTTTGTAATGGTTATATAACCTCCCAATATTAATAGTAGTCATGCTTCAAACGATGGATCCCGGTAATTTTCGTTGTCCTTTGCTTTGTGGATCCGGGACTCGTCATGAAAACCCCCAGCAGGCCCTACCAGACGTAGTCATGGCTTGAAAGAGTGTATACGCTCGTTTAGACAGTATTCCCTTTCATGGCGATAGCTATAGCGGTGATAGTTTCCCTGTGATCTTGCCCGTGCAGAGAGGATATATGTGTTGGAGGAACAAGCGCGCGGATCGGATGTTCCAAGGTATGGCGCTATTCCTGGATTGCTTGGGCCTTCTGTCAAGGAACATGAGCACTGGACATTCGGGCTTTCTGAAGGAAGCTACTATGTCTTCACATCAACATTCTTTTTGGTATCGTTCGCATGGATGGATGCGTGGATTCCCACGTAATGTACGCGGGAATGGCCAAGTGTACGGAGAAGGTCACGTGGCACGAAGAGGCCCGAGGCGCCGAAATGTATGGACAGTCTATCTATTTCTTCTCTTCTATCTTCTCTTCCGTCCCTTTCTCTTCTAGGTTTACCATGGACAACCCTACCGCCATCTATGCAAGGCCGTCTTGCGCGCGGGGACTCCCGCACCACATCAAACCTAGGTAAAGACTGCCTAGGGGGGCCCTCTCACACTTGTTACTGTGCTGAATTGTTACTTAAAATACAATTCTGAGAACTGCACGGTGTCAAGGTTTCCTTGGTGGTTTCGGCCGGAGTAGGTCGTTCCTGGAATGGCCAGTCAGCACGAGGCGGGAGATGGAAACACCTTCGACCGTCCCAAAGGTCGCAGTCAGTGGACGAATGCCAAGGCTATTTCGGCTTGGCCAAGTGCTGGAGAATGCATGCAATGGGATTCTTGCAAGCAAGGCGGTTCATGTAGGCAAAGCATCGCACGAGGATTCCACCAGCAAGGCTGTCTGTGCGAAGATTCTTGCAGAGAGGCATTATATCAAGAGTTTTTGCAAGCGAGGGTGGTTCATGCGACCGAGGCATCGCAGCCGAAAAAGCAGTAGACAACGGCAGGCACGTGCACAGATCACATGACTTTCGATCTCTTCGGCAGGCCACCCGAAAGACCAATCAGTGAGCGATCCAATTGATGACGATGCCATCTTTGCTCTGTTGTCTGTTCACAGTTGACCAGATCCTTTCTGCTTGAATCCATTATCCGGTTTTCCGCCACTTCTTTGAGACTTCTGAATACAGGAAGAGGTCTACATAACCTGGAAAGAGATGCTTACAATGCATAGTCAGTGGCTAGACAATTGCTTTGTCACAGCGTCTGCTCTTAGTTGAGCAGCCGGACAGCCCTTTTGATACGAAACAGACTGCTGGCAGTGTTGGGATGCACGTTTTCACGCTCTGTCTTTATTTGACCTTTGTTGGAGTCGCCGACTCTTTATCTCTTTCTTACAATTTTTTACAATGCCACCTCAGTTCTTTACTTCTTAAAGCAATCGGAGAATGAGAAGAACTCACACCGTCGATTCCGCTCAATTATATCTACTCCCATTGCGAGAATGACCTATAAATAGCTGTAGATGAGTAGCTTGCTGTCAAGCATCATCATCAGCCTTTGCTCTCCCGCATCCTGCTCCCGGTCTGCAAGCACAGTTTCTCTTCCCTACCACTACCACGCTGAAGTCATGTCTGTCTCAACCTGTCTCTGTTGTCCGGAAGCCAAGATGGTTCCGTCGGCTGAACCCGCTCTTGACAGGGCCGCATTGAGAATATTTGCTAGGAAATGTCATACCTAGTTTTTGGACTCCATGTAGGGTTCACCTCTTGGCGGATGATGAAGGGGGGTCTCCGGTTCTTCATGCGCTCGGCATCGGCCGAGATATGCTCGGCTTCATGGACCTAGTCAGCTTGACGCTGTATCGCATCCTCTAGCAGGACGAGCTCAGGGTGAAGCGAGAGAACGACGCCAACTTTAAACGCGGCGTGTACTTCTGAGATGCGACCGCGGGGAGTGATGACCGGCATCAGCTCGATTTCATCTCCCATCATTGGGGCTACTATAGAGGAGTGCTGCATGAGATGCTGACCGAAGGGGTCCGTACTGTGTTGCATGAAAAGACATGGTGTGGCCAGCCATGGGCTCGACCGGATTGGAAAGCCTACGCCATAGTTTGGTGTGCGACTCTGTTGCGTGACTTGCTCTCCGTGGTAACAAGTCAGAGGCGCATTCTACAATGCGAGCTGCAGTCCATCAGTATCTGGACCCTGCGGCGGTGTCTCGACTCGACGAGCGCCGGCCACCGGTCTATCGTTACGCTCGCCCCTTGATGAAGCTGACTCAATCTGAGGACGCAACTTGCCCCATTTGCTGGGGGGAGCTAGAGCTGGACCGTGGCGACTTTGTCTGGTGTAAAATACAGTGTGGCACTACCTTTCACGCCCTGTGTTTTGAGCAACAGTATGTGCTCAGGGGTGGTAGACGGAATATGCCATCTTGCCCATACTGTCGGGCCTTGTGGGTTACCTTTCCTCGGCCCTGCAAGCGTTCGTGTTCATGCCGGATGTTGAGCCGGGGGGGGGGGGGAGACTAGAACCAATCCAGAACAATGATTGGTAGAAGCCAGTTAGGATCCTATTCTAAGCTTAGGATGGCTGGACCTTGTCCACTATGGGTGAAGATAACTAGTATACTTCAAAAGTAAAAGGCGGAGAAAACCATGCAGATTACCAGCTTGATCTCTCTGGTAAAATTGCGATTCTTATACCTTGGGCTATCTATACAAGCACATCAATAGCAATCAAATTGTTCTTATTGCAGAAGTTACCTATAGTTATATTGAACACAATCTCGTGGATGATCGCGACAACTTAGGTAATCATCGGATATGGACGCCCAATAGCTATGGTAAGGTGCGTCAACGTCAACTTGCTATATGCCGGAGAGCATGTACATGGGGGACAATCTGGCTATCAGGGAGAAGCTTCCTACACAGTGGCCAAGGTGGTGAGCGCTGCCTACTAGGTACCTACTTACTCAGATAAATGCACACTCCGTGAGGCTGGCTGAACAACTAGCTAAGAACCACCGAGGATACCGGGGTGGGCGGGCGGTGAGCGGCAATCTGGCTACTGACGCCACAGGGCCGCCAACAATAGCACTTCGGGACCATGTACTTTTTCCATCCATCGATTCCTTCTACCGAGCCAGCTCTATTGTAAAGGCATCAAGAGGGTGCAGGTGTTGAAGGGCAGTAGACCTGTGTGTGTCTGTGTGTCTTCTCAGAGGGGAGTTTGGTCGAATGAGAGTCTTGTATGGCAGCTGCTATCGACCACTTGCGGAAATGCACCGGAACTCCGTGAACTTATGCCGACCTTGTAGGTGGCTTGGGCAGAGATCAGACTGCATCGAGGGGATCAGGTTCACGGGCGTGGTAATGTGTCTGTTGGGCGCATCGATGTGGTGATGATACCCTTCTGCGACTGAGATGAATGGGCCGGTCGGCGTCCGCGGGCTTCTCTGCAAGCAACAGGCACATTCGTGTTCAAGTAGCATTCTGAGGGGACGATAGGAACGGGATGGGTTAGGGGATGGTTGCCTCCGATTGATTAATGGAGATTGCTGACCAGACTCACTACTGCCCACTGCTTTCAGCATTGAGTAGGGCTAGTAGGCACGATCACATCCGAGCCCGTGTAAGCAACAAAAAGCATGAGGAATTGCTGGAAGACGGATTGAAGAGCTAACGCGACCGTTGTTTCAGAGGAAGAAGGGGTAAATGCTTTGGAAAGAAGGGGAAAGGGCCTGGGAAATGTCCCGGAGTTGTGCCAAAGGGCAAAGGGATTGTCGAAAGGCATGGGAGATGAGGTGCGGATGCCGGCAATCTGCGTTTGCCGCACCCACGCACCGTCCCGTGACGAGACTGGCATGACAGGGGACGTAACCTTGAACCTTGAACCTTGAACTTAGAGCTTGTAATACAAGTCTCCAAGACTTCGACCATGACCATTGGCGCAATGTCAGGTTTACGGAGGGGTACGGCCCAACGCCCAATGGCCTGGGATTTTGGAGCAATCATGCGGTCCACCCTTGAATTCCTTCAATTGCAAGATCACGCTTGGTCCGGGGAATGGAATACACCGACTGAGATAATTGCCCTGAGAGGGCAGCAAGATTTCATTCTGGACTGGACCAAGATTGTCCCTGTGAATCCCCAACACTGTCTCCGGCCTCTGCGCACAACCACACAACAACTCAACAGATTTGAAACATTCATCGTATTCCAGCCCCCTTTACCAGGATAGCCATCCAAATTCGCAGCGACCTGTCTCCTGCTTTCTCTGCCAGCAGGCATGTCTCTCCAGTTCAACTGATGAAGATTGCCGCCATTGCCTGGGGTCGATGCTCACGGACGCCCCTGATTTACCCTCCCGCAACCGGACTTAAAGGTGTCAAAACAGCATCCATGGACAGTGAAATGAAAAGGCTTCCATTTGAGTCAACAGTGCAGAAAGGGAAGTATGGCCAGCCCAGCGCTCTTCGTGTGTTGACCGCGAAGAATCGTGCACAAGTCAAGGGTCAGCCTGTCTGGATGAATGGGCACAGTCAACTTGCATTTCCCGTCGAGAGGGAAAAGCTGAACTGAGACATTCGGAAAGAGACATAGAGAGAGAAAGAGGCGATCCGAACCCCAGCGCAGCAGTCACACTCCCCGGTCGCAAGATTGCTGGGCTCCCTCTACTGCCCAGAGAATGTTCCCATTCTTGGTGCGTTCGTGCGCCCGACCTCTGAGCGTGGATTTTGATGGCTGGGAGATTTCTATGGCAGGCCGTCTTCGGCTTCCCTCCCCTCATTCAGGGTTGGGCCCACCAGGAGAGAATACACTTCTGAATCACAAGGTCAGGCGGCATTTTCAAGAGTCGATCCGGTCTCACGACAAATGGAGAGTATCCTGCAATTTTGGCCGTCAACTCTGTCTGGTGTGTACATTGCAGAGACCCGTCCTACAACTGGCCGCATTACCTGAGACGTTATTGCCTCACGCGCCGTCCCAGCCACTTGAGAGCAAGTAGGATCGCCGAGTTGGAAGTTCGGGGAGATCGGTGTCAGCACGAAAACCCCTTGGACGCCTAATTCAAAAATCCGCTCTATGCCTGGTCCTTGTCATCCTATTGAACTTGCGTTCTTGATTTTCTTGCGTCACCTGTTGTATGCTCGGAGTCATCTTTCTCCTTTGTTCGTCCTCAGCAGCCAGTAGAGGTACAGGTACTCTGACATCACTAGAAGCCAGTCATGATCATTCAACCTGCTTTCAACTGACGGGGCCGTCGATATGGCATCAGCCTGGGCAACACGACGAGCCCGGTCTCTCAGTCCTGTCTGGCGCTATATGGCAAGGCAACGAACGGCCCCACAAGAGGTGGTATCTTTCTGGAAGCCATGTCAACCAGGTGGACGACAGTCTGAACCTTATTATTGGGTCTAGATTGCGTCCAGAAGAAACAACCCGTGGCTTTGTGGCTTTTGCGGTAGCTAAACATCTACCCGGGACTCTGGATCTGGACTCTCAATCGCTTTGGGGTGGTTTCCACCACCATGTGCAACAGCGATAGCCGCTCACTTGCTTTCCTCTAGACAATTTTGTGGACGGACAACTTGCCTGTGTTGTATAGAGCAATGATAAATAGAAGGGAGAAACGGAAATCCCGAATATCTGTAATGTAGTCTGTGTGATATCTCCTTACTCCTAAGCGTTTTCCATCATGCTCCTACTATGTTGAGTTCGAAGCCCTAAGACAAGCGAGAGCAGCTCTTAAGCAACTAGTGTCAGTTATTAGCTTTATCGCCTCACCGCGACACCTTACGTGTCGTCGGCCCACTACTTGACTTAGCCATTTCCTGTCTTCTGTCTTTCGTGCGCGGTTCTTGAGATAGCACATTGGCGACTTTTCCCGTCGCTATTCACCATGGCTAGCAATTCCTACGGCACAGAATGCAATCTTCTAGGCGATCGATGTTAGTATAGGTGAGTATGCTCTGCTTCTAGCTCGATGGCCTTCGACTCACGCAATTGCAGGGGCTGCTTTCGAACTCTGTATCCTCAGAAGTCTCCTTAACCAAGACCAACACGCTCCCTTAGAGAGTGCGTTCAAGACACGGTATAGAGTTTTGCAGATTGAGCGACAGGATAAGACAGGGTCTGAATTCATGAGGCAATTGAGAACCTAGTCTGTTTTATTCTTGGCTAATGACTTGGACATTCAGAAGAGCGAGGTCGATAACCTGCGCTATCTAGTGATGAAAATGAAATATCTAACAGCAGGTTAGCATCCCCATATCCAAATATCCATTCCGCTTCTCATCGCATTCCAGCGCATTGTGCCTGGGAACCAGGCAGACATTCGTGAGTCGTCTTTTCGTCTTTCGTTCACACCGCGGGCAGTACTGGTAGGAAGTGGCTTTCATCCTGACGCTTCTGATCGAAACGCTGTGCTTGCACGATTCAGGTTAGCCCGCGGACATCCCCATGTCAATTGATCCTGCTCGCTGACACGAAAGACGTCTTGTATCTTAGTTCCCTGGCAATATTCGAGACCGACACTCATCCTCGCCCCTCATTCCTGCCGCAACAAACCCAATCTCACATCACGGCTGCGAGACTCCTGTGTGTCTTGAAACATTTGATCCCATAATTCAACATGCAGTGCATCGGGGGACAACCCAAAACATCATGTACGTATTCGCTGAGGCTCCGTGCTCTAAGCATTATCGGCTAATGTTATTGTACGACCGGAGGGAAAGGGATAGGCGTCAAGACTTCCCCAGCAGCACCCAAGGAGGGTTGTAACTGGATGGATACATTTGCGAACCACGAGGCCGATGGAGGGGGCGGAGGTCGAAACAACCAGGGCCAGCCTAGCCATCATTACCACCACGTCCAAGGCTCGGAATCTGAGACGGAGAGAGGTAGCTCGGATCTTGTCGACCTCATTCATGTTATCATCAACGTGACGAGCCGACCCAACCACTGGCAACGAACAGGCTCGGATTTCAAAACAAAGAACGATAGCTCAGAGCCGATCGACGCCATTCATTCCATAAGCAACGCGACAACTCCGGCCATGCAGGACAGTCATGATGACAAACACCATTTCGGAATCTCAGGATCGGCGGTTGTGGAGAAGCAAGGTAGCTCGGAGCTTGTTGCAAGACTGCCTCTCGTTCAAGGTTCCATGAAAGTCACCATTCTGACCAGTCAGGGAGGCCAAGCTACAGATTCCCATGGCGAGCCTTTCAACGTCGCTGAATAGATTGAAGCAGAGTGGCTTGGTAAAGTGCCCCCCTCCCCCCGACCACGTCTTTTCGAGGTTGGACTATTTCAGCAGCCAGTCAAGGGCACAGTTCAGGCTGTCATTCTCGCCAGGATCCAGGCTTGGTGGCCCTTGTCTCGTACGACAGCAGCCGAGGCTCGATTTTCGGTGGACCGCGCGGCTTCTGCCCCAAGCAACCTCAATGCACCAGCTCATAACAACCATTCTGTTCCCAATCTTTGTCAAAGCATCAACAGGTCACTTGCTGCTTCGTTCCTTCCGTGTCCTTTTTCTCTCTCTTTTTTTCCGGTATACTAGAGTCATTCCTGTAGGGAACAGAGCCTTCTTGAATCAAAGTCTGCTACACTAGCGCTAGTGAACTTCCTTCAACTTCTTCCTCCTTAGCTAACATATTATGTCGTCTGTCGGAAGGTTTCTTCTCACTTGCATTTCTTGACTTCAGGCCAGAGTAATCCTACCCATGTACAAAGAATGCGAGGTGTAGGGATCGCTCGCCTGCGTGTCTTGGTTGTCAGCATCCGAGCCGAGTTGGTGTTGTATTTTCAGGGTTGTTGATAGGTATCCCTGCTCAATACACCCGCATCTTCTCACAATGTTCATAAATCTCGCAGCGTACAGAGACCCAGCTGCGTTCGAAATTCGAACAGCAACAGGCGATGTGCCACAGTCGAGATGTGGTGGTTTTGAAAGTGACGATGACGGCAATTCCCCAAGCTATTACGCTCTCCCTTCTTCTATAAGCCTGGCTGTTTCGCCCTTTCTTCTTGTCATCTCTAGGGCATCTCTCGGGCCACGGGTTTTTTGTCGCCCCTCTCAATACGCATCGATCTTTTGACAGTTTGAAATTGGAATCTACCTCCTCCTTCTTCTTCTTCTTCTCCTTCTTCTTCTTCTTCTTCTTCTTCTTCTTCTTCTTCTTCTTCTTCTCAACCACCCTGTGAACTCTGGTAGAATTCAGCCAACTAGTCATGGTCTGGTGCTCAGTGATGGCGCGGTGGTTCCGTGTGCGCCGTGATCGAGACATTGAGTTGGAGCATGGTCAAGGGTCCCGAACAGGGCCGGCAGCGCAAGAAACAGCAGCGGATCAACACCCCGACCCCCAGAACGAACAACAAGACATACTGCCCGCACGCAAAACGAAGGGCTACGATGAGCTGGCAATGTTCATGGCTCGAGATCCCCCATCTTTGATCTTCCGACGATTCGACGAGCTGAACATCAAGAATCTGCTCTACCTCCAGGCAGAACTGACATCTTACGAGGTGAAGCTGCAAAAGATCGTCGATCGGGAGAATGAAAACGGTCACGTAACGGTAGAAGATGACTATATAGTGCCGAAAATGATGACGGATGCGAACAACCGACGGTGGGAACTGATTCTTCAGATTCGGAAGGTCCTGACACAATACAGTGAGTCTTGAACCTGCTTCCTGGGCACTTTGGGCACTCTCTCATGATTGACGATGCCATCTCTAGACACGGCTCTGCAACAGTATCGCGATCTGCGGCAAATGAGTGAGCCGCATGCCTCCGACCTTCGCAACCTTTCCATGCTCCGAAACACCGTAGAGACGAAACTGACACCGGGTAATATTATCGATCATCACTTGCTACCCCGCGAGCAGTGGCAATGAGCTCCCCTTGTACCCGACCGCGTGGCACTATGCAGTCCGCTCGAGGGAGCAGTTCCAATGACACAATGGTCATACTATCACCTCGGCCCCTTATGCTACAAAGTTTTGGGGCCGAGAAAGACCGACGTAGGTTGCGCTCTCTCCTCCTCCTCCTCCTCCTCTCCCTTCTTCTTTTCCTCCTCTTCCTCTTCCCTCTTCTTCCTCTTCTTCTCTTTCTGTCTTTCTCTCTCCCTTTCTCCCTGGCCTGGACTAGGGCCCAGGCTTCGGTCTTGGCTTTACTTGTCGTTACCTTCAAGTCTCGATCTCTGATCTCAAGGGCAGACCCACAAGCACGACAAAGAAAACGGATACCACTGGCAGTACAGAAACCGTCGCAAGATTGGTCGGGCAACACACATGCTTTTTCTCATTATCGCGAGCGCGGCGATCGCCTCCGTGATGTGGGGGTTGTCCGTCATCAAAGGGAAAAAGCGACGCCTGTGGTTTGCCATAGCCATGTGCATTGGCTTTGTGACTTGAGTTGGGTTTATGGTCCCCGCGCGTCGAGCCGAACTCATTGTGCTCGCAGCAGCGTGAGTGGGAAAACACACCTTCCTTTCGGCGCAAGTGAAGCGGCTGCTAATCGTCGGTTTGGGGTTGTAGGTACGCCGCGATTGAGGCGTCTCTCCTGGTCAATGCGGCTACCGGGCAGAGCAACATTGCTTCCCCCGGTCATTGATACCTCGTAGTTGGTGTGTGGTACTGTTTTGCTGTTGTTCGATGGGCTTTGTCCTTTCCCTCTGTTCTTTGGCTTTCGAGATTGCGTGACAGATTGCACCTGAGATTTTGCCTTGCCGGCGTTTGGGGTTCGAGTTTGGCTACGATGGAGTAAACCAGGTTGGCAGGATTGACAGAAATGGAATACAATTGTGAACTCTGAATGGCTGTGCTGCTGCGATGCTGCCCGCTGAAAGCAGAGCTGAAAGCAGAGTGTAATCCGGACCCCCTCACCCCCTCATTTCCTCATCCCCACTCCTCGCCCTCGCCCATCCTTAGCCCTAATGAGAGCTCATACAACCTTGCAGGCTCATTGGCGGTAATGCCTGAGTCATTCGTGGCACTGTTTATGTACATAGTAAGAAAGCGGGATATTCGTGCCTCAGGCAGGATTGCCCGGATGAATGACGCCGCCGCTAAGGCGCCTGTCAGACGGATGTACCTTCAGTCCAGTTTTTCGGGAGGAGCACGCGGGTAATTCCTATGTCCTGAGTACAAGGTAGTTGGGGGCACGACTTACACTAAGAATGTCCTGCAGGGCACAGGCCGTAGACAGTAAGATTAAGGCTGGCACCACCGCAGTGGCGGCGTGGCGGGCTGCGCGTTCATTGTCCGTACTTTCTGACGAGTCAAGTATCTCTCCAGCTTCCCGACTTCACCTCCCCTTCCTACGTGCCGCGTCGATGACGACTCTTCATAGATTCTTCCAGATTGACACAACTAGCCCACCATGAGCCCTAGTACAAACTATGCCACTCGAGTGGCGGGCCAGGCCGCTCAGGCAAGCCTTCCGACGTCTGACGCGGTGCCTTGTGAGTCTGGGCCAGGAACGCCTCGCGATGGGCGTCAGTCGGCCGTCTGCGACGGCAGGGGCACGTGACGCCGTCGCCCCAGGAGTTCGGGGCACAACTTCCCCAGGGACTCAGCCAGGGTTGACGACAATGCAGACAGGTGTTTCGGTACGGGGCGGAAGCGTCCGGCCGTCCCCGACACCACTCCCGAATACAGTCGACATGCGCGGCGAAGCCGCAGTGGCGCTTGCACCAGAAGATGGCCTCGAGTTTGTCTCCCAGCGGGCGGCAACAGACCTGGCACTCGTGGCCATGTTTGAACGGGGTGGGATGGCGCGGTTGCTGCGTGTGATCAGTGCCCATACGAGCAACGGCGGCGGCTCCGACATATTTTTGAATACAGGCTCGGATGGTCGCCTCGACCTGCGGATCACCCAGGGCCTCGAGGCTCTCGTTCAAATCGAGCATAGTGGCGATGGCACGCCCCTTCCAGTCTGGCGAAGGCTTCCAGTCTTTCGAAGGGGAGGTCAGCCAGAGATCGGGATCCAAAAGCTTCCGCGCCCGCTCCCGGCTCTCCTGGTGGAATCGGGCCAAGGTAGGCGCGTAATGACCCCAGTGGTAGGAGACCAGCTCGAGGCCCCCACCGGTCGCCGCTTGCACCAATTCCCCGTACGCGCTCCCATCATACAGGCAATTCTCTATTCCTATCACACCGAACAGAGATTGCATCACGGCTTCCAGGAAACAGGTGAGATCTTGGTGGGGACCATCCAGTACATGGACCCACGGGGTTTCCCTTTGGGTGACCCAGGACCTATCAATCTCGCAATGTTGGTAAATCCAGAGTCTGCAGAAGACATTCCGCGCGACGCGAAGTGCAGCAAGGTCGAGAGGCGCATCAGATGGAGCACAGTCAAGGCCAGACATCATTACAACCTGTATGCTGTCTAGTCGAAGCTACGAGTGATTGGTTTCTTGCGGGGACGGGGAGGTGACCTCACAATCCGCATGTTTATCTATTTATACTCTGAACGTTGCCCTTCTATCCACACCGGTCCGGGGTAACGGGGTAAAGAAGCCGGGTAGTTTGTTCGCTCTTTGATGATGTAGAGACAAAGGATCGCGTATCTCTTATTATTCACTGTCCGGATTATGCCTTCCGACATGATTAGAGTTGTAGACCAGGGTTGGAGGCCGAGGAGTCACCTTATTGTAATGCACGGGGTTCATTGTATGTGGGTCTTCGGGAATCATTGGCAACAATCCAGACTGCGGGGAATTTAGCAATCGGATCGATAAGCTGGTAAGCTTGAAACAAAGGAGATACAGAAGTGGGCACCAAGGGCACCAAGGGAGAGGGAGACGAACAAAGGCCGGTGGAGCAAAAAAGCCTCCCCGACTGGGAGTCGAACCCAGGTCTCCCGCGCTTGTTCCTTGGCCGGAGTGACAAGCGGAAATCATGACCGTTAGACCATCGAGGAAAGGATGATTGTAGGTAGATATATTGGTAATATTCCCAAAACATGTGGTTCAAGGCGCGTCGAGCTGCCCACGAGGTGACACGCACAGTGACTCCGTTGCTCTGTTGATTCCTCCTGCCTCGTCTTACCTCTACTCCATCTCGGATTTGTTATACAGTGGGAGGACATGAGAATGCACCGCCTCGTCTTAGTCAGCGCGAAGTAATCATTGATCTTTCCGCCTACTGTAAAGGTATAGGGAAGCCCATACTGCCGGGCAGACCACCAGTGTAGCAGGCGGTCAACCAACCACGTGACGTATGAGCCACCTCGCATGAACGTCGCGCGTACTTGCCGGGCAACTTAGAACAACATCAACCATCCCCCAACCACAGCGAAAGAGGTGAGCAAGCATTTCTAGTGCGACGGTCTGCTATATACTACCCTGTCTCCATGCACTCTGCCAAGAAGCATACAGTCAAATGATATCTTCCTGCTGGGACTCAAGGAAGTGGTTCCTTTGAATCTAAGGCTCTCCTGAACTCGAATACGTAAACAAGGCAACAGTTTCATGCACTATCCTTTGCATCCAGAACAATGGGCACATAATAGGAAAACTTGTTGTCAGGGTCGTACTCGGTCTTGACGGACCGTAGCTTCTGTAACCGCCATTCGTAGCCGTACACGGATTCCAGCGACTCATAGCCAAATGCATAGTTGACATAGGTCGTTGGCACTCTGTCGGGCTGGCCGTCTAGCATAACGTCTAGTATGCCGCTGGCAAGTTGCGATGCGGGTTCCTCAAGATGAAGAGTGGGCAAATACGCTATCATGGCGACCCTAGTACGTGAATGTTAGCTCTCCTCTTTCCCAGTCGTAGTCCAGAGGGAGGGCTGAACTCATACACCCGACTATTATCGTCACGATGGGGAAATGCAGAGCTACCAGGGTCAATTGCTCGGGCCGCTGCCGGGTTATTCGCCTCGAACAGAAGAATGGAAGGCTTGAGCCCTGGATACTCCTTCAAGTACGTATTGAACAGATCATACGCCTGACGACACGCTGTCACGTTGAATATCTGGAGACCGGTGGTAGACATCATTTTCGCTAGTCCCTTCGTACAGGGTAGACTGACCCTGCCATTTCGCGTCGCATCCGGCATGGCGGGATAGGGCACAGCGCCTGCGACAACGTTCATCGGGCCGAGGTTGTTGAAGGGCGCCAGGTATTTTTCTGCTTCGCGTTCGGTGCCAAGGAAATTGAATGACCACCAAATCACAGCCTCGTCACTGTCAGTCGAGAAGCAACAATGCAGGGGTTTGGAAACTCACATCGCTGAGGCTAAGAAGCGGGTTCCACTCGTAATGGCCGAAATGGAAGTCCAGCTCGAGCGGCTGTGTTCCGTCGCCTGTTAGGTTGTTGAGTGCTTGAAACAGGCTTTCGAGTTTGTCCTCCGTGTAGAAGTAGTTTCGAAAGTACCAGGTCTTGGTCGGAGGTGGGTAGACCTTTATCTCGAGGCTCGTCACGACACCCAAGTTGTGACCAGCCCCTTTCATCGACCAGAACAAGTTCGAATGGGAATCATTAGAAACGACGATGGAACTTCCATTGGCGAGAACAACATTCAACGTCACAAAGTTGTCGCTCATCATCCCATACTGGCCCTGATATCTTCCGTGGCCTCCACCGATGGCTGGGCCAACATGTCCGATGCACGCGCAAACACTCGTCGCTAGGGGGGAGCCAACGTCAGCTACCCAGCTGTTGGAGGAGTACCGGGCACTTACTGGTGACTAAACCCTCTTTCCACAGTGCATCGATCAGGCCTTGTGTCTCAATGCCGCCTTGCACGGTGGCAGTCTGTCTCGCGTGGTTTACTGTAACGTTCTGCAACAGTCGTAGGTCGATTCCCAGCCCTTGAAATGATCCCTGAGATATCGGCCACCCGTGGCCTCGGTTGACCGTGTAGAAAGGGATGCCGTTTCTGTTCGCATACTGAATCTACTTCACCTTAGCCAAGAGTCAATTCTCACCAAGCAGGTCACCTACCACGGTGGAGACATCAGACTCACAGCCGACTTGGGTGATGACTGTGAACTGGGGAGGCAGGTATTCCTCATATCGCAGGGTCGCACCCAGCCAGCGAGGATCGTTGTGCCCAAAGACACTGGAGGAGTCGCAGAGTAGTTGACCAAGATCGGTTTCGATTTGAAATGCAGTCAGTCCAGCCCGCGTCATGGGACAGAGACCGTCGACGCAGCCGGTCGGCGATGCTTGTCCAAGGGATGACAGAAGGACAAGCGCCCACGTGATGAGGATTGGGAACCGCATGATGTTTAAAGCAAGAATATAAGCTAAAAGATCTCCCGCCGAAGTGTGAAGGGAGAAATCGTGACGTTTGGAGATGGGTAGATGAACGGGCAGGGAATCATGAGGTGAATCAGCAGTGGCACTAACAGGGCAGGTAGTCGTACACTCGCCTTGGGAGAGAAGGAGCCATGGGCGCTGTCTCTTCACTGCGACTGCCACTGTCGGAGTTTCTATTTCCTCTCTGTACCCCAGAGCGCCATGCATACAACGGCGCCCTGGGGAGAATGGCATAGATTGGAGACACGGTCACATGATCGCAGCCTTCATAGTGTATGATGAGTTACGGTGATCGTGGTCGAGGATTGCAACACCTGAGACTTCCCCGCTATTCTGTACAGTACACACCCTGGGGATGTTGACGATATAGAAAAGACTCGAATTCATCTTGTAGACTTCATTCGGGCTGCAACCCTAGAAAGGAGAGGTGAAGCCAAGGCAAAATACCATCTGTAGATGGCCCGGCATGATTATAAACATATAATATGTGGATTACTTTCGTTCAGGTATCGAATTCACACGTGCAATGTCTGTCATCTGTTTCAGAACAAAATGGAAGTCAGAATCATCTGTTTACACATCGCAATGAAGGTCGAGATCCTGACCTTGTGCATTGTTCACATACCAACATTTGGTGGGTATATACAGTGGCGATCTCAAATCTCGAAATAATATTTCGAAAGCTATCTGAGTGAATCCAAGCCGAGCCAAGCCCGCCCTGACAAGAAGAGTTCCAAAGCTTGATTCTTGGCTCTAGCTTTGTTGATAACTCCTGTGCGGACGATTGGACCACCTCAGTCAAGCTAATTCCTCTGCAGTGCCAGTCCAGACTTCAAGTGAATCAAATCCAGCATGAATGAGCAAAGAGAGTTTGATCGCGATGGAAGAGGGTCAACCACTGCAAGTCCAGAGAATTAAGATCATGGCCTGCAAAAGACTGGCCTTCAAGCTGCATCCACCCTCGAGCCAGTATCAAGTCTAGTCCTTAAGGTTTCCAAATGTCCAGCCCCACCGCGAAGAAAACTCAAGCATCATTCCACACCGGTCAAAGTCTTGCGGTGGGATACAACACGTTAACGGTCCGGAAATCAGCTCTGACATCCTAGCTCCCCAAGTGGGTCGTTGTGAACATACTAGGACATGCTGAGTTTTTCATTCTCTATGGTCAAATTAAGATATTTGAGTCATCGGCTGTGAGTAGACGACACTTGACAACGAGGGTGACATCCGGCTTGTCAGCCAGACATAGCAACGAAGCAGCAGGTAACAGGCCCGTCAACCCACCGACCACCTCCGCACCATCATCCTTCCAATCTCCTAGCCTCGTGGGCTCCGGTGCCGGCCCTACCCAGTGTCATGATGACACTAGTAGTTCTAGTCCCTGCCGGTTCCAGCATAATCACCGATTAGTCCGATGTGTGTGTGCCCCTGAGGCGACAGCAGCACTGGGCGGCTTGATTGCCACTCAGCTCGAGCCCCTCCCACCGGAGCCATTGAGACAAGCTCAGAGACCAGGTTGACGGAAGGCGATGTTCGCCATCAACAGTACATCACCACCATTACAACCATTGCCACCGTCCTTGACTCATAGCTTGCCTCCATCGCCATATCCAGCATCGACTGGAGTACTCACACATCTCACACATCTCAAACTATCCACATGTGGCACGACTGCGTGCGATTCGCCCACACCACGCAGCCACACCCGTTCTTCACGGGGTCATTCCACCTCTCACAGGTGTAATCCTACGCATGGTGCCCGCTCAAACTTCTTGCCGTCGGGCTACCTCCCAGATGCGAACAGAGTCGAGTGTGTGCGTGGATTCACACCGGACTCCCATCGCCAGTCGTGGCAATTCAAACGCCGGGCGAACTAGTAGGGGGGTGGATAACCACCAATAGGGTAATCTCGTTTGCGGATACCGCCAATTGCAGTTGAAGGAGGAGCTCATCAGTGCACCACACTATGCTGGTACATGGAGTACGTCAAGAAACCACAAACCACTGGCAGACATCACATCTACGAGCGGTAGCGGGTGTGGCCTGGTGCGACCGTGACGAACCAAGATGACACCGAATGACAATAGTAGGAGTGGTTCAATATCACCAAGTTCAATTCTGAGTGCATCGGACCGGTCGTGGCCCGCTACTTTCACAAATTATGAAGAACTTTACTCGGTTATCGAAGGCCAAACTCTAGAAACGTAGCTGAGATTGCCATACCTAAGTATGAGAGCATCTTATAAATCCCATTTCCTAAGCAAAGCATCTCAATGATTGCTGGATCCTCATCAGTCCTCAAGTCATCCCACCGAGTTGTGATTTAGTGATCGGGAGACTACAGAGTTTTCTCGGGTGGGGAGTTAGATAATGATTTATCACGATCCGACCATTTTACGTTGCAGCCAGGCCACGTACTAGTGGAACACTAAAAGTCACTGTGGTTTGTAGTGTAGTCTGTGTCAGACGTCTCAGCACTGTTTGGTGGTCTCCCGGGCTCCCCACCGGTGACACTGTGAAAAATCTGATACCAGGGCCACGGATCAGATAAGACAAGATCGCGATCAGATAACTTAAGCCAGAGGCCACGACCGTCATCACTGGATAAGTATTCAACCCTCACCGAGAAAACCCTCACCGCGAGGCGAGAGATTTGTTGCTCTCCACTGACAGCAAACCAAGACCGGTCCGAGAAATAAGCGATAGGTGGAAAGGGCTTGAGAACGCACGGTGGGGATGTGTGATGCAGCCAGAGGGGCGCGCCAATTTTCGTGCTATCAAAGTGCCCCTCTTTGCTCCGCTTGGCAGTACCTTACCATACGTGATACCACACCTTCCTTACCATCTTACAATACTATACATACGTGCGATACAGTTCTATCACTCGCATTGCCAACACAGCTCCGTTTCTCTCCCTCAACCGGCCGAAGCCTTATCCACTTCCACTGCTCAGGCAAGAAACGAGCCCGCCCCACCGTAGCTCCTGCGCAAACTTACTTGCGCGCACCAACGCAGCCATACCCAGACAGCATAATCAGATGGGCTGGTGGATCGGAGCACACTTCCTAAAACCAAACCAAAAGCCCACCCCGGCAAACGACTCCCCCCCCCCACGGCGATGACCACTGCTTAGACGCTGCGCTAGCCGGACGCAAGGTTCCATTTCTGCATTTCTTCATTTATAAAGGGCATGGACCGCCCCTTGCGCTTCACCTGCTCGAGTTCTTCCATCCCACCCATCCCTCCAGAGTTCCACCCTCATAAACCCCGCCCTCCAACATGTTCACCAAGTTGCGGGCTCCCTTCCGTCGGTCGACGACGGATGAGGCCGGCACCGCCGTCACCCTGCCCTCCCCCGTCGAGGGCTCCAGCAGCGCCCTGCCCGGCGAGAAGAACGTCGAGGCCGGCATAGCGCCCACCACCGACAGCACCAACACCGACTCCGACGAAGAGCACCCCGAATCCACCGAGGATCAGGCCGGTACTCACACCGTCGAGGCCATCACCGCCACCTGGACCAAGGCGTCTTTGATTGCCGTCTTCATCAAGTACGCCTGCCCTGCCCCCTTGTCTTGGTTTTCATCTTCCCAACAACCTCAATCCTGAGTGCTGGGCCAATATACCGTTCCGGGGGAGAACCCCCGTACCCCCTTCTTGCAGCTCCCCAGCAACCGCAGCTTCATCCAGCATCCCCACTAATAAACCCAGCATCTGGTTCCTCTACTTCGTCAACGCCTTCCAAAGCGAAATCCTGTCCACGCTGGTCCCCTATCTCACCTCGGCCTGGGACTCGCACTCGCTACTCAATGTCATCTATGTGGTCTCCGACTGCTGCACGGCGGCCATCTTCATCCCGCTGGCCAAGTTGATGGACGTCTGGGGCCGTGCCGAGGGCTTCGCCTTCATGGCCATCATCTCGACGATGGGACTGATCATCATGGCGGCGTGCAGCAACCTGCCTAGCTTCTGCGCGGGCTACGTGTTTTATAATGTCGGCTTCTCGGGCATCACCTTTTGCGTGGACACCCTGACCGCCGACGCGTCGCAGCTGCGCAACCGAGCGCTGGCTTACGCCTTCACCTCGTCGCCGTACATCATTTCCGCCTTTGCAGGTCCCAAGGCCGGTGAGGACGCGCTGGGCATGAGCATGCGCTGGGCCTTCGGCGCCTTCGCCATCATCTTCCCCGTCGTCGCCGCGCCCCTCTACTGCATCCTGCGGTACAACACCAACAAGGCCAAGAAGGAGGGCCGCCTCGTCCGCGAGCGCAGCGGCCGCACCCTGACCCAGAACATCTGGTTTTGGGCCATGGAGTTCGACGGTATGCCCCTTTCCTTCCCGTAGCCCGCCTTGACTCTCACTCATTTTGGATACAGTGGTCGGCGTGATCCTCTTCTCCGCCGGACTGGTGGTCTTCTTCCTGCCCTTCGACATCGCCAGCATGGCGCCGCACGGCTGGAAGACGGGGTACATCATCGCGATGATCGTGGTGGGGTTCTCGATGATCATCTTCTTCGCGATCTGGGAGTACTACTTCGCGCGGGTGCCGTTCATGAAGCTGAAGTACCTGACGGACCGGACGGTGCTGGGCGCGTGCCTGCTGGACGCGACGTACCAGGTGTGCTACTACTGCTGGGACAGCTACTTCACCTCGTTCCTGCAGGTGGTCAACGACCTGTCGGTGGCGGACGCGGGCTACGTGAACAACACCTTCGACGTGGTCTCGGGCGTGCTGCTGCTGTTCATCGGCTGGCTGATCTCGCGCACCGGTAAGTTCCGCTGGCTGCTGTACTGGGCCGTGCCCCTGTACATCTTCGCCCAGGGCTTGATGATCTACTTCCGCCGCCCCAACCAGAACGTTGGGTACCTGGTCATGTGCCAGATCTTTATCTCGATCGGTGGCTCGGTGTTCATTCTCGTGCAGCAGCTGGCCGTCGAGGCAGCCGTAGACCACCGCCACGTCGCGGCCACCCTGGCGCTGCTGAATGTCGTCGGCACCGTGGCCGACGGCATCGGCTCGACCATCTCCGGCGCCATCTGGACCAACACCTTCGAGAAGGGCCTGTACAAGTACCTGCCCGCCTCGGCAATCCCGGACATCGACGACATCTACGAGGACATCGACACCCAGCTGAGCTACCCGGTGGGGAGTGCCGTCCGCACCGCCATCCAGGAGGCGTACGGCTACGCGCAGACCCGCATGCTGGCCGTGGGCACGGGGTTGTTCGTGCTGTCGTTCATCTGGATGTTCATGATCCGCGACATCGACCTGCGCAAGAAGAAGCAGGTGCACGGTATGGTGTGGTAGGGTGCAGTACCACACACAACACCAACAAAAGGGGAGAAGGACGAGGGAGAGAAGGGGAAAGGGGCGGAAGCATTGTCCCACAAACCTATTACAGATACCTGGCGCCTTTTGCCGTTTCACATGTTACCCCGTTTTTATCTGCGGTCCGTGACCACGGGCTGTTTAGTTTATACCTATGTAGCTAGTTTTTAATTCACCTGTATTGCCTGCATCCTGCATCTATTTTGTTGTTGTAGTGGGAGTACGATCTACATTGTAGGAGGGACATCAAATTTGGCTTTTCTTGGTGTCTTGGATGTCTTGGATGTCTTGGATGTCTTGGATGTCTTGGATGTCTTGGATGTCTTGGATGTCTTGGATGTCTTGGATGTCTTGGATGTCTTGGACTCAGTCTTGGATTCAGTCTTGGGGGTTCTTGGACTCTTGGACGCAAAGCTTAGGCGGGCAAGACTCGACTTGACGGCATTGGCGGCATTGGCGGCAGCTTCAGCCACGGCATGTCTCAGCCGGCTGCCGGGATTGCCGACCGTGCAATCTACCATCATCTAGCACACCCCTTCATATGGTGTGGTGGTACAGTCCATAGATTTAATCCTACCCGGGAGCAGGAGGATTGACCATCATGGTGTTGGTACTAAGGAGGGGTGAAAACTCTGCTCGTATACGGGGTAGGCGTAGGGTAGGAATACCCGACCAGGTAGCACCGCTCCTCCGCTCTCATGCTCAAAGCTAGGGACGGTGGGCGTAACTAGTTTCTGTGCTCGAGCTCCTCCATCGCAGTTTACACTCGACTGTGCCAGTGATTATCGGTGTAACTGAACCACCAACCGACCCCAAGGCCTACCGGAAAGAAATGGATCAGATAACTCCCTCCATCCCACAGACTGAGCAGACTACGGCAGCGACAGTGGACCCCCTCCGTAAACATGACGCCGACGCGCATGACAGGCCTTGGAATTGGGAGGCAGAGGAGTTTGCCTCCTACCTGGCCCACCCCCCGGTGGATTCCATGATGTTGTTGTTGTTGTTGTTGTTGTTGTTGTGGGTGGGTGGGTGGGTGTGAGGTTCAAGTGCAGCTCCCGCTTGCCGAATGCGTTGCCGTGCGCCGGTATCGCTACTTCCTGGGAGAAGCCAGTCGGATGGGATGAATGAATAGGTCTGGGTTGATTATAGGTTAAACACTTGCATTATCAATAAGATAAAATATCATGTTTACTCCAGAGTGCTGCAGATGGGCTGGAATAACCGCAGCCGGAAGTCAAGCGCAGAGATTTATCTGATCGTGCCTCACGCCTGTCCATGGATCCTGACTTAGACTAGTAAGTGTGCGAATTCGAGGGCACCAGGTGGGTGGGGGTAGAAGCCAGGTGGAGTGTTTGAGTGATTCCGGTTTTCAGCACGTACGTAGAAACTGTGTCACAGTGAGTATGGTAATGAGGATGGTACGGCAGTTGATACAGTATTGTTTATCATCCCTCAGAGGGAGGGTGCCCGACTGACGTTCAAACACGGTAAGCTGCGTCTGCTGTGTAATGTTACACCACCAGCTGCCGTATATATGGACAGACGGTCGTGCTGTACTACCTACAGAATACTTAACTGACGTTGAAAAAAGGTAAGCTGCATCTGTTGTGCAATGTTACACCACTGGCTGCAGGTGTACCGTATGTCTTTACAGACGGTAATGCTGTACCACCCGCTGCAGCCTGCTGTACCACCTTACAACTATTACACAGCATATCCGTATCTGTCGTGCAACACCAGTCCCGACCCGCCACACACTGCAGTGTAACACAGTCATAATACTATACCGCAGTGCATACATACAAGCAAAGAACCGTTACACAGCAGACGCCCCACCTAAATCCAACTGCATCCGCTGCTGCACCTGAGTCACACGGCGGGCCACAGCCCCGATCTGATTAGACAACAGGCGGATCAGATAGTGGGCGGGCCCCGGTGGCGGTTGCTGGCGGTCGCTGGCGGTCGCTGGCCGCCATCTGATTAGATAGTTGGGCTCGGCTGCGCTAGCTGCTTTGGGCGGCCGATAATGAAGCCAAGGCGCTAAGCGGTAAGGTGGGTGTGGTATGGGGTGTATTGGGTGTATTGGGTGTATTGCGGTATATTTATGGTTTTCATCGAGGGGAGAGGGGTGCTGTTGGGGAGTCTGTCGGGCTGGGGTTCTATACTGCAGTAGAGGTTTAGCTTCGGGGTGGAGGATGAGGATGGATGCGTATCTACCCGTTATTATGGGATTTAATGGATTTTTCCTGTCGGGTTTGGGAGTAGAGGTACTGTATTGGACTGTACTGTCGCCGAGGAATTCTGTTGCAATATATATCCGCGCAAAAAGCACCGTATCTGCATGCCAGGCCAAGGGATGGCAGTGCGGTGAGCTCCCATCGATCTCTACTAGATATGCAACACCCATGGTATTGATAAGCTTTTTCAAACCATCTAACCTATGCAGCTACTGTCTAGACTTGAATATAGTTATCGACGCTATGAGACTCACAGGGTGTCACTTGAGCACCAGATAAAGTTCTTCGCAAGTTGTAATGTAGCAGACGAGGTCTGAGCCGACTGAGCCAACCATACATCCATACCAAGAGATGCGATGAGAAGCGAAAATCTATTCTATTATTAAAACTACCGTACCCAAAATCACTTTAAGCTCTATTGATATCCCCCGAGCAACAGCGCAGCCCTACTAAGCCACAGTCTGATGCAACACATTCGCGCGATAACTCTCCGAGCGCTCAAGCAGCTCCTCGTGCGTGCCAGAATCCACACACCGACCCGCCTCAATCAGAAAGATCACATCCGCCTTGCGGATCGTATTCAGCCGGTGCGCAATCGCCACGACCGTGATGCCTTTAGCAGCCCTTTCCAACCCATCCTGCAGCAACTTCTCGCTCTCGGCGTCCAACGCGCTGGTCGACTCATCCAGAATCAGCAGCTTGGGCTTACGAACCAGCGCGCGCGCGATGCTGAGACGCTGCTTCTGGCCGCCCGAGAACTGGCTGCCGTTGGGGCCGCACATGGTCTGGTAGCCGTCGGGCAGAGCCATGATCGTGTCGTGGATATTGGCCAGCTTGCACGCCTCCTGGATCTCGTCGAGGGTGACGTCGCGGCCCGGCGGCGCGCCGAGGCTGATGTTGAACTCGATCGTGCCCTCGAACAGCACGCTCTCCTGCGGCACCAGCGAGATCGTGTCCCGGAAGGACACGCCCCGCGTCTGCGTCACGTCCAGGTTGTCGACCAGGATCGACCCGGCCGACGGCGTGTACAGCCGCTCCACCAGCGAGATGATCGTCGACTTGCCCGCGCCGGAGGGGCCCACCAGCGCCGCGAACTTGCCCGCCGGGATGTCCACGCTCAGCCCGTTCAGCACCTTAATGTCCGGGCGCGCCGGGTAGGAGAAGTGCACATCACGAAGCTGCACGGTGGAGGCACCACCGCCGCCGACGCGCTTCTCGTGCACAACAGCGTCGGACTCGATGTCCCCGGACAGCGCGGGCGGCAGCCGGTCCACGTTGCCGCGCATCTTGTCGGAGCCGATCTCGATCAGCCCCAAAATGCGCGCCATGGCGCCCTTGGATGCCGTCAGCTCGGGCGCCAGCGCGAACATCTGGCTCCACAGCAGGGCGCTGACCAGCAGGGAGAACACGACGATCAAGAACTGGGTCTGCGTGTAGTTGCCGTTGGAGATCTGCTTGGCGCCCCACCAGTAGGCCAGGGCGTTGACCATGTTCCCCAAGAAGTAGGTCATCGCCTGCCAGAAGCTGGCCTGCAGCGTCACCTGCAGGGTCTCCTTGCGGGGTCCCCGTAGCGAGCGGCGGTAGGTGCGTAGAGTCACCTCCTCCAGGGCCAGCGAGGCGACCGCCTTGATGGAGGTGATGGCCTCGACGCCGATGTCGACGGACTTAGTGTAGGCGTTCTCGTGCTTCTCCTCGAACTTGCCGAGCACGCGCAGCTCCATGAGTCCGGCGCCCAGCAGGAGCGGCACGAGGGCCAGACACACGAGGGCGATGCGCCAGGCGATGATGTGGGTCATAACGATGGCGGCGATCAGGTTGATGGTGATGGAGATGACGGTGCCGATGACGGAGCCGCTCAGCCCGGCCAGCGCTTGGCCGTCGCGCGTGATGAACGAGAGCAGCAGCGCCGGCGTGCGGCCCTCGGACTGGTGCCACTGCAGGTCCTGCTCGAACAGCGACCGGAACGACAGCACCCGCACCGTGTACACGATCTTCTCCGAGATGCGCCCGAAGCCCGCCCAGCTGACCACGTTGGCGAAGAACTCGATGATCGCCAGGATGAAGAACATCAGTCCGTAGAAGTTGCCGCTGCTGCTGATGCTCGATGCCCCCTTGCACGGGTTCAGGCTGCCCACCGTGTTACCGAAGATGACGGCTTCGCCTGAGAAGGCACCACCGACGATGGCCGAGCCGATCAGGGCGAGGAGGATGTACAGGAGGTGGGGACGGAGGGCCGGCGCGTAGCCCTTGGCCAGCGCCCAAAGGGACTTCTTCGGAGTGTTGAGCTCTTCGGGATCCGCCTCTTCCGGGGTGTTGTTGTTGTTGTTGCTGGCGTCCGAGGCCGGGCCTTCGTGCACCCCCGGGGTCTTTTCCGTGGGTTCATCCGTGTTGGCCAGGCTGGCCTTTTCGTTCTCGATCTCGACGTCCGTCAATGAGGGCTGGTCCGATCGGCTGGCGGTGTCGGCCGCGGGAGCATCGTCCTTGTCTGAGGTCGAGGACATGCCCTGCAGCTTGACGAGGTCGGCATACGCGCCGCCCCGGGCCATCAGGGTGGCGTGGTCGCCCTGCTCGACGATCGTACCCTTGTGCATAACGACGATGTTGTCGGCGCCGGTGATGGTCGACAGGCGATGGGCGATGGTGATCATGGTGCGGCCGCTGGCGATGTTGTTGATGGCGCGCTGGATGCGCTGCTCACTGCGTGAGTCCAGCGACGCGGTGGCCTCGTCGAGAATCAGCACGGCAGGGTCCTTGATCAGGGCACGCGCCAACGAGACGCGCTGCTTCTGTCCACCGCTGATCAGTCGGCCACTCGACCCCACCATCGTGCCGTATCCATACTGCAAGGCGCTGATGAAGGTGTCGGCATCGGCCAGCGTGGCCGCGTGCTTCACCATCTGCACCACCTCCAGAACCTCGGCGCCGCGACTCTGCGCCGCCGCCATCAAATCCTTACCCTCGCGCGCCTCAGCGGCGAGTTCCTCCAGCTGGGTCGTGAGAAGCGTTTCCTTGAAGCGGTGATGCTCCGGGTTGCTCGAGTTCATCAGGCCGTGGGCGATGTTCTCCAGCAGCGAACGATCGAGCAACGAGGGCTCCTGCTGCACGAGACTCAGGTAGCTGCGCAGATCGCGGGTGTTGATGTCGCGCAGGTCGTGTCCATCGAACAGGATCTGGCCGTCGACGGGGTCGTACAGCCGCGTCACCAGGCCGGCGATGGTCGACTTGCCGCTGCCGGACAAGCCAACCAGCGCGGTGTGCTTCTTGGCGGGGATGCTGAGGCTGACCTTGTCCAGCACGGTGATCTCCGGGCGCGAGGGGTAGACAAAGGTCACGTCCTTAAGCTCGAAGCCGCCCTGGGCCTGCCCGTCGGGCAGCCGCAGGCCCTCGGTGGTGGTGGCGTCGATCTGCGGCTGGCGGTCCATGTCCTCGCGCAGCTTCTCGTAGGAGGCGACACCGGCGATGAACAGATGGAGGAAGGGCGCCGTCTGACTGAGCAGGAGGGTGGCTTCGACCAGGATGAAGATGACGGTGAAGACGGCGCCGACGCTGACGCCACTGGTGCCGTCGCGGACATTGGCCGCAACCTGCTTCGCGCCCTGCCAGAAGGCCAGACCGTTGGCCGAGTAGGCGATGAAGTATAAGAACCCGGCCTGCACACCGACGGCGGTCGCCTTCTTCAGCCCCTCGGTCTCGGCGGACTTGAGCGCGGAGGCGAACTTCTTCTCGAGCCGGACGTTGGCGCCAAAGGCCTGGACGACGACCAGGTTGTTGAGGGCCTCGGAGGCGATGGAGGCGGCGGTGGCGGCATAGTCGGACATGGAGCCGGAGTATTTCTCGATGTAGTGACTGCCGATAAAGGACATGAGGAAGTAGGCGGGGATCAGGGACAGGAGCTCGGCGGCCAGCTTCCAGTCCTTGATGAAGGCGACGATGTACGCGGTCACGAAGAAGGAGATACTGGACAGCACGATGCCGACCTTCTCGCTGGTGCCCGAGCGGATGGTCTGGATGTCACTGCTGAGTCGGGAGGCCACTTCGCCCGGGGGGAGCTTATCGAAGTAGGAGGGTTCCTGGCGGATGAGGTTGCGGAGGTATTTCTCGCGAAGACGCTGGGACAGGCGAGCCCCGGAGAGGGTCCAGCAGGTCAGGTGGACGTAGATCAGGACGAATTGCGCGATGCCCAGGTAGACGATCAGGAGAATCTCGTGGTTGATGCTGCTCTGGTCGGAGTCGTCGCTTTCGCCGTTGGATTCCGCGCAGGAGATGGAGTTGAAGTTGTCGAGCAATTCACCGAAGATGATACCGATAATGGGGAAGGGGACGCCAGCGCCAATGGCGGCGACGATGCCGGTCAGGAGAGTGCCGACTTCATATTTGGTGGGATTGCCGGCTAACAGCAGACGGGGAAAGCCCGCCAGTTTCTTGAGGAACATGTTGGCAGAGAGGAGGAGGAAGTGGTGGAGGTGGTGGTGAATGGGAGGAGGTTGGCGTGCGGGGAAAGGGAAAGGTGAGGCGCGATTCACAGGTGGCCAGCCATGCAGGTGCAGGTGCAGGTGCTACGCCCTTAGGAATTGCCTGCACTCGCAAAGGAAGATCGCATGCACACTTCTGATGCAGAAGAGGACAGGTAGAGAGGAGAGGAGAGGAGAGGAGAGGGGAGGAGAGAAGGAGAGGGGAAAGAAGATGCAAAGAAATGGAGTCCGTGAAAGAGCAGCTGCCGCTACTGAAGAATGGACGATTGACAGGGGACCAAGTCACAGCCGTTACGTAAGGTGAGGAATTTCGGAGCTGCTTGGCTGCTTGGCTAGAAGGGTAGAGAATTGGCACCGAAGAGAAAAAGAGGAGCAAAAGAGGAGCAAAAGAGGAGCCCAAGATAATCAATCAGTCCCCACTTGGAGGTATGTTAGGGCATGTCAGGGTATGTAACTGCTGGTACGAGGGTATGTATGGTATGTACGCACGGTATGGGTGGTATCCACTGGTTCCTGTGTGTATCAGCTGGTATCAGCTGGTATCGACTGGTAACGTGCGGCGGGCCCCGAAAATTCTTCCTCCCGCTCCATATCAATCAGCCAATTTATTGGTGAAAAGCCCCAGCATGTCCCACTGCACTAGACTCCCCTAGCATTAGCCCAGCAAGATAGACAGGATCAGATAATTTCCCGGCTCAGCCATGGATCCTGGATCACCTCTCCAAAATTCCGTGGATGGCGAAATGACCGGTGGACGGGTTGGTTCAGTTCATGGTTGGTTCGATGGCCGGAACCAGATTCGGGAAATCTAATCTGATAATCTTGCCCTGCAGTCACCTTCACTTTTCTCTCCAAATGGGAGGCAGAGTGGATGATGGGATTGGGAAAGTGGAGCTTGAGGCAGGTGAGACAGCCCATTCTTCCCTTCCTTTCCCGGAACTTCTCTGTCAACCACGCGGCAAAGCGAAAAAAATAAGACCACTCGGAAGGAGGAGGAGCTGGTGGTGGTGGTGGCTTGAGTCGGTCTCCGGTCGGAGGTCGGAGCACTCTCACTGACCTCACGTCCATCGCTGCAGGCTACGGCGGGTTTGACGAATTCGCCTTATCATTGTGTGCTTGGACTGCAGTCAAAGTACTACCATGTACAGTACTGCATGTACGGTACGTAGCATTCGAAAACCTGGAATTGACCGGAATCAATCACGCCGTACAACAATTTGCATGCCTCAGGCTGCAGATTCCAAAGCACGTGACCGTGCTTGACACCGATATCGCAGTACCCACTAAGTAACAACAATGGGGGGAAGACAAGAAACTTAGAGTAAACCAACCGGCCCTGAGGTACAGAAGAGAAAAAAACTAACTTACAGTTGCGTGAGAGCCCAAGTGAGAGTAGACTGGACGGGAAACGACCAGGATGTGCACGCATTTCGAGGGTTGATCACACCTCTATCGACAACTCTCGCTGCAGCATGTAGGCATGTAGCACACCCCGGATCTCATCGTGGTTATTTCTGACAGCCCATTCCAATGCAGTTCGCCCACGAGCATCTGTGAATGCCGGATCCGCTTCGGATTCGATCAACACCACGACCGCTAGCAAGCAGCCTTTTGTCGCCGCACACATGAGACAATTCTCCCCCTGGACATGCTCGAACAATCAACGAACGATCTGATGCTTTCCCTTGGTTGACGCCCGGAAAATAACAGTGTATCCATAGTCACCGACCACACTGACATCGACGTCGGACTGGTGAGTAACAGCTCAAACACCCTCAGACATCCTCCTCCGCGGCGCATGAGATAGCAGATCGCTTGTACATGTCCAAGTCATTCACCCTCACGTCGGGCCGTCTGAGAAACCTTGCGAGAATATCCACCTCTCCAGATTGGGCCGCCAGGGAGAGTGAGGATCATCTAACCCCGATCTTTGTCGTACCGCGGATCCAATGGAATATGAGATTCACTGGCAAATGTCAAAGCCGAGACACAGCACATGACTTTGTGCCTCTCGCAAGCCTCGAACGCATCCTAAACCCCGCTTTCCTTTTTCCTTCCAGTAAGAATAGCATCTGCCTTCGTTACCGTGGTCGACTTTCCCAACATCAAGCTCGACTGTTTGTACATATACTCCGACTCGGTTCAATCTCAAGCCAAATGAGCGATAGTCTTGGCATGTCCGACTAGTTTGCGGGGTAGGCCACACTAACTCAATTTCTCTTCAGCTCAGACCTTTTCCCCATGGTTGATCTGCAGATTGCCTGCATTCCCATCCCTTACAAATGGATCCCCTGTCGATATCATCCGGGGTGGCAGGGCTGATTGGTCTAGCTCTGCAAGTAGCCCCAGTGCTCCAATCTTACGTCTCAAATTTCAAGTCTGCACACGAGGATGTCCAAGCTTATCTCGACGAAGTGGGGGCCTTGTCCCAGGTCTTGGATCGGATGTACACATTTCTCGATTCGTCCTGCATGACGAGCGACCGATTTCAGACGACCGAAGCTGTGCTTCTGCAAACCATTAAATCGTGCGAAAAGTCTCTGCTCGAGCTGATCCGCATGCTCAGAAAGCCGGTCGGGTTGACAAAGAAGCTTTTATGGCACCTCGAGAAGGAAAAAGTCGAAAGCATCATTGCACGGGTCCGGCAATGCAACCAGCTGTTCAATTTTTCGTTGACCGTCGAAGGGTGGTAGGCAACACACGTCCTGTCACTTTCACACTCGCCTACTGACCATCAAAGGGCTCTACTCTCGCAGACTCCCGCAGAGGTGACCACGATCCTGCAGCTCCAGATGCAGATGTCGGAGAAGATGCATAAACTTGCCGAAGCAGCGTCGTTATCAGTAGACTCAGTCAAGTTATACCAGGACAAGACAAAAGAATTAGTCTCGTTGTTGGAGAACGTGTCCATATTCGCGAAAGCAGTCGGGCAACTGTCGGAGATCCAAGAGCGTGTCAAGAAAATTAGTCGCGGCATAACAGGTGAGCATAGATATTTATCAGGTCGCTTGCCCCAGTATTTGTCGCTCCTACCACGCCTCTTCATGCCTTTGCCCGTGGTGAAAACTGGTCGGTTGATTGTGGACCACGCTGTAGGCAGGGGCATGCCTAACTCATTTGAGTTGAATGACGGTGATTCCAAGAAATAACAGAGCTATCTAGCTTCCGTGATCATTGTGAGCGTTATCGATCTTGGTCTGCTGCTAGGAAACAGCTGAAACTGGAATAGCAATGATGGCACAGGATATTAGTGTACCGTCGCTCAAGCTTGGTCGCAAGGCCACCCAGTGCTATACCATTTAAGGCGCTAATGTGGTAGGGGCGACAGCTCGACGAAGTTAGCTTTCAGTGTGATTGATCACAGTTCTAACCTCGAGCCAGACAAGCGGCAAATCGAGATCCTCGAATGGCTCACGCGCGGCCAAGGACCAGGACGCCATCATGAGATCCAAGGACGTCGAACGCCCGGAACGGGCAGATGGATCTTCGCTCAATACCAATTCAGACAATGGCTTGAAACCGATTCCTCAACAGATATTCTGTGGTGTTTTGGCGGACCAGGCACTGGAAAGTCGACGTTGATGTAATCATAACAAACATTGCGTAGGATGTACTGGCTTGCTGATATGGCACAGGTCGTTTGTTATTGATGAGATCAAACACTCACACACCGGGCCCGATACTGCTGCCGCGTATTATTATTGCGACTATCGAATGCGGACTTCGCAGCCAATGGTGCTCGTACTCGGGTGCATGATCAAGACTTTTGCTGGGCTTCTGAACAGTCTTCCACAATCCCTCGATGCATTATACGACAAGTGCCGTCGAGAGAACCGGCGGCCCGTTGTTACGGAGCTTGAGGTCATCATGAATGAGATTTGCAGTTTATTCAAGAACCCCTTTGTTCTGATCGATGCCCTAGACGAGTTTAGCCCCGCAGATATGACGCAAACAAGACATCTGATCCGCCTCCTGGATAAGCTTGCTCGAAATGGGGCACGGGTCTTTGTGACTAGTCGATCGAGACCTGAACCCTTTCTCGCAGGAAACAGTCTTGTACTAGAATATGCGGCGGACAGCGAAGACGTCCGATCGCATGTTTTGTATGCTCTAAAGTCCGAGGACATGATGGTGGATCTCTTAGATCAGCAGCTCGAAGAAGAGATATGCAACACAATTGTCAGCCAAGCAGGCGGAATGTAGGAGCATAATTCTATGCCTCCTTTTAACCCACAACTGCTGATGAGCACACAGGTTTCTGTTGGCAGTTCTTCATCTTCAGAACATTCGCGATCAGATCAGTCGAGCTGGTATCCGGAAAAGCTTGAAGACGCTGAGTAGCGATTTGGGTGACGCCTATGACAAATCCTTTGATGCATTGTCCCACCAGTCCGCAGCACGAAAAGATCTTGCGCTCCGTGCCTTGCGCTGGGTGGCTTGCGCGTACCGCCCACTCAGTGCACTGGAGTTGCGACACGCTTTGGCGACCGATGATGAACTTTGGGATTGGGACAAGCTATCCCCTCTCAGACTCATAATTAGTAGCTGCTGTGGGTTACTCTCAGTAGACGGAATGGAGGACCACGCACAAGTACGGTTGGTCCATCATACCTTGCAGCAGTATCTTCAGAGTACCCAGCCGGACTGGTATGTCAGAGCCCATACAGTTATCACTCAGACGTGCCTGCAATACCTTCTGCTGGAGGAGCTGAAGGCTGCACCGGAAGACCAAGGCGAGGTCAGGTCCGAAGGCATTTCGAAGAGGGCCTCCAATGATATTTCACTTCGAAATATGGCCGCTTCAGGCAAACCCGAAAAGCATAATTTGAACTCGATTGCGGACGAGATCTTCATTCTCGTTGGATATGCGAAGGACTGCTGGGGCTTGCATGCTGCATTGGTGCCTTTGGAAGAGTATGTGTATCTGGCCATGCGCCTGTTCAACGACCAGCCACGGCTAAAGTCCCTTTTCGCCAAGAACAAACGCATCCATGGGCTGCATATAGCCTCTGCTTTTGGGCTTACGGAGCTTGTGCATCACATGGCAGAATCCGGTCATGACGTGGAGTGTTTCGACACTGGGTCTCAGAGCCCTCTTCATCATGCCTGTGCGCACAATCATCCGGACACAGCCCTCGAGTTAATCAAGCTCGGTGCTAATGTCTCTCATGTAACTCCTAAGCGTGACACCGCGCTTTTTCTGGCTGTTGGCACTGGGAACCTGGAGTTGGTCAGGGTTCTCCTGGACAACGGTGCACCGCCTGGTCAGATCGCACGGGATGGTTGGATCGCTTTGCACAAAGCGGCGGATATGGGATTCTTCGAGATTGTGGTGTTGTTGGTCCGCCGAGGAAGTTCAGTCTCGAGCAAATCCGCACGCAGATTGACTGCCTTACATCGGGCAGCAGGAAGAGGTTATATAGACATCATCGACTTTCTGATAAAAGAACAAGCCCCTTTGGAAGCAGTCACCCATGACTTGTGGACACCGCTTCATGGCGCATCATCCAGCGGACAGACTGATGCCGTGGAGTTGCTGTTGCAGCACGGGGCGAACCTCCATCATCAAAGTCTCGATGGGAAGACCGCATTGCACCGGGCTTGTCAAGGCGGACACGTCGCAACTGCAAGGGTTCTCTTGCAGCACGGTGCTGATGTTATGGTTGGGGACTCCAAGAGTAACCTTTCCCTGCATATTGCAGCGCGGGAAGGGCACCCAGCGATAGTGAACTGCCTGCTGGAACATTCGGCACAGCAACTGCTGCATTTGAACAAGGTCAAACGAACACCGTTGCTTGAGTCACAATGGAGTGGTTCGCGGAGGACGGAAGAGCTTCTGATGCAGCGAACTCACGCTGTTTCCGGCTCAAGTGTCTCTGATGACGCTAACTTGTTAGCAGCCATACAGCAAGACAATCTCAATGCAGTCAACCACCTTATCAAATCTGGAGGACTCGAAATCGACTCGCGAGACTCCATCGGTCGGACCCTTCTTCAGCAAGCCCTTCACGCCGGGTCCTACAAGGTCGCACAAGCACTTCTGGAGGCGGGAGCAGATATCCACGCCCGAGCGCACATCGACGAATGGCAGCCAATCCACTTCGGCGCTCTGGCCGGAAACGCCGAATGTGTTGAGTTGTGTCTGGAGTATGGCGCCCAAGTCAACGGCCGAACACAAAGCGGCCAAACACCGCTCCATCATGCTTGTAGGAAAGGGGACGAGGAAACGGTGCGGTTACTTATCCAGAAAGGAAGTGAGATCCGGGCCACGGACAGCAAGTACTGGCAACCGCTTCACACCACCGCGGATGCCGGCCACGAGCACATCGTGCGGATCTTGTTGGAGCATGGTGCCCTCAGTCGCTTCAACGACTTGCAGTGGACAACCTTCCAGGACTTTGCGGCCCTGCGTGGACATCATAATCTGGTGGAGTTGTTTCGAGAACTGAGGTATTCGCGGCGACCTTACGATAGCTAGGCTGGAGGGGTGGCTGTAAACCGAGCTGACGCTGGATCGATGGTGATAGATACTTCATAGGTTTGATAGAAAATAGACTAAGCACTTAGCCAAGATAGATTGAATGGTCGATAGTTCGCGTGAATTGAAAGGCTCTAAATCTCGACAGGATTTCTCAGTGGAGGACAGAACATAGGAAAGATCAAGGAAGAATGCTGTGTCGATGAAACAAGAGTTCAACAGTTCGAGGTTAACACTTCTAACAACAGCTTCTGGTTGTGAAGGGAAAGAGCCGGTGTAGATGCCGCCTTCCCATTCTGGCTCACGCGACTCTTTGTCCGGGACGGCAGAATCGATGATCACGTGAACATGCATAAGATTACTTTAGGCTGGGGTTTGAGGCTTGTGGTCATGGAATTTGACTTGAAAGAAACATTCACAGAGCATGGGTTTACATCTCACAGATCTGTTGTCCGACCAGGCTACAGGGACCGGACCTGGTGTCTAGAGATTGAGGCTTGATTCAACGATGGTCAAACAGCGTACTACTATGCCCGACAGATATATGTAGAGAAACCCGACTTCCCGACGCCAAGTTACAAAGCTCAAGGTTATACAGCCGAGATATAATTCTGTCAGAATATCAGTTTGAATTGATAATATGGTAGAATAGCAAGAGGCCAATCTAGTACAACATGTTTCCGTAAATACAGTCAGGTTCGGAGCAGACAAATGAAAAGCCACGATCAACGATCAAAGTTGCACCAAGATTCTTATGAACAGAAACCCCATCCATCGGAGAGCGTAGTTATAGATCCGGACAATGAGTTCGAGTGGGTGCGCTGCAAGAGCAAGCCGGAACTCAACGACTCAGTACACGCAGTTTCTCCTTCAATTCCTTGATCTCGTCCAGGCGAATAAGCTGTGACGGGTCGTACATTAGGACGAAACGCGTGGAATTCTTGCCGCGGATCTTCATCGAAGTAGCGATGGTAGTCACAATGTGGATCACCTCGCGCATCGAGACAACGAGACAGGGTCTATCGCGGTCTCCCCAGGCCAGCTGCGGCTCGGTCTCGTCAGTGTCCTTGGCCCTCCCCTTGCCCTTCCCGTTGTACTTGATGGACGGGATAGTGAGGTCGAAGATTAGAGATGACATGGGTGGGACCTTCAGCAGCTCCTGTCTCCAGGCTCTGCCCAAAGGTTGAATATCAAGACACGTCTGTCCGGGCTCGATATGATCTGTGCAGAAGTCGGCTTTGCGATTGGTGCAGTCAGCGAGAGTCTCACTATACGCAAGGGGCTTGAGCAGTGCGAGCTTGACCGGGTGGTTGCCCCAGAATGGAGGCATGAATGGTCCAGCGCCCAGTTGAGAGAGACCTGCTGTGATGAGGCGTTCCTGAATGTACCCGGGGTGATCGATCTCGATCAGGTCGCCTTGGGTCTGGGTTAGCAGGGCGTTGATCTCTGCTTTGACAACTACGCGTTCCTCTGGAACGTCAAACGTGCGTTGTACGCTGACTTTCTTGTGCTTGTTTGATTTGCGTTTCGCTTTCTCGCTTGCCTCCTTCTTCTTCCTCTCGTTGTACTGTTTTAGCTGCTCTTCTGTAGCACCCTCGGGCCACTGGGGGAATCTGAGGATAGGCCGGGCTTGCGGTTTCCTCCAGGGAAGCACCTCAATCTTGGAGTCTTCGTCTGGGTTGGTCTGAGGGTCTGAACGCCGTTCAGCTTCGACCCTTATCTCAGAAACCACTCCAGCCTGTTTTCCATGCTTTGCCTGATGCTTTGTTTTGTCATCCACCTTTCGCGGTTTATTGCCAGCGTTGAGGTCCATGTCATCACCATCAGGATCTGTCGGAGAAACGGCGGGAGTGTTTGAGTCGGACTGGGTGTCCTGCTTTGCTTCGTGGGTCACTCCGTGTTCAGCTCCGTGGTCGTCTCTGGATCTGGGTAGCTTGTTGGTTTTACGACCTCTAGTCATGACTGAGGTGTTGATAGATTTTGCTCATAGAAGGATAGAATCTGAGAATGGGTGGTGATGGTGTTGCTCGAAATAGTGTTATGGGAAGAGGATGAGGGAGTGAGAGGAAGGAGAGAGGAAGGAGAACGGAAGTAGAGAAAGATGACAAGAAGATGACAGAGTTGCGTGATCACTCGAAGGCCTGGGTCTGAGTGAATGGAGTCTGTTGTGTTGTGTCGTGTTGTGTTGTGTCGTGTTGTGTTGTGTCGTGTCGTGTCGTGTCGTGTCGTATCGTGTAGGGAGCTGAGAGAGTCTACCACAAACGACCAAACATATCCCTGTCACATGATCCCATCAATAAGTGAATGTTTTGCTTCCCGTACGAATGTCTTGCAACTTCTGTGTTGTGTCCTTCAAAGGCTCAATCCATGCCGTGTGGATTCGTTGCCTCAGCCACAACAAAAAAGACATCAAGATTGCTCAACACCCCGTCTAGCTGAGTCTCCCTCGGCATCCACCTCAGTACTTACGACAAGAGGCTGTTGCTTTCCATCACATGTCGCATCTCTGAAACTCTCAGACAGCAGCGCAGGCTGACAGGCGTACAGCGACTTGAGCCAGGCCTGCGACGACGTGATTCCATAGGCCCACGACCCCTGGAGGGAATAAACAATCGCGTCCACGATTTGGGAGATCGCCTTGTTCTGCCTAAACCGACTCTTCACAACTACCGCAGCGTGGACTAGAAGATATTCTGTCAGCTCCCCGGTTAAACTCCACATTTTTGAGTGTGACTGACCAACCGAATCATCCAGATGGTGGATGTAGTCCCAGCACCGATCGACGGCCTCCTGCAGACTCTCGCCCGTTCCCCGCATAAGCCACGCCACGCAATTCATGCTTTCGGTGTCTACCCGACCGTCGTTCATGAAGATATGCTTGGGCAGGGAATACAGGTCGTTGACAACGCCAATTTGAAGACAAGCCTCGTCCATCAGGAGCTGCATGGTCGGATCATCCCAGACGCTATCGGGGATCTGAAGATCGAGCGCAAACTCCATCCAGTGGAACAGCATAAACATGCCCGAGCTATCAACGCGAGATCGCTTCCATTGCTCCAAGTCATCTGAGGCCTTGCTTGGACCGTGCTTTCTTGCGTGCATGGCCGTGATGGCTCTGTCACTGCTTAGCGCTGCGGGCTAAGGCCAAGAAAGGGGCTCACCTTTCTAAGTAGTCAGCCGCACGGAGGAATTGCTCCTTTCTCGGACTGAGGCGAAGCATTTGAGCGAAGACTCCGCGAATATACCGCACAGACTGGGGTTGAATATCATTGTCGCTGGCTAAGTGGCCGTCAGTGGCAAGCAGTCTCAAGTCACGCGGTAGGTGGCTAAGCTCTCCTCCCACGGGCAGTAGCTTTCCCTGACTGAACCAGGGATATTCAAAGAGGTTTCCAAACAGCAGCAAACAAGTCAGCCATTTGCATAGTACGACCAGCCGTTCATGGCTGGTGGAATGCGGAATCATGAACGCTACAAGCGCGGGCAAGCGCATCGCTCGGATCCGTGATGCATTGCTCTCGTTTATACTTGGGAGAACAGCGAGCACCTCGTCCGTGATTTTGTCACACGTCAACCTCGTGAAGGAGGGGTGGGTGCCTCGATGATCGGTCGTGGGTGGCCAGTAAGCAGGCCATCGCAAACTTTGATCTTTCCCAGCCATATGGTCAGTATGCAGTAATTGCGCGATGTCGATGTGCGTTCACCGGAAATTGAGACTGACTTTATAGGTTATCGAACGTAGTGACTAGGTGGAGCTTGCGGTTCAGCCTGTTCAGCTACTTTGACTGCTTCCAAGCCGAATTTTGTAACAATGCCAACGCAAGTCGCTTGTTTTATACGCTCTATCCTTGACTCGTGGTAACATTCTTTGGCCGCATGGCAAGGCATGACAAGAGCACTGACCAGTATTTCCAAGATTGGAAAAAGCCTATCACATGGGATAGAGTTTCTGGCCAGCCCCTTGCCGATACGTGGATGAGGCGGCCACTGAACCAGGCCCAGGGCACCCCCCCGGACCACTCCCCGACAGCATAAATCCCGCAATGACATCTTCTTGCAGCAAACCTGGCGATCTGAGGATCATGACTCCCGGTCATTCGGTGACGTGGGGCTCAGACTGTTGTTCGGCACTTGTCCTTGGAACGATCTTAGTAGTGGTTCCTACACAACCTCTTGCCAATCACAGACACTTTTTTCTTCCCGGTGACAAGTTAGGTATACTGTGAGCATCCTGAGCTAGCGACCTTGATTATAGTTGGCGACTGTCCAATCGGAATCCCCCTAGTATGCGAACCACGACCTGAACCTGCACGACAAGGACTTCTGTCTTCTTAAGTTGACCCGACACGTCGACCAAGATCTGACATTATCGTACCAGTTCATCTGCCCTCCAATGCTCCACAACTTCATGGTCACTGTAATCGTTTTGAGGGCCGTCAATGAAACCTGACACACCAAGGGCTCAGTGTGTTTCAGAAGCCATTTCCTATACATTATCAGAACTCATGCACATTTCGATTCCTTTCGCATCGTGGGGCGGCTCAACTCGTATCTCATTTTTTAGATCTTGTTAAGAACCCTTCACATGGATCTTCATCAATGCCGACCGAAGATGCCACTCAAACCGTGTGCACAACAAGAACACTATCTTACTAAGTCCTACTGGGCTTTCCTGAAAATGCTTTCCACTCCTTCAAAACATCCACTACGATGTCACAACTTCCCACGCCGCACGCGACCGGAGTACGACGGCCCGGGCGCGACAATTAGCCGACGGTGATTTACCCGACCCTTGAGTCGGAGCATGTCCGGCGATACCCCACCTATATATGACGACATATCCAGCAACTCTCCGGCCGCACATCCACCTCTACCTCGCGCACACGCCAAAATGTCCATGACCGTGGCAGACAGCGATCAACCCCGGGAGGGCTTTCCGCGCCCGTTCCCGGGGACCCCCACTAACGTGCTCGAGCAGTTCCAGATGGCGGGGAAGGTGGTCGTTGTGACGGGCGCAGCTGATGGGATTGGGTATGCGGTGGCGGAAGCGATGGCCGAGGCCAAGGGACACGTTGCCTTGTGGTACCACTCGTGAGTTTGCCTGCTGAAGGTGTGGGTTTGCTTCTCATCGTTTGTGGCAGCAACAACGCTGCGATAGAAAAAGCGGAGGTTCTGGCGCGAGACCACGGGATCAAGGCGGTTGCGTATCAAGTCGATGGTCGGTCTCGTTGAACTGTATCGGGAAGCAAGACTGACTGGCCATAGTGTCTGACCCGGACAAAATCCAGGCCGCGTTGTCGGATGTGATTCGTGACTTTGGAAAAATCGACGTCTTCGTCGCCAATGCGGGTAGGACTTCTGAGTTTCGAGGCAGAGGCAAACTGCTAACAGTGCTCAGGAATGGCAATCTCCAAGCCTATTCTCGAGCAGACACTAGACGAGTACAGGAAGCAGATGTCCGTGAACGGTACGTAACCCCACCAAGGGCATTCTTCCTCGACTAACTCTCGCAGTGGACGGAGTGGTCTACTGCTCCAAATTTGTCGGTGACATCTTCAAGCACCAAGGGTTCGGGAACCTGATCATCACCTCGAGCATGAGCGCGCATATCATCAACGTGCCGGTGGACCAGCCAGTGTACAACGCGACCAAAGCGTTTGTCACGCACTTTGGCAAGTCGCTGGCCCGCGAGTGGCGGGACTTCGCGCGGGTCAACATCGTGTCGCCGGGGTTCTTCGACACGAAAATGGGGGCTGGGGAGGACTGCGTGCAGGAGGCGTACCGGATGGCGGTGCTGGGTCGGCAGGGGAACGTGAAGGAGATCAAGGGGTTGTATCTTTATCTGGCGAGCGACGCGTCGACGTATATGACGGGGAGTGATTTGTTGATTGACGGGGGGTATGTTCTGCCTTAGCTGTCTGGTTGTGGTATGCTACTTTAAACCCTAAACTTTATTATTCGGGTTGCAATATAGGATTGATGTGCATCTAGCTGCAATGCAATGCATAATGCGCGATGATAGGCAGTTGATGAAAATAAGGCTTGTGGATGGTCTAGATCAAGCGGTAGCATTGTCTGGATGAGTGTGGGTGATGGTGAAAAGCTTAGCTGTTTTAGCTTGTGCACCGACAACACTGACTCCAATGAGGCTGAACTGCGCATTCGGCGGGTTTACCCTTCCTTCGGTGACATTCGGCAAGTTTGGGTTCAAACCACCCCGGAACAAATTTGCTTACAAGTGCTTCCAAGAAAGAGGGAGCACACATCCACAGACCAAACAACCAAGCAGCAGTGCTTCTGCTGCTGCAGCTTAGCGCCGCACGGAGTTCGGCATTGCACCCCCCGATCTGACATCTGACATCTCTTCCCCTCTCTCAAATAATCCAACACCACTTCATCCCACCGTCTCCAAACTCCCTCTCCCCTCCAAGATGTCTTCCTCCACCATGCGCGCATGGGTATACACCCAGTCGGGGCTACCCTCAACAATCCTGACACCGACAACCACCTTCCCCGCGCCCACGGCCTCCTCCCTCGGCGCCAATGACCTCCTCGTCGAGGTCGACTACGTCTCGCTGAACGCCATCTGCACGGCCATGATGCGCGCCCTGCCCCCGCAGCCCTTCTCCCTCGGCCTCCCTTTCCGTCGCCGCATCGCCGTCCCCGAGTTCGAGTTTAGCGGACGCATCCTCGCCACAGGATCGCAGGTCGCCACCACCCGACCCGAACTGACCCCCTCCACGCGAGTCGCGGGCTGCGTCTCCGAGCAGGAAGTCTTCGGCACAGGGAAGGGCGCGCTGGCCGAGCGATTGATCGCGCCTGCTAGCCAGGTCATCGCACTGGCCGGTTCCAGCCCACCGCTACAGCCCTCACCCTCGCCCTCAGCCCGATCTCAATCCCAATCCCAATCTCACCCCACAACTCCACCTGCACCTTCTTCCTCACCTTCACCGAAACCAGAACCACTATCACCGCAAGAATCCTCCGGCCTCACCGGCTGCGGCTGCACAGCCATCCAAACCCTGGACCTCACCCGCCTAATCGCAGGGGACAAACTCCTCGTGAACGGCGGCAGCACGAGCGTGGGCATGCTCACAATCCAAATCGCACGACACATCCTGGGCCCAACCGGCACGATCGTGGCCACGTGCTCATCGCGCAACGCGGACCTCCTCGCCTCGCTCGGCGTCGACGAGGTCATCGACTACGTCGCGCACGCCCCGCTGCACGCGTATCTCCGCGCGCACCACTCGCTCTCTCCCTCTCCCTCCTCTTCTCCCTCCTCACCCTTCGCAGCGGAATCTCGTCCCTTCGACGCAATAATCGACTGCATCGGCGACACCACCCTCTACCACCACTGCGCAGCATACCTCGCCGAAGGCAAACCGTTCATCAATCTGGGGCAGATGAACGCCGCCCCGGGGTTCTGGGGGCAGATGGCGTGGGCGTGGGAGCAGGTGGCGTGCCGGTTTTGGCCGGTCGTGCTGGGGGGCGTGCCCCGGGGGTATCAGTTCTATAGCGGGCGGCCGCGGGCGGAGGATATGGGGCGGGTGATGCGGTTGGTGGAGGCTGGGGTGGTGCGGGTGGTGGTGGATTCGGTGTGGGGGTGGGGCGAGGTGCCGAAGGTATGTTTCTCTGTTTGGGGATGGGGGCTGATATGCTGACTGTTTGTAGGCGTATGAGAGGATGGAGAGTAAGAGGGCGAGGGGGAAGGTTGTTGTTCGGGTGCGGGAGGGGGCGGCGTGATTCATGCTATTGCTGTTAGCACAGGAGGTGGAGGATCTCTGGAGACTGGGTAGGTTTGAGTCTGGTTGGTGGGTCTGTGGTTGGGAGTGATATTCTCCAACTGCACAGCTAGCTGAGCGCAGCACTTATGGCAATAATGGGTACAAAGTCTCGGAGGTAATAAGCAAGCACATACGAGCATAATCTTGCTACTCCCAACTCTGCAGTCCTATAAGGCCGTAGCTTACGGCAGTCAGAGTGGCACCAAAGATAGCATCACAACCATTCACCTACCTTCGCTCCTGCGTGTACCTCCGTAGCCGGAATCTGCTGGCGATGCATCCAGAGAAGACACATGCAGCAATGAAAGCCTATCACCTACCATTGAACTAGCTTCAGAGTTCTATACACCGATTAACTTACACACCACTATACACCTCTTCCAACCACCTCACACCAACCCCAGCGCGTCAAAACACTCCCAACACCGTCGCTACGCGCGGAAACAACCGCAACGCATTCTCCGCATGAATCCCCCCCATTTCGGAGGTATTAAACCCCCCATTCGTCTGGATCGTCGGCAACGTCGCCGCAATCTGGTTGCTCGGGACAGACGGATCTGCAATGCAATTTGTCAGCATAGACACATCCCCAATGGAGAAAAATGAAGAAACAAAGAAAGAAACAAAGCAGAGGAGCATACAATCCGTCCCCGCCAGGATCCTCCCCGTGCCCAGAAAACTCTTCAGCGCCGCCAGCTGCACCGCCGACGTGGCCGACGCCGTCTCGAAGTAATACCCCGCCCGCTGAGCAACCGACTCTGCCACGCTCAGCCCACCCATGAACTCCATCGAGGGGAGGCCGGCGGCAGGGGCATCGTGGCGGAGAAAGGCGACGCCCGGGGCTGTGACGCTGACGGTTGAAAGGTTGATGCCTCGTGCGTCCATGGTCGACAGATGGGAGTCCAGGGTCCAGTCGGGGACGGGGAAGTTGTCTACGTATCAGGTGCCGTTTTGGAGGGGGTATCCGGCGGAGATTAGGGCTTCTTTCCAGATGGGCGGGATGACATGGGAATGCACGTCGATAATATAGTCCGCCCCGAGAGTGCGGTGGCTGTCCGCGTGGACGAGGCCTGTGGTGGCCAGGCCCAGCACGATAGATTGGAGGGAGGGCATGTTGCAGCTGAGGTATGGACAGAAGTGAAGAAAAATTTCAGATTTCGACGGAAGAGCTGGGGAATTGCTTCATATAGTGACGCGTGGTGCGATATCTAGTCTCTCGCTAGCTAATTAGTATCTTGCCGGTGGAACCGGTGATCTGCTGGAGCCCTACGGAGTACAGTAGTGGCACTATACTCCATACAAGCTAAAATGGCTGGGGAGCATTACGAAAGCCTCCGTTGCGCTGCCGGCTTGATTAGCCTGCCTTAGTGTCAGACTACGGAATAGTGTGCGTTTCGAGCTGTCTAGTAGCTGCATGCTCAGCCCATGGGCCCCCGTCATGGATGGAATTCTGTCAGCCCTAGCATGCGATCCGGTAGACACCGTCGAGACCAAGAAATTGGCAATATCTAACCCTGGTTGTTCTTTGTTCAATCACACATCAACCATTCCCCTATTAAAGTGTGGTGGTGATATAAGGGACTTGTCTCTCCCGACTACTAACCCGCTACAGTCCCAAGTGCACCCTATGGCCGTCTCCATGTCCGAACGAACCGACGAGGTAGATTGACTCCATCGCCGTAATCACCACCATGACCACCGCAATCTTCCTGGCCACGACCTTTCAATGCTCCCCCATCGACGCCGTGGCGTTCTGGTCGGCGACGGCCGCGCTGTACCTGCTCACCGACGTGTGGGTGCTCGTGCTGCCGGTTCAAACGATTCTAGGGTTCCTTGGCCCCCCGTGTCCCCGTGTCCCCTCCGGGACAGTGATCAGGTTCTAACCCGTGAAACAGGCCTCCAAGCCAGTCGCAGGAAGAGACTCGTCCTGACGGGGCTGCTTTCTCTCGGAGCATTGTGCGTTTTCCTCCCACCTCACCCAGCATTGCCCATGACACTGAGAAAAGAGCGTCTGTATCGCCAGCATCGTCCGGATGGTCTACATCGTCCAGCTGTACCAGGGGACCGACCAGAGCTGGTACAGCGTGGACGTCTCGATCTGGTCCGGGGTGGAGCTGGCGCTGGGGATCGTCGCGGCGAGTATTTTGAGTCTGAAGCCGATTGTGCACCAGCTGGCGCCGGGGGTGTTGTCGTCGGGGGAGGGGAGTAGGGCCCGTGAGTCGGGGGCAGCGGGTCAGAGGAGGTCGGTGGGGCGGCTCCACGAGGATATTTCGCTGGTCGGGTTGACGGGGAAGCGGGAGGATGGGGATTGTGATTCGAGTGCTAGTTTTGTGTGAGGGACGTCGCCAGGTGGGGTGTCTCTCGCAGGAGCGTGGATAGGATTCCAGAGGTAGATCTCATTCTCGGGTGGGGGTTTCAGTTCTCGAATGCTTATATGGGGGACGGTAGGTGTGTTTAGTTCGGACTGCGGATGTACGTCAGAGTCGGACTGTGTCTGCACCTCCGTTTTCATTCGTGTCGACGATGAATGATGGATGCATCATCGAATAGTCGGTCAGAGAGAATGGAAGCGACAAGGGATATCGCCAGGCCAAAACGCCGTGGGCGAAGGAGGGGTCAACGGCGAGGGGAACGGAGGAAGATCTCCAGTTGGACGATGCTCTGTCCCGTACCCTCCCTTGCAGGATCCGGTGAGAGTCTGGAAACCTCCGACATGCATGAAGTCGTTCTACTCGATTGCTGCTGATTTGCTTGCTGGATGGCAGACAGTCACGGAAACACTACTAGTCATTGTTCCACAGAGCTTCTGCCCATCGTCCATGGTGGTATTATTCAGTTGAATCGGGTCCTTCTCCAGCCAGCCAGGCCGGATCGACGACGGACGGAATTAGTTAGGGCTTTCCCGTGCAGCCACCCGCTTCGGAGGTTAGTGATAGTGATAGCCCTCCCTCCCCACCGTGCAGGATTCCTTATCGAGACTCACAGCAGACCATCACCACGACAGACCCATCGAGTCCACTACTTGTGGGCTCCGGGTTGATCCTTGCGGCCCATCGGCCCTGTCTCAGCTGCATTGTGATCCATCCATCTCCATTGACCGCGATCGCCGCGCCAAGGAGTCAAGATTGTGGTGCTGGCGGTGGCATCCCAAGAGGAACAAGGAGACACACTGTGTAAATGAACGTGGGTGTCACAATGCTAGCTAATTGTCTAATGCTTCACCATCTCCTGCGCGGATCCCCTGACGAGGTGACGGCGTTGAGGAGTGGGAAGTCGGATGGCTGGCGATGGCGGTGGGGCTGAACATCGGCGCTCGGTCGGCGGCAGATTTGGGAGACATCCACGGTGGAGTAAGACATTCTTAGGGCCAAGGTCACGTACGTTACTGCGTGACCTCAACCAAGACTTTCCACGGGCTCTACATCCACCTCTAATGTGGACCCCGGTTTGAGTCTGCCGTTCGAGCAAGATCGAACTCTTCTACGAGGAAGAGTACCAGTGAGTTCGTAGAATTCGCCAGTCCAACAACTGCCGAGTGGGGGGGGGCCGCTGACTCAGCCGGGTAAACTCGGCTCCGCGATCGGCCCCAACCATCAACTTTAGGGCTCCAGCAAGGCTACGCTACGCAATGAAGAATGCGACGGGAACCCTGAATTCCCCGCCCCCGGAATTTGATGCCTGGTTGGTTTCAAGGCAGTCCAACTGGCGGCATGACAGATGAAGTCACCGTCGATGCCAACATTGCAACATTGCAACATCGCAACAATCAAGACACACAATGTCTCTGTCCATCCGTCCAATCCCAAATTCCAGCCACGCAGCCAGACAACAAGCTGATTGGCTCCCAAAGACCCAGCCTCGGTGGACGAAAGTCAGCAGAAAACTTCTTCCCTGTCGGAACCAAACACCACGTTCCTCCCGAGCCCAAAAACCAGCCCGGACAAAGTTCACCGACCCATGAGTCGATCCAGGGCGGATAGGCACGAACGACAGCAGAGTGGACATCCACCGACAAGAAAAAAAAAAAGAAACCGACGAACCAGAGATGCAACCCCGGCGCCAAAAGTTCGGCGGAGGTGCCTGACCGGGATCCAGGATCCGGGCCTCGGCCACCACTAATGCCGGTGCTAATGCAAGGAACAAGGAACAGGGTTTGCAGTGCCTGCCAAGCGCCTACACACCTACACCCCTACACACCTACGCGCCTACGCATCGCCCTACGTAGCCCCGGTAGACCGGCCTGGCCTTATCTTATCAGTTTGGGGTGGCGGGTTGCGGGTTTTTCTCCCTCCTTGCAGGACAGACCGTGGATGGGGGATGTGATCGGTCGATGTGATCTTTGGATCTTGGACTCGGGGGGCTGCATACGTAGAATTTTTTCTGCAGTGGAGACGCGATGTGTTTGATTTGTGACTGTCGCAGCGATAGATAAAGAGCGATCTGCCCAGAATTCAACATGCAGCGTCTCATCCTCCCCTCTTCCCCTACTCCTCCTCCTCCTCCCCCTCCTCCCCTCTGCTCCTCTCCACCACCACACCTCCAAAATGTACACCTCAACACCGAAAACCCTAGCCCTGGCCCTCCTAGCCACAAGCACAGCCAGCGCTACCAACCACACAGCCATGACCCGCGCCGTAACCGCGCTGAACACCCTACAAACCTACTACAACCCCACAACCGGAATCTGGAACACCTGCGGCTGGTGGAACGGCGCCAACTGCCTGACCACCCTCGCCAATCTAGCCACCAAAAACAGCACCGTCGACGAGACGATCGCCACCGGGGTGATCGAGAACACCTTCCGGGTAGCTACAAACACGAACCCGTACCCGGCGCGCGGCATCGACGCCGACTACACGGCGGCCAACGGGACGGCGTACACGATCCCGGGCCAGCCGACGGGGGCGGCCAACGCGTCGCTGTGGCTGGACGGGAGCTACGACGACGACATGTGGTGGGGGATGGCGTGGGTGGCTGCTTACGATGTGACCGGTGTCACGGACTATCTGGATCTGGCGGAGGGGGTGTTCTACCATCTCGTGAGTTTCTTCCTCTCTCTCTCTCTCTCTCTCGCACTTAGGATTCGGGGCAACGGCGTCGCTAACGCACGATAGAGCCGCGCATGGCCCTCGCTCTGCGGCAACGGCGGCCTCGACTCGGACTACACGCACGTGTACGTGGGGGCGATTAGCAACGAGCTCTTCCTGGCGCTGGGGGCGTCGCTCGCCAACCGGGTGGCCACCAACAGCAGCCGGAAGTACTACCGGGACTGGGCGGAGCGGCAGTGGGCGTGGTTCGAGAGCAGCGGGCTGATCAACGCGAACCACACGATCAACGACGGGCTGACGGGAGCCTGCACCAACAACGGAATGACCGTGTGGTCATACAACCAGGGGGTGATCCTGGGGGGACTGGTCGAGCTGCACCGCGCGACGGGCAGCCACGCCTCCAACTCGACCTACCTGCAGGCAGCGGGCAAGATCGCGCAGGGCGCCATCGCGGCCCTCGCCGACGAGGACGATGTCATCCACGAGTCCTGCGAGCCGGATGCCTGTGATTCGAACGAGACGCAGTTCAAGGGGATCTTTATCCGCAACCTCAAGGTGCTGCAGGGCGTCGCGCCGAATGAGACCTACGCAAGGGTCATCAATGCGTCCGCAGCGAGTCTGTGGGCGAATGATCGTACGGACGCCACGGGGTTCGGGGTCGATTGGTCGGGTCCTGTTGATGCGGCGACGGTGAATGCCTCGACGCAGAGTTCGGCGCTGGATGCGCTGGTCGCGGCGATTTGGTAGGGTGCCCCTGGTGGGTTGGGTTGCATTGATAGATTAGACTAGATTAGAGGTTGGATGTTAGACTTGGGATTGTTTTGTATATACTAGTACTTGCATAGAAGCATACGTTATTCGGCGTTGTACTGCATATCCTAGTGTCCTCCACACCCTATAGACCCTACGGAAACCGCAGTAACATATCTTCCACTTTTCGCTTCCCTTCCGGGATGGTATAGTATAGCACAGCCTAGTATGACTACAGAAGGACCTTACATCCAGTGCTCATACTGTACTGATGGCTACGATACATACTCTATCGCCTAGCTGGTGTATTCGACGACATGGATTGAACCACTGGGCAGAAGTTCGGCGAGCTCAGAGCACATACTCTACCACACCTGAGTCTCTCACACTCCCACGCGCACATCACCTAGGTGTAGAACAGATCGATCACACCACGTCTCCTGTCATACCCAGAATCAACTCTACACAAATCATCAGAACAATATACATTCAGACTATACACCTCAGACAACTAAACATCCTCCGCATGCACAGTCTCCTCTCCCTTCCCTTCCTGCCCATCAGCCTGAGCACCTGCACCACCCACCGCACCCCTGATTCCCGCCCCCGGCCCATCAAAGATCACCGCAATCTCCTCCAGCGAATACCCTTTGGTCTCCGGGTACCAGAAATACGCCGTGACGCCGAACACCACCAGCACCGCGATGAACACAATATAGTAGCGCCATTCGATCGCATCCAGCGCAATGGGGTTGACAAACGTATTAAAGAACATGGCCACGATGGTGGCGCACCACGTCACCGTCAGGCCGCGGGAGCGGAGGCGGTACGGCCAGATTTCGCAGGGGTAGGCGGTTAGGAAGGGGGTCCTTGAAAAGATCCATTGTTAGTTCAGGTTGACCGAGCAGGGTGGGAGGGAAGGAGTAGACAAGCGGGGAAAGGGAGGCAACTCACAAAGCAATGCAGTAACCCGCGAAGAACACAAACAGAAACGGGATGACGGCGGCCCCCGTCGCGGAGTCCCCAGTGGACTTGAACGAGCCCGACAACGCCGTCACCAACACATAGCTAACCAGCATGATGCCCGCGGACGCCAAAAACAGCGGTCGGCGACCCAGCCGATCAATCAGGTAGGCGCCCAGCGCGGCACAGCCCAGGTCCCACATCTGCAGACACGCCGAGATCAGAGTCTGGTCGCGCACGCGGGTCACGCCCACGGAGGTCAGGATCAACGACAGATAGTACGAAACCACGCCGTTGCCGGACCACTGCGCAAAGAACCCCAGACTAACGGAGATCAGCAGCCGCCATCGGTTCCCGGGGGTCTGCACCATCTCCGCGTAGCTGCCGCTGCTGTGAGCTTCCTGCTCCGCGCGGATTGTGGTCCGGATGGTTTCGAACTCGTACTTCACCAGCGGGGAGGAGTCATCCCCTGCGGCGTGGTACTGGGCCAGGATCTTGCGAGCCTCCTCGTCACGGCCTACAGACAACAGCCACCGAGGACTCTCGGGCGCCCACAGGAACCCCGGCAGGCCGATCACGGGCACCAGGGCCTGCAGCACCGAGGGCAGCCGCCAAGACCACGAGGAGGGGTAGGTGCGCGAAGCGAAGACGACCCAGGCGGCGACCGTGCCACCGACGTACCATCCAGACATGAACAACGAGTTGAGGATGCCACGGTGCGTCGGGTAGGCGATCTCGTTGATCAGCAAGGGGATAGAGTTGCCGAACATCGCGGACGCAAAGCCCAGAAACAGCCGAGCCAGCATGAAAGCCACGGGGTTGGGGGCGGCGGTTTGCAACGCAGTGCCGAGAGCGAGGAAGACATACCCCACGTACACGCCGGGCTTGCGTCCGTACTTGTTGGCAATCCACGAGGCGGTCGGGTAACCGACACCACAGCCCAGCCAGTAGATGGCATTTAGCCACCCCAGCTTGGCACCGGTGGGATTGTTCATGAAGCTCTTCCACTGATCCAAAGCCTCAAGACCGTTCATAAGAGATCCGTCGAACCCGTTGGCAGAGGAGAACATAACCAGAGAGAGAATAATGAGATTGAGACGCAGGAGATGGCCTTGTCTATACCAGGGGCGATCGCCAGCTGGCAGGACTGCAGCAAGCTCATCCCCTGCAGTAGGCTTTACGCTGGTGTCTTCTTTGCTCGAGCCCATCTTGACAGAAGTTCTAGACGAAAGGATGATCAAGGAAACCAAAAAACGCTGGACCAGGCACGAGGGAAAGCAGAGGTTTTATCCCATCCGAAAATCCCTATGATCCCGATCGGATGATTCATCTCACGCCTTCCTCAGCCGGGGTAAGACTTTTTCGTATGGAATCAAAGTATGATGATGCAAGCGAGGTAAAACCTGCTCCCATCGTGGCAGATTCCGCCCTTTTCCTTGTGGCTTGAAAACGCGGAGAAATGATACGAGCAGCCAATAGAAGACGAATCTGCGCGCTCGTCAACCTATGCACTCGGCCATCGGCTTGTCGCCCGGATATGCAGCAATACCCCGGGCTAGAGATGGGAGAAGACGTGGAGAATTGTTGGGGAGGGTTTGGGGTCGGGCCACGCGGGCGGAGCGGAGAAACGGAGAAAAGGAGAAACGGCGAAAAACAACGAAAATGCGGACGATGGAGCCGCCGGGTTGATGCGAGTGACAGCCAATCATAATGGAATTTCAGTATATCGTCTGGAGCACAGTCAAGCTTGGTATCCACCAGGCTCACCCTGCAGGTCATTTAGCAAGTTGATGTTGGGGTCAGTCACGTTTCTCCCGGTGCGTGGGTTCGTTGATCCTGGTGAACATATACATAATGATTCGCATCGAGCGACGCAACCCCTCAAGCCTTTCCTTTCCTTTCTCCCCCAATTTCTCTCGTCGTGTCCTGGGCCAACATCGTCAACATGCCGTTCGTTGAACCATCTCCCCCCGAGACGGACAGCGCCTTCGCCCAGATCGCAAGTGCAGATGTGGAAGTACTGCTAAAACAGCTCACACTAGACGAAAAGGTCGCACTTCTGACGGGTAGGTCCAGCACCAACAGCAACAGTCAATCGCATGCTGACGCACAGCTCTCGCAGGCGACGACTTCTGGCACACGGTCGCAATTCCCCGCCTCGGAATCCCGTCGATTCGCCTGTCCGATGGCCCGAACGGCGTCCGCGGCACGCGCTTCTTCGGTAGCGTCCCCGCAGCCTGCCTGCCGTGCGGAACTGCTCTAGGAGCCACATTCGATAGAGATCTAGCGGAGGAGGTTGGCGGTCTGCTGGCGGATGAGGCTAAAGCCAAAGGCGCGCACGTCATCCTCGGTCCTACCATCAACATCCAGCGAGGCCCGTTGGGCGGGCGAGGGTTCGAATCGTACTCCGAGGACCCTCTGCTCTCAGGCATAATGGCGGGCCATTACTGCAAGGGACTGCAGCAGAAGAACATCAGTGCCACCCTCAAGCACTTTGTATGTAACGACCAGGAGCACGAGCGCATGGCCGTCAATTCGATTGTCACAGATCGGGCCATGCGGGAGATCTATCTCCTCCCTTTCATGCTTGCAATCGGGGTGGAGAAACCAGACGCGATCATGACGGCCTACAACAAAGTAAACGGTATCCACGCCTCCGAGAGCCCAGCCCTGCTGCAAGATATTTTGCGGGGCGAATGGGACTGGGACGGGCTGTTGATGAGTGACTGGTAAGCTAATTTCCATACACCATGCGAGCCATGACTGACAGCGGGCAGGTTCGGTACCTACAGCACATCCGAAGCCGTCCAGGCGGGCCTGGATCTGGAAATGCCGGGTCCCTCCAGATGGCGTGGCAGTGCTCTTACCCACGCAATTACTGCCAACAAAGTTTCCACAGCCACGTTAGACGCTCGCGTGCGAGCGGTTTTGAAGCTTGTCCAGAAAGCCAGCAGATCCGGGATTCCAGAGCATGCAACAGAACAACAACTCAACCGCGAGCAAGATAGACAGCTTCTGAGGAAGATCGCTGCAGCGACAATTGTCTTACTCAAGAACGAGGACAGCATTCTGCCGTTGGATAAACACAAGAAGATCGCCGTGATCGGTCCCAATTCACAGATTGCGACGTATTGCGGCGGGGGTAGTGCTGCGCTGAACCCATATGAGGCCATCTCACCATTTGAGGGCATTACACGCTCCGCTCAAGCTGACGTCGAGTTTGCACAAGGCGTGTATGGTCATCAGATGCTGCCCTTGCTCGGCAAGCGGCTGCAGACCAGCGATGGCCAAACGGGCTTCACCCTGAAGATTTTCAACGACCCACCAACTGTTCTCACCAGGCAGCCACTAGAAGTTAGACATGAGACGGACGCCCAGGTCTTCTTTCTGGACTACAGCCATCCAGAACTGCAGCCAGTATGGTATGCTGAAGCCGAAGGCGACTTTATCCCCGAAGAATCCGGACTGCATGACTTCGGTCTCTGCGTCCGTGGCACCGGAAAGCTGTACGTGGACGGAAATCTGCTGGTGAACAACGCCGACGTACAGAGACCGGGGCCCAGCTTCCTCGGAAGTGGCACTTTGGAGGAAACCGGCACGCTAGATCTCGTAGCGGGCAGATCCTACAGAGTCCAGGTGCAATGGGGATGCGCCAAGACTGCCAAATTCAAGATCCCCGGCGTGGTGGACTTCGGACACGGCGGCTTTCGATTCGGTGCATGCAAGCAGCTGTCCCCTCAGGAAGGGATTGAACAGGGGGTCAAGCTAGCTGCCAGTGTAGACCAGGTGATCCTCGTTGCCGGATTGAGCGCCGAGTGGGAATCAGAGGGCGAGGATCGAACCGGCATGAGCTTACCACCTCACACTGACGAACTGATCTCGCGGGTGCTCGAGGCAAACCCCGACACAGTCGTTGTCGTGCAAAGCGGAACACCAGTTGAGATGCCATGGATTGACAACGCCAAGGCTGTCTTGCATGCATGGTATGGGGGTAACGAGACGGGCAATGGCCTGGCCGATGTCATTTTCGGTGATATGAACCCGGTAAGCTCATGCATTGTCATTGAATTTGACCTCGAGGACACCAACTAACAAGATCATCACACCAGTCCGGTAAACTTCCTCTGACCTTCCCCCGCCGTCTGAAAGACAACCCCACATACTTCAATTTCCGCTCCGAAGGCGGCCGAGTTCTTTATGGAGAGGACGTATACGTCGGATACAGATTCTATGACGAAGCAGAGATCGAGCCGTTGTTTCCTTTCGGACATGGTCTTTCTTACACCACCTTCGGACTGTCAGACCTGCGCCTGGAGCGGAATGTGGATAACAACATCCAAGTACGCTGCAAGGTGCGCAACACCGGCACAAAGGCTGGCGCAGAGGTGATCCAGGTGTATGTGGAGCCGGTACAGGCTCCACTCAAGCGTCCTCAGAAGGAACTCAAGGAGTTCCGGAAAATCCGTTTGGAACCTGATGCAGAGGAGGTAGTCACAATTCCACTTGATCTGGTACGCGCGACCAGCTTTTGGGATGAGAAGGCCAGCGCTTGGTGTAGTCACAGTGGTACGTATCGCATCCTGGTTGGAACCAGTAGCCGTGGACATTTCCTGGAGGCTTCCGTGGACGTGGAAGAGACGACATTCTGGTCTGGAGTTTGAGAGATCTAGGTACCAATAAAACAAGTACATCAATTCATGTTGGGTGAATACGATCTGTATCCACCCAGGCCTGTAGGTTCATCGTATTCACACTCTCACTGGTATCAAGCCGAGATAATAGCTCGGTAGCGAGGCGGATGTACTCAGCCGCTCTTTCTGCTTCAGGTTCGCCGGCCTGGAACGGGCAAGTCAACATGACGGAGGCGATATCTCGCACTTTGTAGGCCAGATGAAGGCCGTTGATTTCCAGGTTGAGGTCTGGGACATTGTAGAGCAGAAAGAAAAGCTGACGGCAAAGCTCCTCCCTTGTCCGCCAGAGGATTCTCGTGTCCGCCAGGGATGTGTGCAAGTCCGGGCTATCGGCTGCTGACAGACCTTGCGCCGCCTGCGAAGCCTCTAATTGGTCAAGGAGCAGGCTCTGCAGCCAGAGATGAGTAACATGGATATTAACACGCATGGACTCAAACGACGACCGTAGCAGAGCAGAAAAATCATCCGAAGCCAGGTCCTGGAGGCAAGAGTTGCCCGATACTTCCCAGAGCCGCAGTGATGGTGGCACATCGTGCAGCAAATTCTGCATACACTGTAGCCGGTCCCGCAGATACGCCACCCGGACATCAGTATCTTGGGCTCGAACACAGGCGCAAGGTTCGGGTAGGCCATTTTTCGGATGAGGGCTGCGGATGGCAGCCCAGAAGACGCGTGAGTGAATACTGAATCCGGTGGTCAGACATGATGTGGGGACAGGTGGCATCAGCACCTCGTGCTCGAAGATAAATTCGTCGTCAACCTCGAGGGGCATCAAGTCGTCGGGGTTAATCATTTGAAGCTGGACAGGATCTAGATACGAGAGCCGCTCGCCGAGCATATTCTGCAATTGCGAATGACTAGTGCAAGCAATTCGAATTAAACAGTCTGCAATTTAGCGGCGATGTGAGAGTCGAACTTACACAAATCCATAAAACACCAACCAGAAACCCTTCTTCCGCAGCTGCGTCTCAATGCAATTGAGCCCGTCGTAAGCAGAGATAGAATGAAGATTCAGCAGACGAGCGAACTGCATCGACTCCACATCGAGCATCCGGGCGCGATTGTGGTCTCCCAGCTGCAGAAAGGCAGCGAAGAGCAGGAAGGAGGCGGCAAACTTCTGGAAATTGATCTCGTCAAAGTAGTAGGACGTTCTCAGCCCCAAATTCTTTTCGTAGCAGAAGCGAACCATCTCGCGGCGTGTGGCAAACCGCAAGGGAGGGTCATGCGATCTGTACGACCGGAACTTGCTGGGCATCGTCGCGACAACCACTGCGGCAATGGCGACGGTCAGGGCGAGGAACCCAGTGTCTTCCTCGTGTCGGCCTCGGCGCAGACATTCTTGGAACGAGGGGCGGTGAACGATGGGAACGAGTGGGTAGATGTGGTCCAGATAATCTTGCATGATGCGGTGGAAGAGAGTTCGCTCGCACAGATCGTCCGCGGCGCAGATGCCGGCCTTGCGGTGGCTGTCATTCGCCGGGGGCTGCTGTACCACGCTTTGAACCAGGGTGACTTGTGACCTTGCTGAGTGTTATCTCAAGCCTATCCATTCACGCGAAAGATAACATACCGCTTTTTGGGACCTCTGGTCTTACAGGGGGCGAGAAAGGTGCAAGCCCGATTCAGTCGCTCGCAGCGCGCGCATCGGGAGTTCGGTGCTCCGGATGGAGAATCTGGGAGCTGGCATTTGACCTTGCGCTTCCGGCAGAGATCGCACGCTTGGGTGGAAATGTCAATGCGCTGAGGACGGTGCCGGAGAGGTGGCATTGTGATGCATTTTGTGAGCCGATCAATTATTTCACAATGAGAGAGAAGCTGAGAAGAAACGAAAGTGCTGGCGATCCCGAGGAAATACCGAGCCTAGAGCCTCGAGGAAGGTACGGCGACATGACCCTTCTTATCGGTCCCGATAAGGGTCACGTGGATACAACATGGGGGACTTTTCTGCCACCGCCTAAACCTACCACTTGCCCGGTCTGCTTTTTGGGGACTGCTGCTTGTGGTCAAAATCTGGGGTTCCCTCGCGAGGTCGCGAGCGTTCTGCCGGACGAAGCGGTGAGATTGGCGGTGTATCCAACTTGAAGCTGCACGGATGTGCCTTTCTGTATGCCCCAGGCCGCAGTCCTCCATAAGGCACCATGTTACATTGCCTGAAGTGCCATACAGCGCCTACTGCCTATCACATACATACTCACATACTACTTAATATGCTGAATATCTATCATCATCTCTGGACAGCCAGTGCAGACAGCAGTACTCTAAGCATAAGATAAGCCCTAACAATTCAGCGTCATAATTCCCGCAGGACTTCACCACGGAACCCGGTCCAATCGGACGCCCCGGGAAGCCCGGGAACATCCAGCTTGTGTCTGATCGTTCGAGCTATTGACACAATCCCAGTCACAGTCATTCCTCAGCAATATCCTCTGGTAGAGCCTGTCACCCCTCCGACGCCGGAGTCGCGCAATGTCGATCACGACATTTCCCCGGACCGCATTACGTACAGGAAACTCCACATGGTTTGCTTCCCCGCAAGTTAATGTCATACGATGGAGCGGCCATGACGCGCCGACTTTCCCCAGATCCCACCCCCGATGTAACCTTACGTCGTTGCGCAACTCCGCAGACCGAGGGCCGAGGGTGAGTCGCAGGATGTCCGAAACTAGGGTTGTCTCTACGTCACTGCAGCACATGCGGAGGTCTAGACTACGCTTCCAGTTGCAATACAGAACACATGTCATTCAAATCAAGTCTCCTAACGCCTTTATGCCATGGAATAGTGATATCATGATGCGACCGCGGCCATGCAAACAACGCTCGCTAGATAGAAAGCCCGTCGGCTAGCAGAAAGTCCAGCTGCTAAGACTCAAGCCGTGATGCGTCGCGGGTAAAAAACATTAAACTATATGGGGGAGATGCGATCAACGAGGTCCGTCGTCATTGGGTATGCATCGCATCGTCAACGAGAAGGTCGTGTCGTGTCGTGAGAAGAAGATGAAAGTAAACCAACTCAGCAGGTTTAGCTGTCGGTGTTGGCGCAAGTGAAGCTGTTGCTGTTCGCGTCGTCGTGGATGGCGGTCCCCGAGGCGTAGAGACCCAGGACACACAGGATCAGACCGAACAAAGCAATGGCAATGTTGAGGACGGTGAGGGCAATCTTCTTGGGGCTGGAGAGCCACTGACCCCAGTTGAGGTGGAGCCAGTAGACACCGCTGAGACCGTAACTGAACCAACTCGCGAAGAGGGCGCTCTGCAGAATCAATTAGTGCTGTACTGGGTGATGCGGAAGCGAGCAACTTACAATCAAGCCGTTCAAGTCGCTGAAGACGGGAATAGCCTCGGCAATGATCCAGGCAACGACCCAGCAGGAAAGACCAAGGCCGATCCAGATGGAGACCGAGCGCCAGCCGCGGCTGTGGATGAGGTCGGACTTATGGCAGGTGCGGAAGTAGATGTACTTCAAACCGATGTGACCGTTGACAACACCAGCACCAACAATCTAACCAGGGATTAGAGCATGTCCGTATGGATAAAGCACAGGCAACTTACAGTAGGGATGGCCACGCCATAGGCGATCTTCTTCAAGAGGGGACCGGCGGAGCTCAGGGCGGGCGATTGAACGTCTTTGCCGACGTAGTAGTAGACCACAATGGCCGCGGTGGTGTACAAGCAGATCTCAAAGCCTTGCAGCATGAACAGCGACTTCTTGAAGTCCTTGGGCTTCTCCATCTCAGCGATCAAGCCGAAGAAGGCAACGTGGGCACAGTAGGCGAAGACGATGTTCGAGACGGCGCTGAAGGCCTTGTAGAGAGAAGTGTCGACAGTGGCTTCAATGATACGGCCGGGGTGGTCCTGGACACCGACGCCAATCATGGTGATCATGACGGCGCTGAAGATACTCAGGAAGGCTAGACAAGAATGAGTGAATCGTCCAAGGCGAAACCGATCAGGAATACTCACAGAAGAAAGAGATCCAGGTCATGCCCTTCATGGTACGGGGAACCGACAGAGCCATGGAAATGACCATACCGATCACACTGAACACAATCGAGCACGTTGCGTGCTCGGTGATGGTGTTCATCATGACACGGAAGGTCAAGAGATGACTACCCATGACGAAGATACAGAAGAGAAACTGGCCCAAGCCGAACAGCTCACGGCCAAAGGGGCCCAGCAGGATTTCACCGGCATCAGCCAGGTTCTGGATGTGAGGATACCGCTCGCGGAAGAGACCGATGTTGTAGCCGGTGTACGTGGCGAGGATACCCAGACCGACAATAAGAATAATGGCACTAGATAGCAATCGGTCAGCGAACGCCCAGTACGGACGACCTTGGACCAGACTTACGGGACGAGACCCAGAGCTGCCACGGCTGCGGGCAGAGAGAGCACACCCAGGGAGACAGACTCGCAAATCATGACTAGAACAGTGGTTAGTGGGTGCCCAGTGAGTCGGATCAACAGGAGCTCTTACGCAAGCCGCATTGCCTATAGATGACGTTAGCATGAATGCAGCGCGCGGAGGAGCTGCAGTTGAGACGTACCACCACTTCAAGGTCTTGTACTTGATTTCGGCCAACTCCTCGTTACCGAAGGCATCAGCCTCCTCGAAGCCAGGCTTGTAGCTGGTTTCAAGGTCGACGGACGCATCCTTCTTCTCGTCGATGCGGTCGGTAGCGTAGGGTGGAGGGGAACCGTGGACGGTGTCCATTGTGTTGGTGAATGGGGGCGGTGATTGGTGTGTGGGAGTATTGAAGAAGGATGGAGAAGCAGCGACGGAACGGGTAAAAGGTGACTAAAGGTCGGGGAGGAGTGTGCGGTAGAAAGTGTCCGCGATGCTGCAGACAATGGAGGATGGATGAATAGAGACAAGAAGGAGAGAAAGTCAGCAGGGGAGAGGGAGGGTTATAAAGAAGATTCCGGGAAAAAAACCACTGGGGCTCAGAAGAAGTTCGGTAGAGGAGGGAATGGTTTGACATGCCGAAGACCTGGGGAAGAAGACGGGGAATTGGCAACTTGTGCCAGGCACACACGAGCAATCGGCCCGGCGCCGAGACCAGCAATCGCCCCAGCTGCAGCAGATCTGGAGCGGAAAGGAGTGAAATTTGTGAACGGAATTGGTCACCCAGCCGATCATCGGCCAGCGCGGACCAATGAGACCCATTACCGCCTCGGGGGGCGGAGGCGGGTACCATGGGAGGGAGTTTGGGCGGTGCAATTAGCATGGGCTGCACGTCGCAGTATGGAAGACCCGCGAGCCCGGAGTTGGCCAGGAGGGCCGCCGGCTCAACTGCTGACACTGGCTAAACACTGGCCAGACGCTCCGTCGATTTGCAATCCAGTCGTTGAGCCCGAACCATCGGCATGGTCGCTTAGTTGCTCCTCTTTCCTCGTGGTTCCCCATCTGGATTCCACCATTGCTCGCCCACGTACAGTACGTTATTGGCTGATGCCCATACTGAGTATCTAAGGTTGTTTAATTTGCCGGTCGGGAATTGTCTCTTTCCTCGGGGATCCCCGAGGTGGTTGGTGGACAATTGAGAATTGACAATATGACATGCGGGTCATGTGATGCTGCTGTCCACCCCACCCTTACATTGTCCACCTTACTTTCTCTGTACTGAGAAATATAAAGCAGAGACAGACAGACACAGCCCAGACGCATATTGCGGACTCCGGTGGACGCCGGACGTACGTCTCACACGGTGCCAATCATTTCCCTGGGTGTCTGCAACCTCGAACAGGCAATTTGCACGGGATGCTGGAACAAAGGTGCAAATTGAGTCGGTGGCGCCGCGAGGGCTGGCGGAAGGATTGGCTGGCGGCCTAGCGGCAAATGCTTATTTTTTGTACGTAATGTGGTGGCCGTTAGCGGCTGATAATCGATGGAAGGTTGCATTCACCGGGGCGCCCCCATCAGGACCGCCCGCCAAGCTTCGAGCCGGGCTGCAGTTCCACTGCTGCTTATCTCGCGGGCGCAATTCCACCACCAGTGAGTGGTTGGCTTGTACGTAACAATTTAGCAGGTGACTATTACGGCAGTACTATTTCTCTATCTAATCTGCCCTATCTCAAGTGTTATTGATACAGGGACAGACAGGGAGATGCGCAGCACCGGTGAGTCTCAGACATTCTTGGCACTCCAAAATAAGCATCACGCTACATTGACCTAAGGAGAGAAAGTTGCCGATGACTCTCTGAGACATAGGCCAGGCCAGCGGTGGGAGGTTCAGCCACCCACTGCGTTTGCAGCGCTTCGGGATGGTGGATTGTCCGGCCGGGGGAACCTTTGCCTCTTGCAGTGGGTGCCGGAGTATCATGGGTAGTACTCTACGGCATCAAACGTGAGCCTGAGGCAGTCTTGAACATTCGCTACTACGCTGAACAAAGAGAAAGTATAAATTCTTTAATATTCACTTGATCAGTTTGATTTAAGATTCTTAATACATGATTCTATGATGCAAGCATTGTCGTTGGGAAATAGTACCCAGATTGAACCAGATATATATCCAGCGACCACATCATCACAGCCACACAATAGAGAAGACCACAATCTAGCTGCTATACACTAAACCATCACCTTCAATAAATCCAATCATCCAATAAATCGCACCATCGCCCCTCCAACAAGCACCGTCAACCCCACACCAAAAACCAGCGAGCCTCGAACTACTTGCTAGCGCACTCTAACCGACCCTGGAACATGCAAGACAAAACAAGCACGACATACACCCCCGCGTGCGGAATCTAGATCATCATGATAGCATCCCATGAGAGCATCCCTGCATCATGGCATGGCCATAGCCGTAGGCTAGGCCCCCGACTCTGACCCCACTTGCAGCCATAGCAGCCTCAGGCATACACCGGGGTAAATAAGGTAAACGTCAGGCAGACAGGCAGACAGGCAGCCAGGCAGCAATTACCCCGCCAAGCCAACGCCACGCCGCAACCGCCACGGGATCGAGTCGAGTCATCGCTGAGCTGAGCTGGCGGGCAGCAGCGATCAGCACATACATTTACCTCAACCCATCATCAAACCAAATCACAACATCCTAATCTACCACCACCTTCCAAACCAACCCACAGACCGAGTGAGACAATGAGCGCCTCCAAGCAAGCAGTCGTCTGCGTCTTGTAAGCTGCGCCCACCAGCCCCCATCCGACCCCATCCCACCCCATCCACCACCACCGCCCATCCAAGCACCCAATACACAACACCCTACTAATTCTCTCCCACAAATAGCTGCGGCTCCCGCTCCGGCACCTCACCCGCCCACCTCGAAGCCGCACGGGCTCTAGCGCGCCAATTCCACGAACACAACGTACAGCTCGTCTACGGCGGCGGCACGGTGGGGATCATGGGCGAACTGTCCCGAACGCTGGTCTCCCTCTCCGGCCCGAAAGCCGTGCACGGGATTATTCCGCGCGCGCTCGTCGAGGTCGAAGAAGGATATAAGACTCCGTCCCTTCATGAGACCGGGAACGGAGACGCAGGAGCAGCAGGAGCAGGCAAAGCCCCCGAACGGCTGGGCGGAGACACACTCGAGGAAACGGAGTACGGACAGGTGACGGTGGTGCCGGACATGCACACGCGCAAGCGGCTGATGGCGCAGAAGGTTCTGGAGGGGGGACTGGGGTCCGGGTTCGTGGCGCTGGCGGGCGGGTTCGGGACGATGGAGGAGCTGATGGAGGTGACGACGTGGAATCAGCTGGGGATCCATAAGGCGGGGGTGGTGCTGTTGAATATCAACGGGTACTGGGACGGCGTGCTGCAGTGGGTGCAGTCCGCTGTGCAGCAGGGGTTCGTCAGTCGCGAGAATGCCACCATCCTCGCCGAGGCGGACCGGGCGGAGGACGTGTTGCGCATGTTGCGCGAGTATCGCATCAGCAGCGACCGCATGGCGTTGGATTGGGGCCAGGAGTAGACTGCCTGCAGGGGTACTGGGTACGACGGGATCGGGGTATACCGCATGATAGACGTCTATATATCAAGTGCTAGGCGAATGGAACGGACTTCTCTTTGACTTGGCCTGGCGCGACGCGATGCCCGGATGCCACCCAGGAACAGATGCAATGGCTCAGAGAAGGCAGGATGTACTAACTGAAGTGATGCCTCAGGCCATCCTGCAGCCGCCCGAAATGCGGAGGCTGGACCAACCAGGTTAGTCTGCCTGTCAACTAACCGATCGCACCGATCGACCCCGCAGTCCCTGATTTTCTTTCTTTCTATATTTTATCTTCTATACCTCCATCTCGTATTCTTCACCGAACACAAAAATGCATCATTTTGTCTCCTCCACCCATGACCACCCAAACAATGGCAACAGCCCAGATCCCCCAGCTCTGGGCCACCGCCCTCGCGCGTTACGAGAAGATCACGCACCGCCCGCTGGACATCCACGCCTGGCGGGACGTGACCACCGTCGACGGGCTGTGGGGCGCCATCGAGACCGAGAACCAGGCCTTCCAAGACTTCCGCCTCAAGCGCGCGGGGCTGTGCACGGCCCTGAGCCAGGCGCTGCGGCCCATCGAGCTGGTCGGCGATCTGGCGGCCACCGCAGCCGGCTTGTTCTTCGCGCCCAGCTCGCTGGTTTTTGGGGCCGTGCGGTACCTGATCGACGCCGCGAAGGGGGTGTCGGCCAAATATGATGCGATTGTGGAGCTGATGATGACCTTGCAGGTGCGTCTTCAATGCTTTGCTTTGCTTTGCTCTGCTGTGCGCCTCCGGTTGCGATACGAGGCGAGACTGACTAACTGTATCTTGTGCAGGACTTCACCACCCGCCTGGCGGTCTACGCGCAGCAGCAGATCTCCGGGCCGCTGCAGGAGAAATTCACCCACATCCTGACCACGCTGTTAGAAGTGTTCGCGATCTCGCGACACCAGATCAGCCTGGGGCGACTGCGGAGTTTCGGCAAGAATGTGCTGCTGGGCAACGACGACGGGAAAGCGGCGGTCGCCAAGCTGGCGCAGCTGGTCGACAGCGAGCGGAACCTGGTGGGCGCGGAGACGCTGACCGCGGTCAAGGGGGCGAAGGGCGTCATCGACCGCGTCGACCTCAACGTCCTCGAGCTCACGCGGCGCATCGACGACCTCAACCGCCTGCAGGCGCACGCGGCCGCCGACGCCGACTCAGCCCAAGACAAGGGCCACCGGGACAAGGTCAAGCGCGTGCTGCAGCCCGCCACCAGCGCCGACGACCGGTACAGCCTGGTCGCGCGGGCGCGGGTCCCGCAGACGGGCGACTGGGTGCGCGAAGAGCCCGAGTTCCGCGAGTGGCTGCGCCGCGACAAGCCCCTCCTGTGGGTGACGGGGACCCCGGGCGCAGGCAAGTCGTACCTGGCGGCCAACATCATCGCCCATCTGCGCGAGCTGTATCCGCAGAACGTCCAGCATCCCTCGCATGTCTCGGTCGCGTATTACTTCTTCAAGGACGACAGTTTGAAAACGCGCTCGTGTCACCAGGCTCTGCGGGACGTCGCCTTCAAGATCGCCCAGAATGACCCCACCTATGCGAATTTCATCGCGGGTCGGGTGGACTCGCCGGAGGAGATTCGAAGCCTGTCGAGTCTGTGGCAGCAGCTGTTTGTGGAGTACTTCATCGCGCACGAGACCAGCGACAGCCAGGCGTACATCGTGCTGGACGCGCTGGACGAGGCGTTCGCGGAGGAGCGACAGGAGCTGTTTCAGCTGGCGGGCGATATCCAGCCGGGTGGACGGCTGCAGCTGCTTCTGCTGGGGAGGCCGCACATTGCCCAGGAGATGGACGAGCTGATGGAACAGCTGGCCGTGTCGACCATCTACATCTCGGACGTGAACAACTCGGACGACATCGTTCGATACATCCAGAGCAGCATCGCCAAGTCGGTCTACCTGCGACGCGCCTCCAAGGCGCTGCAAGCCGAGATCGTGCGTCGGGTGTCCAGCGGCGCCCAGGGCATGGTATGTGCTGATCCAAATGCTTGATGCTAGGCTAATCTGGTATAGTTCCTCTGGGTCGACTTCATGCTCAAAGAGCTACTCAAAAAACGCGACGAGGCACGAATGCGCAGGGCGCTGGAAGAGGCGCCGCGCGGATTGTCCGAGATGATCCGTCACGTGCTGAAGAGTTACTCCGAGAGCCTACGGGATGCACCGCAATACGCCGAAGACCTGAACGAGATGTTGGCTTGGATCGTGTGCGCCCATTGGCCGCTGAAGCTGCAACAGCTGGAAAGCATCATCCAGTGGCGGTCGGCCGAGGGCGAGGGGTGGATCTGGCTGGAGGGCTATCTCCGACGGGAGTACGCCTCCCTGTTCTCGCTGATCCGAGAAGATGGGCTTAGCACGGCTGATTTACAGCGGGCGAACATCGGACGGGCCGATTGGGAGGTCGACACGCTGGTGGATGATGGCTTCGACGATACAGACAACCCATCGGACTTTGACTCGGACCCGGCGACCACGGAGGTGACCTTCAACCACGCCTCGCTGGGAGATTTCTTCCGCAACGAGGCCGAGGGGCCTGTTTCGGTTGAAGACGGGCCCCTCGTGGGGATTTCTTACAATGCGGCGAAAGTACTGGTGTTCAAACGGTACTTCGAGATCGTCGCCTGCGAAGAGGGCTCCCCCAAGCACGAGATCGCGCAGGTGCTCCGGGTGTACGCTGCCGGCTCGATCGTGTCCGCCTTGCAGGACATTGAAATCGACAAATGCAGCGCAGAAGAGAAGGGTGCGATCGGTCTGAGCATCGCGCGCCTTCTGTCCGTCCCCCCAATAATCGAAGCATACGTCAAACACAGAAGCGACCTGTCGTACCCAGGCGAGCACCTAGCACTCTTCATGAAGTGGCTTAAAGACTCAGACGTCCAAGCCTCGCTGCCTCGGACCGAAAAAGCCTGGTTCGAGGAATCCACCGCCTCAGGCGACGTGGGAATCTACCTTCTGACCGCGAAGTTCATCGCCGAGCAATGGCTGCAGAAGGGGTTCTGGCTAGCCGGGCCCTGCTGCCGATACATCATCGAATATATCCGGCTCAGCCAGGACGCGCCACTTTTACCGGGGAACTCAGTCGAGGCCGTCCTCGCCGCCACGGAGTGGTGCGGATTCGCCCAGGACCAGCTCTGGCACCGCCGACTGGGGATCGCACTGCGTGATCTCGGGTTCATCGATGAATCCATCCCCCACTTCCAGCGCGCTGTGGACCTCGACCCATCCCCAAACCCACAGACCCTACTCGCGCGAGCCGGGATGGCGAAAGCGTACCTCGAACGGGGACAGTTTGCACAAGCCATCGCGCAGGACCGCGTGTGCGTGGCGGAGCTGCAACCGCAACGCCAACCGGACACCCTCGACCTGCAAGCCCACGCGTCGTACGAGCGTCTCGGCCAGAGCTACACCGCGCTCGACGACGTCGAGTCCGCCGTGGCCATGTACCGGGCTGGTCTGGAGACGGCCGGATTCTGTAACACGTGTCTTTGCGCGATGCTGGAACAGCTCAGCGCGCAGAGCCGCCACGAGGAGATCATCTCCCTGCTCAGAAGCCTCGACCGGCCTGCCCTTGCCCAGAACCACGACACCACCTCCCCCTCCACCCCCACCTCCACTCCCACCACAATCCTCACGCAAAGCATCCTCTCCAACCCCGACTGGTACGATGACTTCATCGACCGGGTCACCGCGGCGGCGGCCGCGACGCAGCAAATCCCCTTCGTGATCGACGCGTACACGACAGCGGTGGCGACCGCCCACAGGGAGCGCAAGGCGGTGGCAAAAGCGAACCTGGAGTTCTGCCTGGGGATGCTGTGGCAGACGCACGGGCACGACGAGGACCGCGCGGCGGCGATCTGGGAGCGCCTGATCCACACGTACCGCGGCAGTCGGTCGGAGGGGGAGATGGTCTCGGTGCTGGAGATGGCGGCGGGGTCGCTGGCGACGCACTACCTGACCAAGGCGATGGAGGTGGGGTTCGACTCGGAGGCGGGGAGGCGGTACGGGGTGTTGCTGGAGTTGTTGGCCCGGGGGAAGGCGGTTGCGTCGCATGCGGATGTGCTGGATGGTTTGGATGGGCAGCGCACAAACAAGGTCTTCGTGACCACGTCCCCGGTGGGGTTGATCCTGGGCAGCTTTTATCGGCTGTCTGGGCGGGAGGCGGATGCGATGGCCTGCTATAAGGCGCAGGTGCGGGCGGCGCTGCGGCTGGTGGAGGACGAGAGTCCGGGGATGGCGATGGTGGGGTATACGCGGTTGAGCAGTGTGTTTGCGGCGCTGGGAGAGGACGAGGATGCGTTGGCGATGTGGTATCAGGATCATTTGATGTATGAGTTGATGGGGGAGGCCGAGGGTGAGAGTGAGGGTGAGGGTGATAGTGCTGACGAAGACTCGAAACAACCCACCTTCTTCACGTGCAACGGCTGCAGCCTCTCCGTGGAGATCGACGGCAACTACATCTGCCGGTACTGTCACGACGTGCTGTTCTGCCCGGGGTGTATGCAGCAGCTCGAGGCTGGGACGCTGGCCGTGAGGGTGTGCAGCGCGCAGCATGCGTGGGCGTTTGTGGCGCGGCGGCCGGAGGCGGTGCGGCGACGGGGGGAGGAGCGGCGCGGGATGCTGTGGGTGCGGGGGGAATGGGTGGAGGGGGAGGTGTGGAAGGCCGAGTTGCGGCGGCGGTGGGGGTTGTAGACGTACGTGGTTGAGGACTGATAGATTGTGGTATGCATGGGTGTTTGGTTCGGGGCGAATAGAGCAGCATATGTAGCCATTAGACTCAGCCTTCGTCTATAGATCTGAATAGCAAGCCCATACTGCGCTCACCCAGCATTCGCCATCCAGCACCGTGCTCCCCTCCCAGACCACCTACACATCTAGTCAAATCAAATAGCACTGACGAAGTTCTTCAATTGACCTTCCAGCCTCCTAGAGTCAATCCACAGCATCATACAAGACCCCCAACAATCCATCTATAACCTAACCCCGAATATAGCATCCACCACCAACCTTGCAGCCCCTACCCCTAACCCCTAACCCCATCCCCAGTCCAAATTGCAATCCCCAACCCCAACCCAGTCCAAATTGCAACCCACCTCTCAGCGCACACCCCACCAAAAACCCAGCGAAACCCTACCTCAAAACCAACTCCTCAAAACCGCAACCCCCTGCAGCACAGCCCCCAACCCCACGACGACCGCATTCTCCTGGATGCCATGCCGCAGATACCACGCCGAGCTGGCCCACAGCATGGCGTTGGTGATCACGGCGATCGCCTTGTTGGTCGGGTCGCGCAGGGCGAGCGGGTTGCGGGACCATTGGTAGTGGAGTAAGCCTAATTTATCCCATCACATCAGTATACAATCAAAACTATCTTGGGGTGTTGCTCTCGATGTAGGGTGTGTTTGATGTGCTTTCCGTTGGAATGGGAAGGATAGGGAGGATAGGGTATGGGAAGGTAACGAACCGGTCGTGAAGAAGAAGGCGCTTCCCTATTCCATTCCGTTCATTAGCACACGTTGATATGGGGTTGGGTAGGGTGAGGATTGCACTGATGGGTTTGGAGACGGTAGACGACGGTGATGGGTAGGCCACGTACCTGAAACCAGCCCACAATGCCCAGCGCCCAGGGCTTGGTGTTGCTGATGATCGTGTAGGCCGGGTCGGCGGTCCATTGTTTGCCTCCTAGCTTTAGCGTTGATTATCGTTAGTATTGCAGGGGTAGCAGAGCAGGGCAGTGCAGTGCAGAGCTGAGCGTAGCTGAGCAATTGGCTCTAGACCACAGTCTAGGCAAAGAAGGAGGGAGGTAAAGCGCACCGTATGGCCGATCGACAAGGCGATAAAAGACAGCGCGGAAGCTTGGAGGGTGCGGCTGGGGACGGCTGGGGTGGTCATTGTGTCGGTGTATCTTCTTTTCGTTGGAAATTATGAACTAGATGAAGGGAAGGTAGTGAGAGCGATGGCTTGACGCAAGAAAGAAATTCATTGAACAGAGACAGTGAGTGAGGCTACATGAACGAGGGAGGGCGAGGCGGAGCTAGACGGTAAGGTGGTTAAGTAAGAACGGCCACTTTCTCCGCCTGCGGGGTTTGTGTTTCGTCGACGTCAGCGTATCCGTACCAAGTAAACAGCCCGGAACGGTTAGACTCCGTAGTCCGTCCGTTTGTTGCCGATGCCGCCGGTCGCCGAGGGCCCATCTACAGGCCCATCTACACCCGGTATAAGTTGGAGGTTCTCTAGCACATGGAGCCAATTCCACCTAGACTCGCTCTGTGTTGAATACCGACATATCTGAGTTCCAGCTACAGCACTAGAGTCATGTTTGAATGTGTGATGTCCTGTCCTGATTGAAAGATGGCACGTGATAGGATGCTGTGTATGGGTGAGCGAGGCCGTGTTCGGCGAGTTTTGTCCAATGAATAACTACACCCAGTCTGCCACCCACAGTATACAGTGAGATCACATTTTTGGCGACCTAGGTAAATGACAACATGGACTGTTCAGCCAGTGACAGCGCTAGCAACGCGGAAGACTCTAGCCTTAATATGCTGATTACATACACTATACATATATTAATTAATGCCGAAAAGGTTCATCCTGGGCCCTTTTGATCAAGGACAAACAGTTCAGACATAAACTGCCCAAACCGAACCAATAGTCTAAGCTCTGCGTGCTCGGCCATTGACGCATCCATACCTAAGGCACAATGAAGTAGTGCAATCATTTCATGAAGGCAACTCAAGGCTGGTGGTTAAGAGGCCGGAAAGAGACGGCATAAGGTGCAGTATGCCAAGGTGAAAGCCCCGTCATATCTCGACTAGCTCGGGATGGAAGGGGCCCGGGGAGATGCTGAAATGCAGGATCGGCCCCGTGCTCCAGCAGCAGCTGGACCAGTGCCTCGTCCTTCTGCCGCGCCGCCACCGTCAAGGCCGTCAGCCCATGACGATTGCGCTGATTGACCTCCAGCCCCGGCCAAGCCAGTATGCGCGCGACGGTCCCGTGATGCTTCGAGATTACCGCCGCATGAAGGCACGAGAGCGTGCCTTGCGGGTCGTCGGGCGCTCGCCTGTGTACCTCTGTGAAATCCACGCCCGCGTCGAGTAAGAGGGCAACCACCTCCTCTCTTCCGTCCAGAGCCGCATTCCAGAGAGCAGTTGCATGCGATGGGCGGGCGTTGGGCCAATACCTCGCCTCCGCATCAAGAAGAAGCTTGATCACGGAGGCGTTACCCTTCGCTGCTGCCCCTAGCAGGGGCTGCCAATTCCCGGTTGGGCGTGGCAGCTCCGACTTCTTATCGAGCGCGGCGAGCAGCGCCCTCAGAATGGCTTCCCTCCCATAATTCGCGGCGCATGCCAGCGGGGAAAGCCCGGAAACGATGCAATCAAGATCGCCGAGCTCCCGGTCCGCTCCCCGAGCCAGCAGCAGCTGGACGACCTCCAGATTGTCACCTTGCACAGCACAGTAGAGCGACCACCGTCGAAGGTTGCGCGGCCGCTGCGGATCACGGACGTCGTAGACCGGATGTGGGGATGCCCCTCGATCCAGGAGCGCCTTCACAATGGGAGTAAACCCATGCTCGGCCGCGTGCGCTAGCGCCGTCTTGTTCAGTGAGCCTTGATCCTCGAGATCAGCCCCGTATTGAAGCAGAAGGTCGAGAATCGTTTCATACGCCGTTCCCGCGCACCATGGCAGGCCGGGCGGTACATGCGGGCCGTCGGTGGGGTCCCACGATCCTTTAGGGCCGCCGAATTGAACCGCGATGAGACGCTTGCCCTTCATCTTCTTGCGCCGGCGGAGCTTTTTATCCGACCCCGGTGGCTGAGGCGGATCCGCCTGATCGGGCTGACTGTTTTCGCGTGGCCATTGGCTCGCATCTAATTTCCCGTTCAGCTTGAGCGCAACCGCCTGCCAGCGACGAGAAGGCTGTCCGGCGTGCATCAACGGGGTCATCGTGCCTTGCAGTTCATCTCTTGAGCCCGGAGGCGTCCCATGGCGGAGTAGCAACTCAACCATCGCGACATGGCCATTTTTCACGGCGTGTGCCAGACTCGAGGATCTATCCCGGCCACGACCACTTGCGTCGAGCTCCAATAGAGTCTCAGCGATGTGAACATGGCCAAAAACGGCAGCCCAATCTAGCGCCGTGAGCTTGAATTGTGGATCCGTTCCGTTGGGATCAAGTGCGAGATTGAAACGCTTGGCAGCGGCGACGACATGGTCAATGGGCTTGGATTGGTTGGTTTGCGCGGCGTAAATGAGGGCGATGTGACCGTGGCCCTTATCAGCTGCTCGTTTAAGCTCTGATTTGCGGAGCCAGGCTTTGATTGCATGCTCGGCGGGTGGGCGTACGGCTTGCTTGGCATGTGCTCGGCGATTGCTCTTGCTGGCGGGGAGGAGGAGCTGGCGGTAGAGATGCGGGTTTAGAATGGCGTGGAATTTGCGACAGGTGCGGGCTAGGGTGTTGATGTCGCGTTGCCTGAGCTTGCGGATGATGAGGAGGAGAAGCTCAGAGGGGAGGAGGGCAAGAGACATGGAGAGGGCATGAGATGAGATGGGATGAGATGAGCTGGTTGAGAGTTTGATGGTGGATGCCAGTTGGATGGGGAACCTAAGAAAGTGCGGAGAAATGGAGGAGAATGAATGGGCCGATTGGTGGAGGAGGGAGGGTGACAGCGGAGGGGACGGGCTCATGTTATGCCGTGCCCCGTGGTCGGACCTTCATGCAGCTGACTAAGATATTGCTTTATGCAATATATGCTCTCTTGCCTTCCATCCAGGTCAGGCAGATTCACCCCGACTGTCAAATCTATATACAAATCATCCACAAATCAACTTACCAATCAACCTGCTCCTACTCATCCACCCCCTTTCGCACCGCCAACCCCACCGCCCTCTCGCACTGAAACCCCGCAAACTTCCTGGCCGCAACTTTCTCCCCAAACAACTCATCCAAGTCCTCAAACGACCGTCCCTTGGTCTCGGGCAATTCAAAAAACAGCACCACAAACATGACCGCCCCCATCCCCGCAAAGATCCACCCAATCAACCCCCCCAGATCCGCCTCATCAGAATTATACAGATACGGCATGACGACGTTCCACACCGTCGAAAAGAAATAGTTGAAGGTGAAGCCGACAGCCAGCGACTTGGCGCGCAGGCGCACGGCCGAGACTTCGCCGGCGATGGCCATGGCGGGGCCGATGCCGGGCCCGTACACCCACCACGACAGCTGCAGGAAGATGCCCACCACCCTGTCGTCCACATGTCAGCAACCTCGCATTCGATCCAAAAAGCACCCGGACGGAGAGCATACCACAACGCCGCACTACTATGCGGAAAACACCCCGCCACGCCCATCACCGTAAACAACCCCGTCGACAGCCCCATCCCGAATAACACCAGCGTCCGCCGCCCGAATACCGTCATCGCCCACCCCGTCACCAACGAGCTAGCAATGCCAAACGCGATCCCGATCTCCGTCATCATCCCGATCTTGCCCGCCGACATGCCCGCCTGCACCAGGAAGTACGGCCCGTTGGTCATGAAGCTCGACCCGATCACCTGCGGCAGCGCGTTGCAGTACAGGATGATGCGTGTGCGGCGCCAGTGCGTGCCGCGGAAGCAGTCGAGAAAGCTGGCGCCCTCGGCCTGCGCGGCGCGGAGGCGTTCCTCCTCCGTGGTGCGGATGATCTCGTCAAGGATCCCGGGGATAAGGGCGGGAGTGGTGCCGAGGCGGGTCAGGGCGCGGGCGGCGTGCGAGGGTTTGTTGTTCGCCACGAGGAAGTAGGGCGATTCGGGGATGAGGATTAGAAAGAGGAAGAGGAGGCCTGGCCAGACCCAGCCGCAGGCGAAGAGGACCTGTTTGTTGCTGAGTTAGTGGGGGTGTTTTGGGGGAGCGGAGAGAGGGACGGACCTTGTAGGCTGCGTCGGTGGTCATGGTCAGCCGGGGCAGGGCCACGGATGCGGCGATCATGTAGCCCAGATTCTGGATTGGTTAGTGTTAGTGACTGGAATTTGTTGGAGGGGTCAGGCGAGTTACCATGCAGAAGGTATATGCCGACAGAGCGATACCACGAAGGGGAAGGGGGGTGATCTCGGAGACGTAGGTTTGTCCAGTTGTCAAGGCGATCCCCAGGGCCAGACCGTTGATGATCTTGCCCGCGAGAAAGACACCAGGCGTGCTGGCGGTATACACCACGGCGAATCCCGCAGACGACAAACAGGCAGCGACCAGGAATGCAACACGTCGACCCAGCCGGTCGGAGATGAATCCGCCGACGGTGGATCCGATCATGGTGGCTACCTGCGAGAGAGCATTCCACAGAGATTGCCAGTAGGCGGGGATGGTGTATGTGCCATTGACCAAGGAGCCGAACTTCTGTCTATCTGATTGTCAACTCAAGTCTTCACATCAAGCAGCAGCGTGACTCACTCAAAGGCCGGCATAGACAACGACAACGACAAAATCAGGTTGTCGAACCCATACATTAAAGCGCCAACATTGGCATACAGACAGAACAAGATAATCAACGGGTTTTGGCGTAGTGCCGTCCATGTGGAAGGCGCACTGTCATTGTGGGTGATTGCTTGGTGTTGGGCTTCGGCTTCGTTCGAATTGACATTCTCGAGGTGGTTCGTTTCGGCCTTCTGGTCGGCTGTCATTGTGTGGTGGATGTATCAGACGAGACCCGCAGAGAAGACAATGCAAGTGTGGGCTGATGGGGGGTTGGCACAGATCAAGAACGTTGAGCAAGGAATAGTTCGCATTATAGCAGGGAAGCAGCAGGGAAACAACAGGGGATAAGGCAGGGTTCGATACCCCACGGGGTGCCGGAATTGCCGACGCCCGGACCATGTGGAGATGACCATGCAGACACGTAATCCTGGTCGGCAAACCCGGGGAGGCGGCTGGCCTCACGGCCGAGGAGTCATCATGTTGATGCGGAGGGAACTACGCATATAAAAGCAAGTGCTTAAGAGGTGTTGTGCTGGAGACTTCTTGAACCTTAATTCCTTCTCCTCAGTGGTACTCCGTTACTTTGCAGGCTTGGGTTGCCAATCGTTTATCAATAAGTCGGAGGTAGAAATTTCACCGCAGCAGCCGTCCTGAATCGTCGCTCTACCTAAGCGAGCTCTCCTCCGCACGGTCGTCCATGTGGGTACTCTAGAATACCTGACTCTCGGTCTAATCCAACCACCGAGGATATTTCCTCAGACGAGCAGAGCACAAACATAAATTGTACATGATACACCCAGTGCCAGAATGCTGGGAGTAGTACCACTGACAAAACGTTATATCAAGCCAAGGTAGGCTTCCCTGCAGCAGAATGAATTGACACATTCAGCTATAGCCAACATCCCCTCGGGGCTCAATATACCGGAAAGCGAGCATCCAACGCCACCGCTCCTTCAGACCGAGCGTGATCGTCCATTCCAGAGCTAAAGCGATGAGATAAGCACAGCCCAATTTCTCCGCACTCGGTTTATCCGAGCATATCGAGGACTCTGTTTTCTTTTGGTATGGATTATTGGATTGAGTTCAGCTGCCGAAAGCTTAGAAGTTTGTCCGCATTGATTGGGTGTAGCCACGATGGTTGGATTATGCCGGGTGCATGCTTGTCCACGTGCGTATGCACCTCTATATACCTACACTGACTGAACCACAATCCTTTCAGTTAGTGTTTAACTCCCGAGGCAGCAGTTGAATGCCTGGTTATATGCAGTCATGATTGGATGGTAGTACCAGGTGGAATGCGATGGTGCGGCAATTGGCCAGGGTTACTCAGGAGAGAGGACTTACCACCATTATGTACCCAAACACTCGGCAAAGAAACCTCTTCCTCTGCCCTCTTGTGGTTTGTGGAACACAGCCCAGCGCTTTAAAATGCAGTTCCCTAACCACAACTTCAGGCCCGATAGTTTCATAAGCGCCCGGCATGAAGGCTAAGCGCCGGGTCCCGCCATGTCTGACTGTTAGACGCCGTGTAGAAACATAGAGTTCACCAGCCTTGCTGTCCCGAAAAACTCATATCATATAAAGATACCAACCCTGTTCTCTGAAAGAAGAACGTAAGATCCAGCAGCAACCCGGGGTTAACCATGAGTTCTGAACATACCTCTCTCCGTCATGAGGACTACACAATCGCCTGCATCTGCCCGATGGGCGTCGAGCAAGCGCCCGTGGAAGCGATGCTCGACGAATTCCACCCCGACTTGCCCTCCAAACGGAACCAGAACAGCTACACGCTTGGTCGGATAGGCGTCCACAATGTAGTCATCGCCATCCTACCCGGGATTGGACTGAGTAGCGCTGTGGTCGTGGCGATGCAGCTGTTCAATGACTTCCCAGCTATCCAACTCAGCCTGCTGGTCGGGATTGGAGGTGGATTGCCTGACTTGGCACGTGGCGTGGATATTCGACTGGGCGACGTGGTAGTGGGCAAGCCATCCGGAACGTTTGGCGGGGTGGTCGAATTTGCGTGCTGCCAGGATGTTGGGAGAATACGATACGAACGGGTTGATGGACTGCAGCGTCCTTCAGATGTGTTGTTGGCTGCTGTGACGAGGATGGAGGCGCGTGCTCGTCGAGGGAAGAGTCAGATAATAAAGCATCTTGCCGACATGCCCCAAAAATACCCGAAAATGCGCGAAGGGGAGTACACCCACCAAGACGCAGAGAACGACCAACTGTTCCGAGCGGAATACGACCACCGTGGCGGGATGGACTGCAGAGACTGCGACCGGGCACAGGTTGTGCCCCGGGAACGGCGTGTGGACAGCGCACCGGTCGTGCATTACGGGACGATCGGATCATCGAACGTCGTGGTCAAGGACGGTCGAGTGCGCGATCAGCTGCGGGACGACCTCGACCTCCAGTGCGTGGAGATGGAGGCCGCCGGGGTGCTGCATGTATTTCCCGGTTTGGTCATCCGTGGGATCTGTGACTATGCGGACTCGCACAAGAACAAGCGGTGGCAGCCTTATGCAGCTGCCACAGCAGCGGCATATATGAAAGAGCTGGTGTCTATGATTCCTGTCTCTGACACGAAGTCGGTGGACGCGAAAGATGCTAAGGTTGATGCTACTCGGGAGCCAGGCAAGCTTGCGGACGGGGTTGTGGCTCGGGATGTTGTAGGTCTCAGGCCATGGCTACTGGCGTGCCTTATCGGGATGTTGGGTATATCGCTCGCGCTTAATGCATACACTCTTGCGTCGCTGAGGTGAGGATTGTCGCCATGGACTGCCTATTAGAGCAGTGCACCAGAGTTGATGGCTCAATATATACATAGCGCACAGCACGGAATCGACTTATGAAAGGCACATTCGAAAAGGTTTGCTAGGAAGATATGAGGAATACGGCTTCGAGGCACTAAGAAAGTGACGGGGAGAATGGGTACTGATGTTTTGACTGAGTTGGTTGGCCCTGTTTTGTTGCTGATGAAACCATCCAAGATGGCCTGTCAGATCACGTGACATACGATTAGACATCTCTCCCTCTACTCGCAGCCATTTATGGGAACCACTGTACTGTCTTGATGAGAATTGTAGCCTATATCTCCAATATTTGATGCACCCGAAAACAGATGGGTACGGGTGTGAACGGCTATTCGCTACATACACCTTTACATATTTCGTCATGTTCATAAGTACTAGTGAAGGTTCTATCATGGTCCACGACACTATATGTTGGCCTGTTCAACAGCAGGTGTCAATAAAGATGTCCGAACTTTTCGATCCTCTTGTAGACCCTTCCCGAGGTCCAGTACAGTCCCCTACTGCGACGCGGCACGGACCCCAGAAACGTGATCACGTGATGAGGGCTGTCCTTGACTCTTCCATCACGGTCGCGGCAGGACACTACTACTGCCGGCACAAGAGACATGTGGCCTTTGTTAGGTTGAAAAGCGGAGGAGCGAGAGCAACCCAGCCACTGAGCTGGCCGCTGCACCTGCTATGCCCTTCCACACATGACCTCATTTCTGGCAAAGATAGATAAAGATCAACCACTTGCGCCATTGGCGCTTACATCTAGCCAGTGTGCGGGCTTGAATGGGACCACCACCAGCAGGTAGTGGTGCACGACATTCAGCACTCTTTAGCAATAGTGAAAACCGATTCAGCATCACTAAACATACGGCAACCTTGCCGGTCCAATCGAATCATCATCTCGCGACGCTCTATCCTAAGGGCCTTTGCCCTTGCCGAACAAACTATCGCCACGAAAAAAGGTATGCTGCGGTCGTGGGGGTTTCGCCCGGGGCTCGCGCTTTTCCCGCAGCGCTTGCGGCGCTTTCGGATTTTTCCCTGGTTTGTGATTTGCGCCCGGCTTGAAGAATAGATATTGAGAGACTGGCCTGCGGGGTTTCGGTTGCTGTTTTACCGCCTTGGCCATTTTTCCTTTCGGCGTGTTCAACATCTTTCCTGTCTTGGAGAACCCACGCGGCGTGAAGAAAGTGTTTGAAAATTGTTTGGCCTTAGGTTGCGGCCTGGTAGTGTCGTCCAGCTCCTCGGGCGTGGTGAGGTCATCTTTCTGCACTGAGTTGTTCTCGGAGAGCTGGACACGGCGGATCTTAGACCAAGGTCTACGGGGCCAGGGTTGCGGTGAGGTGGCCTCTGGAATGACATCTGGAGAATTCTCGGGAGGAGCATCAGTGGCCACTTGAGCCAATTCATTGATCGCCTCCTGTCCGGTCTCGACATCCGTGGGGTCCCAATTCGCTGATATCTGGTCTGTCGCAGCATTCACGGGGATTTCTGACACTTTCACCCACTCTCGTAGCTCATATGTTCTCAGTGGTGGAGCCCTCGGTGTCTCCATCTGCTTCCAGTCCTCAGCAAGCTGAGCTACCAACTCCAGCTCCTCCGCAGAGACGCCCACACTTGGCTTCTCCTCAGGGTTTCGTACAAGACTTTTCGCGAGCTCCGGTAAGACGGGCTCCTTGGAATGTGCAAATCGTACCAAATACCGAGCCAACTCATCTATCTGGGCCAATTCGACATGCGAAAGTGGACGCATGTCGTGGGGTTCGGGAACGGTGTTGAACAGGTACTCGTTGATTAGTGGAGGGTACAACGGAATGTGATGCCGGTGTTCTTTCCTCATATGTCTTTGGAGGCACGGATGCAGCTGTGGATTCGCGTATGCCAAATACCACGCGACTTGGTGTAAGAGTTGCGTTGTCAGCGTCCCGATGTAGCCCTCACCATTGGGGATCTGTTTCTCTTGGGAAAGTGCAGCGACCTTCTGTTCCAGAAGCAAAGCCCGGGCTTTTGCTACATCGATATTTCGTAGGAAACCAGCAGGGAGCCACCGTGGATCAGCCTCCCAGTCGAGGGTTCGTGGTAATTGGTATTTCCGCTCTCGCGGTGGCAACGATTCATCTGGAAGGCTGGGGATGGTTGCACAATCCGCCTGCCAGTCCAACTCGTGGATCAGGGTGGGGAGCTGAGACGTGGATATCAACTCGGCATTTTGTATCGTTCCAGGACGCTTGGGGCTCCCTGTTATTGTGACATAACCATGTTTGGCACCAAGTGAAAGCCTGATGGCATAGCCTCCGCTGGTTTCCCAGGCCTCCTGGTCCCAGTCATAGTATGAAATGGCAGAAGGCAAACCCTCATGCGCCATGATAGATTGCTGAGTGGTCGTGTCGGTGGACGTAGATTCGTGGGTGTTCAATTCATGATCGGGGACCCTGAGAGCAGGGGTGGTAGCCACGGGATCAGACGTCAAGTCAACATCCTGCCCAGCGCTCTCTTGACCTTCCGCCGCAGACGCCCGAAGTCCAGTAGATTCTGTCACGCTAGAGCTTGGACCTGCTCCACTATGGTCTTGCCCGTCCACAGGCGTAGGCTCCGGGCTGGGCTCGAGAGACTTTTCCAACCCAAGAGCATGGACGATGTTGTACATGGATTGGAGACTCCCATCACTGTCAATAAAGGCCGCTCCGATGATGGTGCCTGCAGTGAGCTTGATCTGCATCGGATTGACACTGCGCCGCGCTATGGGCCTCCTGAAAACGGAGGCTGACAAGATAGCCTCAGATATGCTCTGATTCAGCTCAAAGTCGGGACTTCTGAGAATTGCGATGGGGGATGGAGTAGGTGGACCAGCGTATGAGTGGCTTTGGCTCCAGCTGTAGCTGCTCGTGCCAGGTCGGGCTGCGGCTGTGCGCATCATCGTTAACACGGAGGATGCGACATTTAGCAGTACCGCGCTGTCACTGTATGAGAACCGCGGGTCATCCGCTCGCTCTCCGAGTACCCGGAGGGCATCAGTGAGATTGCGGGTATTTCGAAACCGATAACCCAGCTCACGCTGCAGCTCCATCAACCTGACATGTCTCATGGTTGTTGCTCGATCATGGCATCCGGATCCCACGATCGGCGGGGTGTGTCATAGCAATAGCCAAGGAGCTAGTCAATCTCCCTGGCAGAACAAGATCACGAGCTTAGAAGGATTTGGAGGGAAGCAGATGGCATGGTGGTTTCATTACAATTGATAGTATGACCAAGGAGAGACATGTGCTGCTGAGGAGTGTTCGGCGCGTGAAGATTCTTTGCTTGTTGTTCTGCGGCGTCAAACCCGCTCACCGCTGTGGTGTTTCCCCACTTCTGCCAATCTGCCGGAGAGATGCCTTACCGCCTTTACACCGCCTTCCATGCATCACGTGTCAGGAACCGCAAAGATCAAAGATGTGGACCGGCGACCCGCAATGCTCCGGATCTCTGACTCTTTCCCCACAAAGTTCAACTTGGCAGCCCGCAGCCGCGTTGCAGATCATCTTCGGGATAAACAAGGCCGTCTATCGTATTAAGTGGTGATTGACTGGCTGAAGGGGCCGCTCCGGCGTCGTCGTTCATTGCAACCGTTGCTCGAGCCATTTACAACGCGACCAGAGGACCCGAATTACAAACAAACGCGCCTGAGCTGCGTTACTCTGATCATGGAAGATGTTGGTAGCTGCTGAGATCACAGTTCCTCTTGACCTGCATGATTATTGAATCTAGATTTGCCTGGCTCAAACTAACGTAACGTGCAGAAATCTTCCCCCAAGCAACAATCAACTGAATATGTTGAATGATTAGATCTTATTGATAGAGCCAAACACGATGGGAATCCACACCCAACGGACGCTCCTGCTGACGCCATCGCCTGATACTCGTTTACAGTAGCCAGTTGGCGAAACACCGAACCCGGCTATCAAGCCGTCACAAACTTGCGGACATGTCCGAAAACCTGAATCCTTGTGACGATCTAGAATACTCGGGATTATCACAAGTACAAGCGAAAAAGTCCTGGAGCAAATCGAAACATTGAACCAAACCGAGTACCAACTTATAAAGACCTTCTGAGGTCAAATAGGGGACTTGTTCAACGTATTCACGCGTTCACGCAAGATAATGACCGAATAGTTACAGCGAGAGTTGACTCGATCAGCGAATCATGAATGCCTCCACAGCTGGGAAACCATCACCCCATCAACTCCACCGGCGACATGTCTCCTTTAAGATGCAGTTGTCTTGACCCATCGAGCTCAGCGGGATACCTATATCCTTCGCCAGCTGCTCCCCTGGTTCCGTCAAGCTCAACAGGCCACTGAGTCCGCCGCCAGTCTCCCCTCGAACCCTGTCTCTGTTCGTGATACAACACCGAAGCAGCTTTGGTAATCGCTTGCTGCCTTTTGCGACCACGGAAGACATAAAAAGAAGCCAGAAGAGCGATTAATCCGAATACACCCAATCCTGCTCCGATCCCTATTCCGACCTTGATGCCCGTGGAGAGGGTGCGGGTGTCCGTGGGTGAGCCTGCCGTGGACGTCGACGCGCTGTTACTGGCTATTGATAGTGTTCCAGAGGAAGTGATACTCGAAGGAAGCTCCGGTGTAGTGGTCATCAAAGCTATCGTGGTGGTGGCAGTGGCTGTAGGAGTTACGGCATCATAGCGAATGTTCCATCCGACCACAGCAATCGCACCGACAGTCCAGCTCCGCGTTAATGTGGTCGTCGCGGTTCTCCATGAGGTGGCTTCGCCGGACGGTGTCGAAGCGTACGTCAAGACCATACCGGACGAGACGTCCGACTCACAATTCCCGTCAATCAAGGCAGTGTTCCCATCGCCGATGTAATATTTTCTAAGGACAATTGAGCACGCTCTACCTTGGTAATGAAATAACACGAGATGAGAACTCACGAGGGACAGCACATTACTAACGTGCTGGAAGCATCTTTGACGGATGATTTCATTGTTGAGAACGCTTCAGGACAGGTGAAGGGGCCGAGACTGACCCGCGTGGGCAGTGTGCCTCCATTCTCTAGAAGCCCTTGCTCCCACCATGTGGTTACCTCTGGGGCATCGCAAACAACGTCAGAGTTCACATCCAGCCCGTACCCCGGATCCCAGGCGACGAGACTGGGCCCATTGAGGCGGTAGATGCTTGCGCAACCGGACGAGGAAGGCCAGGCTGTAGTGAGTGGGAGGTAAGATGTGACGGTGCCACTGTTGGTCTCGGCTGGGTAGGATGTGATTGGCATGGTGAGAGATCTGGAAGATCGACTCCAGTCTGATGTGTTGTTTGTCGCCTATTGTCCGCAGCCTCTCTCTAGAGAGGGACAGACGTGATAAAATAATAAGCAACATCTGAACGGCATCAAGAAGAAATCGAAAGAGGTTGGGAATCATGCCTGGGCATTGACTCGAGAGTAATACTCTCCTCCTTGTGTTCGTTGTTGAGTCGAAAGTTCTACCTTGCCGCCCGCAGTACTGACGCTAGACCTACCCCTGCTGTTCCCCTGTCAATGCCACGAGAAGGACCAATAACAAGGAGTGGGGTCTCATCAAGCACCGCACGAGTCAATAAGCGCCGCTAGCAAACAGGTATTGATATAATTAGGCCCTGCGGTGAAGTAACCTTGCTTCCTTCTCACTAGTTCACCGAAATACATGTGAATAGCCTAGGGTTCGTGACTTTTCCAAAACAATGCTTCAAACATGCAAAGAGCCAACACAAAATCAAAAACACCAAAATGATCAAAAAGGCTAAAACATTAACGATCCCTAATCACCCACCTTATCTGCGAAAACTTCCGTGAAATGCGCCCGTACCTTCTCGCACAACCCCCGTTTTCCCTCCCACGACTCGAAAAACTCGCCCATCTCGCAAGCCACGGCAACCGTCCCCTCCCAGAACACCCTCTCCGCATCAAAGCCCACTCGAGCCAACGCCTCAGGCGGATACGTCCACAACCTGGCCGGCCGTCGATCTAACCCCTTCAGCTTCCTCCCCAGCAGCTCCTTTCCCGGGTTGAACTCAGGATTGCCCGCGTGAATGAAAAACGCCCGCGGAGCACTACCATTCTCTGCGCCCGAATGGACCCTCGCATAATCCTGTATGGGGTCTGCCTGGATGAACCCTGAATTGAGCGCTACCGTCGACTTGCCGCCTGTATTCATCCGGCCCAGGTCCACCGGGGGTACGCCCACCGCGTAGAAGTCCGTCTCCATGGCGGCCGCAGCATGGAGGAAGGTATCCTTGTCCCCTGCGCCCGGGGCACCCTGGCTGAGAAGGGGGTAGTAGAACTCCGGTCCGTATACGTTATAATACACAGCCAGCAGCAGAATGCCGAAGTGCGACCTTTTAGAAAGCAGGAGCATACCCGCTTCGCTGGCTGCCCTTGCCGTCACATCCGGTTCTTTCTGTTGCGAGACCTCGAAATACAGCGGACTAGCGGTATCAGCCCAAAAATCGGGCCAGCTCACAAGCCCTTTCGTCGTGAAGGGCTCAGAAGTAAGCAGCGGAATGGGATCATACAGCGGGATGCAATCCGCGTCAAGCCAGAGCACATCCTCGAACGAGGAGAAGAGTATAGCCAGGGCCTTGAGTTGGAAGCCGGTGATGCGCTCAAAGTCCAGACCTGGCGTGAGGTCGGAGAGGAGAATGCATTTCGCTCCCAGCGGCGGCAGAATGGTCTCGCACACGGTAGCCTCGTACTCCGCGGAGTCCTTCATGAAGACTTCGACGGGGAGGGTCGAGCCGGTGCGGCGCAGAAGTTTGAGGGTCACCATGAAGGTGGGGAGGTAAGTTCCTCCGGCTGCGGTGACGATGCCTCTTGTATCGGGGTTGTATGCGATTCCGAACTTGGTGTGCTGGATGGCGTGGACGAAACTGCCGTGTGCGGTCTGCATTGGGCGCAGAATCGCTTCGCTGTTGATGATGTAGTTCTCGCGAGGGATGGGGTTGGCGGAGTCGAATCGGTGGGTGCCGGCGGTGCCGTGGAGGATGGGTGGTGGGCAGTTGGGGGCATGCTGGGTCAGGAGCGGGAAGAGCTGATGCCAGAGCTGCGATTGCCGATGCTCAAGTGTGTGGTTGGGCTTGGTGGGCAGTTTGTGCCAGATGTAGCAGATGTTGAGGATGAAGAGGAGGGAGGCGAGGATCGTCCGGCGGGGAGCGGTCATTGCATTGATGCTGTCCAGGACGAAGAGGGTGGTGAAGGAGTTGACAATGTGGGCTAACAGCAGCAGCCATCATTTAATTGTGCGTTTGTCTAGCAATCATTGTAAAAGGCTTAGATTGCTGTTTGGTACAGTGGTTCGTCCTGCTAACCGCGCTGAATAGTGGGCTGTTCATGTGGCGCCAGTCAGAACAACCCTACAAGCGCTCGAGGCACGCCAGATGCCAAACCATGGCACGTTGCCGATCGAACCAAATGAGCTTGTCATAGGGTAGTGACCTTGGTACTCGTCTTAACCCCCAAATATCTCTACTTCTTATGGAAGATAAATGTAGGATACGGAGCCTCGAGTCATTATACCTAAATTGCTGCGCATGAGTGGCATTTCTGCTGAGAGGGTCTAACCGCCAACAACAAGCCGATACCTCTCAACGTGTAAATGATTCCTATAAGTAAGGCTGGTATAGCTCTGTGTTTGAAAAACAAAGCCTCAAGAGGCATGACCTACCAGCACAATCCCAAGAAGGATGACCCAGTTCATAGCCCACAGCACCGCCGGAGTAACCGGCGATAACTAATCATCACACCTTCACGCGACCGGATCAGCCAAGCGTGCCGCCATCTGACTCGTCGCCGGCCCTGCAGGTGCCGCTGCAGCTGATAAGTCGCTGTCCACAGACCAATCGCATGGGCAGGTGCTATCCCACTGAATGGAGTTTCCCCGCTCGATTGCTCCCCGGGTCCTTGTGGAGTAGTTGGCTTATCTCCCATCGCCGGGTTGTTGGTATTTATTTGGGGAGCATCAACCCTCACACCGGAGAGACAACTTCATCAACGGAAGCAACATACTCGACAAGCCTGTATCTCACCATGGGAACGACCTACTCCAAGCCCGCAGCTGCTCCCAGCGAGAAAACGACCACATCCTTTGCACCAGTCTACGATGACGAATCCCCACAATCTCGTACGCTTTCCCCAAGTTACCCTACATACAGATCATGCCTTAACAGTACCAATTCCAGCACCACCCTACCAATTCCCCGAAGAAGACCTTGAAGCCGAGGCAGAGCGCATTCCGACGCTCTCCCTCTCCCACCTGAAATCCTGGAACGAGTCGCTCTTGCGCGATCCCAAGGTGCGTCCTTCCTCCCTCCCCGCTAACCTCTTTCCCCAGCCCACCGAACTAACCCCCGCAGAACCGCCTCGCAATAACCACGCTCTCGACCCAGCCCTACCCCCAACTCCTCACCAACCGCACAACCCTACACACCACCTCGCAACACATCTTCAACCTCAAGATCCCCAACGAAGGCGCGCCAATCACAAATCAACGCTCCTCCGGCCGCTGCTGGCTCTTCGCCTCGACCAACATCTTACGGCTGCCGATCATGCAGGAATACAACCTCGGGGAATTCGAACTCTCGCAGGCCTACCTGTTCTACTGGGACAAACTCGAGAAGGCCAACTGGTTCTTCGAGCAGATCCTGGCCACCGCCACCACCGAGGATCTGTCGGGCAGACTCGTGCAGAAGCTGCTCGAGGACCCCGTCACCGACGGCGGCCAGTGGGATATGGTCGTCAACCTCGTCCGGAAGTACGGGCTCGTGCCGGCCACGATATACCCGGATAACTACAATGCTATGAATAGCAGTCGGATGAATTGGTTGCTTACTGCCAAGCTGCGGGAACAGGGGCTTGTTTTGCGGAGGTTGAAGCGCGAAGGTGGGAAAGGGGTGGCGGAGGCGAAGACTCGTTTCTTGAAAGAGATTCACTCGTTGGTGACGATTCTGCTGGGCCCCGCGCCCAGTCCGGAGGAGCGGTTCGTGTGGCAGTTTTATGATGTCGATGGGAAAGCGAGGACGGTAAAGGTGTCGCCGAGGGAGTTTGCGGGGCGCGTGAATACCGAGACGGCGGTGCGGAAGGTCGGTGGGAGGGTGTCTGTGGCGCCTGCCAGGTTGTTTAGTTTGGTGAACGATCCCCGGAATGAGTATAATCGGCTGTTGACGGTCGAGCGGTTGGGGAATGTGCTCGAGGGGCGGCCGTTGACGTATGTCAATGTTGAGATGAAGGTGTTTCCCCTCCGATATGTGATTGTGTGGGAAACGGACTGACAACCACCAGATCCTCAAAAATGCAGTCATCGCCATGCTCAAAGCAGGCCACCCCGTCTTCTTCGGCTGCGACGTCGGCAAATCCTCCGACACGATTCTCGGGGTCATGGACGCGGACCTGACCGACCTCGCCCTCGCGTTCAACGTCTCCCTCGGGATGAGCAAGGCCGAGCGTCTGGCCAGCGGCGAGTCGGCCATGACGCACGCCATGGTCATCACGGGCGTGCATCTCGAGGACGACGGCACGCCCGTGCGCTGGCGCGTCGAGAACTCCTGGGGCGAGGCGGCCGGCCAGAAGGGCTGGTTCGTCATGACCGATCGCTGGATGGACGAGTATACCTTCCAGGCGGTGGTGGACGCGGAGTTTGTCTCGCGCGAGGTCCGCGCGATCCTCGAGCAGAGCCCGAAGGTGTTGCCGCGGTGGGATCCGTTGGGGGTTCTTGCTTGATGGGTGTGGGGGTGGGGTATGAAGCTGTGTGTGTGATGCGTACCGACTTGAGGGTTCTGGGTATTACGTGATTCGATATTACAGCATGGCCTTCAAGAACGAACATCGATTACCTCTTGAAAGGCCTGAGGGTATTTACCTAACATCTATTTGCACAAACATAGGTACATGCCCGCTTGCATCTGTGCCGTAGTTACTTCGTAGGTGGGGCGGATGTCATTGATATTCTGTATCGTGGTTTGAGGAGGGATGAGAGGGACGGAGGGGGGTCTTGACTTCGGTGCAATGTAGAACGAATGAAATTGTCCCTGAAACCGCTTTCCCTGTCTTTGATTTGTACAGAATATCTCCCGACCAGGGCTATTACGATAGATCATGGCGCTGCGAACCCCATTCGCGGCAGAGATGTCAGACTCACAGAAGGACGTAGAACGTGCAATATATGGCACCCGTTGGCCATCATCACCAATAATGAAAATCTGGGTAGTTTTTGAGCATTGGAGGGAGGATTTGGGGTTTGAAGGTCCCGGGAGGAACTCTTAAGTCGTACCATAATGCATCCAAGTTGTTGGAATATGGGAAGAATGAGATCCGACAGGAGGTGGTAAATCTATCACCGTGGAAGACCAGCAGTGCTATAGGACAGGTAGACAGCAGGATCCATGGACCAACAGTGGTTTGATAAATGCACTGAATCTGTACGATGAAATTCTAATGGCAACAGCAATAGGGTGCTGAGATTGCGCGGTTGCTGGTTGTTCGATCTGGGCGCCGCCGTGATTTTATGTCCATGCTTTACTGGGTGATTTCCTCCTCGCATGCTGTGAATAGGCATGTTGTACAAGAAACTCCACAATCTCATCTGTGAATCTTGACAGACTTTTAAGGAGTATCTCCCCAATGCCGGAGCTAAAATGGACCTCGGCGCCGGCTTGAACAAGTAGCCTCACAATCGCTATGTGATCATTTCGTGCAGCCAACTACTGCAGTTTTGTTAACCACAGAAGTCTGCATCTCTTCATACAGTAACTGCAAATGAAAGAGATTTGACCATACCAGTGGAGTCCACGGTAAGAATGCCGGTAGAGAAGAAATCGATCCTTGTCGAAGTAGAAGGCGTACATCATAAATTTGACCCCAAGCTGCTGCGCGTAAAAATTTGTGAACTTCAGCTTAAGTATATACCTATAACAGGGGGCTCAAATATTAGCTCCAGGCAGCCACCGAAGCACTGGTCAGCACCTGGACTCTCCGGAATCAAGCGGCAGCATTGTCATGGGCGCGGCCGACCCCCCTAGACCTCTAAGCACGTAGAATACAACTTCCATGCAGCCACAGCGTGTAGTCATGTGGCTGGTACTCTGGGCTTAGCACCCTGCCAGGCATCCAGGCATCAAGGCGCATCCATGCAGGTCCCCGGGTACGGCGGAATCGGAGGTCACCACTCCGCGAATCACCTTTTGACTTGAAGCCCCCGAATGGATAAACTCGGGGATTGGGACTACTTATTGGTTGACGTTTTGAGACATCGTCAAATTCCAAGTTTACCCACTTAGGTGCAGATCTGGGGATCCGAGCACCGTGAGGTGGTCTTCTCTTTATCTATACCTGTACTCGGCGAGGGAATATAAATCATCGCTGATTCCTGGATTCTGCCCCAAGGTATCTTCACAACTCACATCAGAACTACTACCTAAGTACCCTGTCTTTTTGTCTTGTCATATGAGCCTATCAGCAGAAACCATCATCGCCCTCTTAGCCTTATTGGTTGCCTGTGTCCCTGGTATATGGTTCATTGTCAGGCATAGTGCTCTCATCCGTCGATGGTGGGATAGCGAAAAAGGTACCCAGCACGTCCAAAACACTCCTTCATCATCAAGTTTCTTTCAATTCCCATCACTTTTACCAATGCATAATACTTACTGGTGAACTGCGTGATAGAGCAATGTCATCTAACCCGACACGAAGGCGGCGGTTCGGAAAGTTTCCACAATCTCGGCTCGTCCCGTCAAATCTTCCACATGCGCTCCACTCACCAGCCAAGCACCTTGCCATTCTTCAACCCCCTCGCCTCCATGCTATACAGAAACAATCCCGCCCGAGTAGGGTCCACGCCGCAACAGCTGGAAGCGACGTTTGTTTACTATAGAGCAGTGAGTTTGTTCGCTAGTTGCCTCAATGCGTGGATATCATACTTCACAGAGGCACTTGTACTGATTTTCTCGCGCCAATGACAGGTCGCTGACATGGTCCCGGACAGGGAGGATTCTTACAGGAATGCAGGTGTCTAGAGTGCATATGGGAGCTGGTCAGGCCGTTCATTGTGGGAGATACTTTCCGTCTCTCCATGTATAATTTTCTTTTCCTTTTGTTTCATAGACCCGCTGCTTGTGATGTCTGATCTATACCCTTTCCTCAGTCATACCTTCCCGACCCCGCCAAGCAATCAGGTGAGAGGAATTGCAGAACGAGGGCATGATTGGCGTAATGGCCTTTTCGGTTCCTTTTTCATCCTTTGTCTCTTTCTTCCAGATGCCTTTTAGTTTTCTTCTTTTCTTTTTCTTTTTTTTTTTTTTTTTTTTTTTTTTTT